ACCCTGAACCCTAAACCCTGAAACCCTAAAACCCTGAACCCCTAACCCCTCAACCCCTACCCCTCAACCTCTAACCCTAAAACCCTAAACCCTAAAACCCTAAACCCTAAAACCCTAAACCCTAAAACCCTAAACCCTAAACCCTAAGCCCTCAGCCCTCAGCCCTAAACCCTCAGCCCTAAAACCCTCAGCCCCCAACCCTAAACCCTAAACCCTAACCCCCAACCCTAAAACCCTAAAACCTTGAACCCTGAACCCTGAACCCTGGGCCGCAGAACCCTAGACCCTAGAACCCTGGACCCCAGACCCTGAACCCCGAACCCTGAGCCCAAGACCCTAAACCCCAAACCATAAACCCTCGGCCCTAGACCCTGAAGGCCCTAAACCCCAAACCCTCAACCCTAGAACTCCTAAACCTAGACCCCAAGCCTTATAACCCTAAAGCCTAAACGCTAAACCCTAACCCCCCTCACCCAAACCCCCTAACCTCGAAACTCCTAATCCTTGAACCCCGAGCATGAAGCCCTAAGCCCTTAACCCTGTCGTTTTTGCTGTTTGTTTCAATGTTTGCTATCTTCTTACTTGGGTTTTGGTTTGTATCCATTAATCTCCCTTGGTACCACTTCTAGATGAAAAAAGAGAGAAGGAAAAAAAAACGTAATTATCTAAGAAGAAAAACCAGATCAAATCAATCATGAAAATACAAAGTCAACTATTTTGAAATATATCATTGCAAATTATGCCTACCCCTTTTACGTGCATGTGCAATGACGGATAACCATCGTTGATGTCTCTATTTAAGAACACAAAGTTTGAATGGGCCTAGATGGTCAATTTAGTTGCGAAGCCAACTAAAACTCATTTGAGGTTTGCCCGCTTAGTATAATGCTTGAATAAAACGCAACCCCAGGTACGGTTGGAGATTCTTCTTGCTTCCTTGCCACAGCTGATTTTACTGGATAAATTAGAAGTGAACACATTGACTTTTTTCCCCGCTGAAGAAATTTGACACGAAATTATAAAATTTTGTTGAAGATAATTTTAATAACCAGTTAGTGGTTGTTTCCATTGGAAACATTTCAACACAAACTATTAAGGCCTAAATTATGTGAGGCCAAAAAACTATGCTAACTTGCCATTTTATACCCAACTGCAAAGAAGTGATATACAAACTCTCATCATGCTGGTCAAATAAATAAACTCACTCTCATCATCAAGCGTCATAAAGAAACCATTCGTGCCAACTTCATACAACTTGATATATGGTATTTTCATTGAAACAAGGTAACAAAATATAAAGGTTTAGGAGGATTTCAATATCTCTACTTGTACAGCTTTTATGCGACATTCACCAACCGCAAGTAAACAAGAAACTTTACATATGCTATTGCCATTTATGTGCCACCAAGAAGTCCCTGATCTGATCGATCAGGCTCCTCACCCAAGAGGCCTTCCCTTCTTTTGGTATGAGAGGAAAGCCTACAGGTAACATAGGCTCTGCAATTCGTAACATATGCTTTGTTTATCTCATCATCAGAATCCATCAACCATGGGAAGCAAGATCAGCTCTGTTTCCAAGGAGACAAATTTGGTTGGACCTATGATGCCGTGTCCAGCAAAAGTCAGATTACAACAAGAGTCATATTTTGAACCAAACCAGAAAGACAAAGTGCATCAGAAGTGGAATGCAAGGGTTCAAATAAAAACACAAGTGAATTAACTTCTCATCTTCACTAGTGCCAGCAAATCCCAACAGCAGAATGTTAGCAACTAACAATGACCACCGAAAACCAGAAACTAGACACAAGCTCAAATGCAGTGAAATTGCAGCATGACGTTCAGCGGACTAGGACACAGACCCCCAAGTTAAAGAGCAAGGGAACCATGAACCTTTTTTTTTTTTTTTTTGGCCAAAGGGTAACCGTGAACTGAAAATTGAAATTTTCAAATGCACGTACAATTTTGGATTTGAAAACATCTAATATTTGGCCCAAACAAAAATCTAATATTGAAAAATCTTAATTAGCATTTAACATACAAATTCACCAACACAGCAGACTGAGAAAGTGAGACAACTTTACAAGGAAGGCATTCCAGAATCCAACTCCTTTAATCTGAAGGCTTTGGTGATACATCTCTCGAGCATGAATTCCTGTTGAGCAAATCATCTCGATGAATGAGCGGTTCAGAAACCCATGAGACATGAGGATCGTAAGGAATGGCTAAGAGAGCTGCCTGTCTTTCTCTGGAAGATGCCCAAGTAACCATATACAGTCCAGCAACAATCAAACATCCCCCTACGACACTTTTGTAATTCGAGTGCAAATCAGAATAAACAGAATGCAAACAAGACAAGAAAATATTTATATTAAAATGCCATCTCTGGATGATACAAGAATAAAGGAGGAAACTCCAGTAAGTTCAACCAAACAAGATATAAAATTAAGTTGGAACCACTGAGAGGTTGCCCAAAGGAATTCAGGCAGCTACATTTTTGGGTTTTTGGGCTAGCAGTTTTGGACTGGGGCTATAGCAGCTAACTCAACATAAATCAAAGGAAAATTTTAGATAAAAATCTAAAATGATTTTTTTTTTTTTTTTTTTTTGGGATAGACCTGATCTGCAAAAGATGAGGCGTTCATAGTTTACCATGTCTACCATCTCATCTACAGACCATACTTACAAATGAGTTTACGTTGCATGCTGAAGGTAAAAGGGTTTATTTCATTCATAAAACGCATACTACATCTACTTAACCCTCATTTATACTAATAAGGGAGTCCCTGACCAATTCACAAACAATTTCCCCTTAACTATATATCAGTTTCCTAATCACGATGTGACATGCTCTCACCCTCAAGCTGAACCTAGTCCTCAAGGATCGTTACAACTGCAATCATTAAAATTTTTCAGAACAATATAGTGTTTTTGGACACCATTTTACTTTTGAAATTTCTAGACCAGTCCTCTTGCAGCAATTTTCAGAGCACTTTGAATTGATCCATCCAAAACCACATGCCGATGGATTTTTTAATAACTCTTCATCCACCACGAGCCCACTTCCATGCTCCTCAGCAATCCAACAGGCTTTTGGTCTATTTTAGCACCTTTAAAAGGCCCAATTGCGTGAGACATTGCCATCTCCAAGCGATTCTTACTTAAGTATTTTATTGTTGACAGGTATTAATTTGCAAGTTTAGTCCATAAATGTAGTAAACAGTGTCTGCTCAAGAAAATCAATCAAAGATAGGTAAACCTAGACAGTTATTAAGAAACATGCGAACATGTCAAGCAAACAGTTCAATTGGACTACATTTGACATGCTTACACCCTACAATTAATTTGTTAAATGGCTTTACCAAATAATCCCTTGAAACTAAATGCATCATATTGTAGTGGAGTAACAGGGACTCTACCTTCCTAAATAAATTGGACTTCCAAGGAAAATTCGTGACAAGAGGGCAGAAGCTACTGGTTGAACTGGATAATAAAGAGCAACCATTGTTGGCCCCAAGATCTTATTGGACCATGTCAATAGTCCATAACAAAGGGCAGAAGTAATTGTTCCCTAAATAAAAAAGGAAAATATTTGATTAAAATGTAAATGTAAAAAGTAATTTAAGAAATGCAAACAAAAGACTGATATAAAGACAACTGAATTATTGTACAATCAGAGATATAATAGAATTGCAAGGATTGCAACTTGCATGCTCAAATAAACACATTTCTATTTGCCAGTCCTTTCTTAACCTAAATAAACTTTAGTACATAACACTGGTCTGCGATTACAAGAGCAGCCAGATAAAACCAGTAAACCAATATAAGAAAAGCTCCATCTTATTCTCACCTATGTTCCTGACTTAATGGCAACAGGAAAAATTTCTATCTAGTTATTAATATGAACAAAAATATCATGCTAGCTTCGTGGCTGGTAATTAACTTGGAAGATGTTTTATAAGTGAAGGTTTTTGGAAGAGAGAAGAGAAGAGAAAGGCATAATGCAGTTGTAATTCTCATCCACTGAACGAAAATACATGGGATTAAATAGGACTTCGGGCTACAAACCATGCCCATAAGTCATTACAATAAAACCATAATTACTGGGGAGAAAATCAAAGGGAAAAGACATTTACTTTCAAAATTTTGGTTGCTAAGTGTCTTAGCGTAAGTCATTGCAACAAAAAGATAATTACTGGGGGGAAAATCAAAGGAAAAAACCATTTTCTTTTAAAATTTGGTTTGCTAAGTGTCTTAGTGTCAGTTTATGTTCTTTAGCTGTTCCTTAGGCCAGCTCAGCATGTTATTTACATTCCCTTGTTGATCTTTAGTTTGAATCTTCTTTTTTTTTTAACCTTTTTAAATTCAACATGGACACAGTTATTGGGACATATGGTGTACTCATGTATTAAACAGTTTAAACAGCAGCAGCAGAAGTTTAAGCGGCTCACCGCATATATAACAGCAAATATTTCCGACTCTGTCAATTTCCAATCAGTTGACTCATTAGCCATCAAGAATGCTGTTATCATCATCAGAATAGCTCCAAATAAATAAGAATAGGCTGTCACAGATAGGTTGGCAGGATACTTTACTAACACAGGAGCCTGAAAGTAATTCATGGAAGCCAGATCAATGACTGCCAAAATTCACATATGAGAATGAATTTGACATTTCGCTCATTATGCCCAATGTAATAGCAAACAGTGCCAACAAAGTCAACAAGCAGGGTTAAAATTTCAGACCACGTGCAACATCCCAATGCAATTACGTTAGAAGACATACCCTATTATGATCTTAGTCTTTACTTCCATTCAAAGGAAAAGTAGAGAAGACAAGTCCTCAGTAGGTTAGGAAAAATCCATTGTTAACCAAAATTCCAGAAAACCCTTCCATATATTCCGCACAAAGAGCTGTGCAGAGATAATTAATATCAAGCTATTGATTATATACTCTTACGTCAACCACATGTCAACAAAACCCTCAACCATTGGGGGAACTCGCCTTTCCAACGTCAACTGGAAAGAGAAACCAAACCTAGTTTTGAGAGTGAATTAAGAAATGAAATAAGTGGTTATAATAGAAAGAAGAACTATAGGTGCCTAAAGTCACTAGTTTCTATTCCTTAGAGTAGTCCCGGATGTAATACAGAGAAGTTCCAACTTTTGGGTTAGTAGCGACAAGTGATAATAACCAATGAATTTTTCCTTAATGTGATCATCAAAGACAATCGTATAATATATTAAAAAAAGGAAAGAAAAGATATGTACCTGGATGGCTATAAAAGCGGCCATGCACATGCAGTTTCCTATCAAGCACACAAGTCCAATGTCAAATTGGTCTAACCCAAGGCCCACCAAACTACCAAACAACCATCCAGATGGCTCAGGTTGACCTTTGGCACATGCTTCACTTTCTGCTATAATATCAGTTTCTTTGTAACCTATTAGTGCAGGACCACGACACAAAGCCATAAATATGGCACCAGAAACACACACAAAAGTTCCTCCAACCTTTGTTAGACCTTCATATCTAAGCAAGTTTACTCTTTCTGTACTGCATGAATAAGTTAATTAAATTACATGACTTTATGTTCTGGTGTATCTGGGTAAGCTCACTGTCCTCCACAAAATAATAGCCTAATAGAATTAAGTAATTCAAACCACACTAATCGAGAAGAAATTAGAAGTGTGGAACTGACCCGATCATCACACTCAAAACAAATGTAAAGACTGGAATGGCTGGTTGCGTGGCAGCAGCATAAGTTGGATTAGTATAGCTTAAACCAAGAAGAAACAATATCTGGTTGCCAAATATCCTGATCGTCACATAAAGAAGCAAAAATGACATACAAATTAATAGCATACTGCCTCAGAAATAAAATAAGCTAGCAAAGATTTGGCCATATCAAGCACCTTACCCGGTTAACCCAAGAAAGAAGAACGACAAAAGGAGGCGCAGATTCAACGGTGGTCGGGTCTGTCTACTCTCAACACAGGGTATATTATGGTTAGAACATTTATGACCGAGAAATGAAATAGCAATTATCTTTTACGAAGTGAGGATTTGTAATTGGATGATTGGGCCAATTTAGAGTTCATGATCCGTAATTTAAAAATAGTCAAATAAGGCTTCGTGCTAGAAGATATTTTCTCCAGTGGTAATATCTTGGGGAAGATCTTGTGAATATGAAACTGTTATTGCAGTGTTACTTCCATGGTTCCACCCCTAGCACCTTCTAGTGCTTCTGCTTGCTATGTTTGCTCTTATTAGCCCATTTCAAAACTCAAGCACCATTCTTTTTCCTCCAATCAAGGATATGTTCTTGCAGAATGAGTGATGATTATGATAGACCAACCATTTCCACAATGTGAAAAGGTGCCCATTTATCCGATTCAACAGTTCAACGGCCTTTCAGAAACCAAACCAAAAAACACAAGACTCATGAGAAGAAAGAAACCCTAAATTCAATTATGATGCCAATGAGGATTCGATATATTGTTTTCGCCACCATTCAATCAAATCATGCAAGAAAATTTCAAGGGTATTGGACATAGCGATTACAACTCAGCACAATCTAACATTATAAGAAGAAAAGAAAGAATGAAAGGACATACTTTTCACGAAAAATAGCGAGGGGAGCCAGAAAAACAAGAGCAATAAGGTCGCGGAAGACGCAGAAGACTAATTGGTTGATCCCGTCGTTGAGTGCCAATTTTGTGACAACGTGGTAACCTCCATAGAGTATCTGCGTCAACGCCATAGCTGAATGGGCCTTCCATGTGTCCCCACTCGCTGCTGCCATTAGCGCGCGCACTCTCTTTGTGGTTCTTTCGCACTCGAAGGCCGTTTACGGAAGTCAACGGCTGTTCGACGGTGGAGGAAGAGTGCCCGATCTGTGCCGAGAGGTTTGATAATGGGCGGAGTTGATTTCGATGATGTCGTTGGATGAGATTTTTTTTTTTTTGGTGAACAGATGAGATTAGAGGAAGGACGAAGTGGAAAAGATGGAAAGATGGTCAGATGATATTGGCAGCAGAGGTTCGATGATTTACTGGATAAGGAAGGATAGCTCGATAGTGTCACCGGCAGAGAGCCTATTCGGATGAGGAAGGATGGAGGAGAGTCACTTGCGGCGAAAATGGGACAGGGTAGGAAAAGACCAGGCTAAGACACCGGTCGCCGTCGGACGTGAGAGGCGGAAAATCCTCACTTGTATTTGTGGTGCCCCACATCAAATACTTTCTAATTTTCTTGCCCACTAAACAAACACATGCCATAAGAAAGAGATAAATATTCTTTTTAAACTTTTTAACGAGCAACTAATTTTTATTTTAATATTTTGTTGTGATTCACTGAAAAAAAATTCTGATATCTTACTTCCATTTCTTAATATTAGACCTAGTTGATTAATTTGAATAGACTAAAAAAAATTAATTAAGTTGATTATTTGTAATAAATAGGTATTTTTTTCTTAAAATATCTTTACTAATCAAACGTATTGACTAGAACTAATATTATTATAAAGATAAACATGAGAGACAAAATGGATTAAGGTCTTATATTTAGGACCAAAATAAAAGTCAAACAAACTCTTATACTACCTCCAATCCTAAATATAAGAGTTAATTGATTAATTTGAGTACATTAAAAAAACAAATTAAATTAGTTATTATAATAAATAGGTATTGTCTTTCTTAAAATACCCTTACTAATCAATTTTATAGGTTAAAACTATTATTATTAGAAGGATTATCTTGGAAAAAAAATGAATAAATATAATAGAAAAAATAAATTGGAGTCTTATATTTACAACTAAAATAAAAATGAAACGAGATCTTATATTCAGAACTGAAAGTAATGTTAAAGAACAAAGGTAGTATTATTTTCAGTTTTTAGTATAAAAACTAGTTAACTAATTTAAATAGATTAATAAAATTAATTTAGTTATTGGTAATAAATGTATTGTCATCTCTAAAATAGCTTTGCTAATTATATGCATGAACTATGACTACAATTTAATAAAACATGTTTACATAAAAGATAAAATAAATTAAAATCTCATATTTAGAACCAAACTGAATACCAAATTAACTCAGGTCGCACATGGTTAGAGTTACCCATCATATAGCAAACAGCGTGAGCAAGCCGAAGACCTAAATCATACTCTCGGGCAATGCAACCATGCTTACAGTGCGTTAACGTCAAACCAACATCTTAACTCAGCCTCAAGCTCAACAACAATCACAATCCCTCCTGGTCCCTTGTGTTTGGGCTACTTTGTTGAAAACTTTCGGATGCCAAGAATAGCAAGTTATTTGCTCAGGAAGTCACAAACCCCCATTGCTTGATCAATTAAAAACATATCTAGAATAACTTATAAGTCACTCTTCAATTATAATTTACAAATACAAGATGAATATGTAAAAAAAAATTTTGCCTCAACTAACATAAAACATACTTACAAGTGCTTTTAAATGTTATTACAAACAGACCCTTAAAGGAGCATAGTGCCCAAGCGAAAGATTTTCACAAGAAAATGCATCTAGTTTGATTTCAATGAGCCTTGTTTCTCCATTTTCATCCTTTGTATTTGACTGTTGTAAATACTCGCTATCACTAAATTTCTCTTTCATTCAGAAAGGAAAGAAAAAGAAAGAAACATGAAAACCTTATGCAATGGCGCAGTTTCATCCCATGCTTGGTATGAGAAAATTGGAGGGTAGGATTGACAAAATTTTAGTGATAAAAAATTAGGAAAGTGGGGCTATAAAATTTTAATTAAAAAAGTAAAACAAAAAAATAAAATCAAGCTTTTAACCCCACTTTTCTAATTTTTTTGATGAAACTCGTTAAAATTTTTCTTCTCCTCCTCTCTATTTCACTTGTACCAAATGAACCCTAAAGAAGCAGACGGGGGGAAAAATAAATGGAGGCATTCCAGATCCGCAAAGAGTTAAGTAGCCCCAAAACCTCCGAGACATGTTAAACCAATTTTTTCAGCCGCACGGAAAACTAAGCAGCCATGCATGAAAATGACGAGCCATTTTATCATATATCAACTTCCTCACTTAAGTTGCCATGTTTCCCGGACGTATTCTATTGGGCAAAGGCCTGGCAATAAGCCCATCGGTGACCCAACCTACAGACTCCCCATCGTTTCTGGCATGGTTGAATTCCCTTTCTACGTAATCCAGAGACAACTGTAGCCGGCCCCCAGGTTTAGAGTCATCAACAGTTCCTCTTCCTTCAATTCCTGCATTCTTCTCTAACCAATAGAGGTAACTGACCTGGAACAACGCCTTAAGCATATCCTGTGGTGAACAATTATCTTTGAGGACCACCTGTATCAGGCAAATATGCCATTTAAGATCCATACAACAGAGCAGAAAGAAATATCAGACCATGCGTAAGCTCCAATGTCCCTCGCATTTTGCAAGACAACAATAAAATGATAAAATTTCACAAAGCTCCTTCAAATTTTAGCACATTGATCTTTCTTCTATATTCAAAATATGCAGACTTTTCTTGAAAAAAAATAGACTTCCCCATGTGATGATGATTGTTAACTTACACAAAACTTTCCCATGTGCTCTGACAACATGTAGCCCTCACTTTTATAAAGGCCGAAGAGAGCCAGCGCATCCTCCCCGCTATTGATGATTTCGCTTAGTTTAGATCCCAGCTGCAATCGGCGTTCAATTTCTGCAGCTGCATCTTTCGCTTGGGAAGATAAAACATATGAGGGTGCCTGCAACAAAAAATGCAACAAATACCTATTACCCAAAAGAAAAAAAAGGAAAAAAAAAAAAAACAAATACCTATAACGTAATCGAAGAACAAGACACAACACAAAATTCAGAACATGCAACATGAAATACTACCAACCCATTTTGTAGATACCCTCCAGTTTTACAGGCAACCTATTCAATTCATGCTAATGTAGAGGAGCACGGAATATTATTGTAAAAAGGCCAATTGCCAGTCCACAAGTCTTTGATCTGTAACTTACGAATGCTAGTTAGTAAAAGAGTGGAGCAATGGCATGGTTTAAGCGCATTGAACACATCAAACCCTTCACAATTGCCAAAATAGCATTTCTCTTGAGCTATTGTATTAAGGGAACATAGATGCGTTTGCTCTCACAATACCCCAACCTTAATTAATCACTAAAACTGGAAGAGGTCAGAATGAGCACCAACAAACTTCAATTTTAGCATGTGGCAAGATACTGAACTAAAATATCAAACAGAAGAACTTCATTTAAAAGATTCAGATTTAAAATGAGAGCAAAACATTCAAAAAAAAAAAAAAACAAAACAAAAATAACTAACTTTGTTGGAAATTTTCACATTTAGTATGGATACAGCAGGAAAAAGCGGCTCCTCATCATTGACCTCTTTGACTGGAGGTGCTTGGCCACTAAGTAGGTATTCACTGAAAACTAAACCTGCAAAAACATTCAATGCAGATGACAAGCAAAGAGAATTTTCTAATTCCCAAATGTGTAGTAATCTCTTTGTTCCTACTTATAGCCATATTTAACTACTTTACACAAACCAAGAAAATTAGTTAAAATTAGTTTTTGTTTCTAAAATCACCTCATTTTTCCAAAAATACCCTTAATTAAATATAATAAATTCTAACCCATCTTTCTTATATCTCTCAATCCTTCTCTCTCCCATAATTACTCAACAATATCCATACCATGATCACTATCAGGGGGGAAAAATCACTGATTGCTTAATAGATTTTACAAAATGACTTGTAAATAGAAGCATAAAAAGCTTTTAGAAAGTGACACATAAATAGGAATAGAGGGAGTAATAATAAAGATGATAATTTTAAATAACACTCACAAAATAAATAGCAACATACATTCAACTTCTTCCAAGAAAACTTTAAATTGGTTAAGACTGAAGAGACTGGTAAGCCCAAATTAAATGTATGCAGTAAAGGAATTCAAGAACTGTATGTATTATTCACCCTGATCGAGTGTATATATACACTATGAATCAGGTAGCTTGAGTAACCACAACACTCTTACGGCCTAACTTAGTCAATTGTCAAACTGCCTTTACATCCCCCCTCAAACTGAGGATGAATAAGAACCAATACTCAGTTTGTCCCAAAAATACACAATGATCATAAGAGATGGGTTTTGAATGAATAACTGCTGTTTGATCTTTGGAAGATGAGAGGAGAAATGATTCAAATGCTTAATTTTTTTCAATCTGAGGAACGACTATATAAACAAGTCAGGGGATCCTCAATCATAATAGCTCATAAATACAAATCAATCCTCTAATCGCTACGATTTTGCTATCACTATAAAGAGATTACAATATTCATAATATAAATCAAATAATATCCTCTTTGATCTTCTATTCTAACACTCCCCCCCTCAAGTTGAAACTTTGATGTTAACCATGCTCAACTTGCTACAAATATAGTCATCCTTGGTCCATTAAGAGTTTTTGTGAAGTGATTCTTGCTACAAATGTAACCATGCCCAACTTGCTACAAATTTAATTAGTCAGTTTCAGTCTATGGTTAGTGATTCTTGTCACCACTACCAAGCACAGCAGTAGAAAACCAACACCAAACGAACCGAATATGTAACCCAACAATGGCACAACAACAACACAAATCACCCCACAGTGGCGTACTCAACAAATCAGAGGTAAAAGAACTGTCACACTGGGGACAAGAAGTGGATAACCCAATCCTGGAAACCAACCGTAGATGGCTGCAAAAGCGTCAACGTCAGAGGAAGAAGTCACCAGAGGAAATAACATCAAATGTGCCATCGTGTGAGAACCACACACTATATGAATAGGGACCGGACTATAGCAGAAATGCCAATCGAACAATTTTGAGACTTCGAGGTGACACCAGTAAGGCAACTTCAACATAAACCCTCACTCACTCACCATGATTCTGATTTGGAAGGGGGGAAAAAAGATGAAGCTGAGAGATGATACAGAACCTAGGGCTCTAATACCATGAGAAGAGAAGTTACTCAAATGCTTGATTTTATTGATTCTGAGATCGGCTGTGTATATGAGATGAAGGATTCTCAATCACAATGGCTCATAAATACACATGAATCCTCTAATCACCATGACGAGATTACAATATGTAGACAATAAATGAAATATCTTCTTCAATCTTCTACTTTAACAGAAGACATGTGAGATACGTGTTGTTTCCTTTATCCCTTTTCTGGAAAAAAGGGAATGTCTAACACTACATGCTTAATCATCACATGCAAAATAGGATTGGCAATCAATAGTACTGCGCTCTCATTGACACAGTAGACCCTGGTTGTGTGTGAGAGAGACCAAGTTCTGACATTGAGGACTATACCGATGTAATTTCTGCTTCAACATGGGCAAGACACCTGCATTCAGCTTTTGTAGCAAAGCCAGAGATCACTAACCGTTTTTTAGAGTACCAAGCTATAGGGTTAGCACACAAAAATACACATCGGCCCGAAGTAGACCATAATTCTCAAGTCACGTGATTTTGTGATGCAAAGATCATGATCTATGGTAATAGCTAGATATCCAAGTATTCTCTTCATGGCAGACCATAACACTCAAACGGCCTAAGTTACTCAAAATGTCTAACTACCCTTACATGTAGTTTCAGGTTCTTTGATGCTAAAAATTAGAGAAGTACACAAAGGATTTCCTTCTCTTAAATATACTCTCACATGGTCCAATAAGCAAATAATGGCACTGTGTCAAGCTATTTTTCTAATTTGGATTAGCTTTTTAAAAGTGATTTTACGATATACGAGGTATGTTAACGGAGTTTTTTCTCAATTTGCATGGAAGCATTTTTTTCAATTGATTCTAGGAGCTATCCAAACTCCCCCCAAGTGAAACTCAGTCTATAAAACACTGTTCGTTGTTTTGTCAACCCATGGTCCTAGAGGGTTTTCTGATTGCTACATTGAACTCCCCTTGTTTCCAAGATTAAGTTAATAAATATCACCTATATCACATATTACACTGTACTATTATACTTCTTATAAAAAAACTAACTGGACTCACATTTTCAGCATTCTACCTCCTACAGTTAGTTTAAAGAACAACCAAGTGCTGCATAATTGAAACTTGCAAGAAGTTCATATTATAAAGTGAAGTTAAACCTACCTTAGAGAGTGAACAACATTATATGACATCTATTACTATTTCAACAATTTAGAGAGAGAATGACAGAGAATTACTTGCACGATAAGGATTTAGGGTCCTTAATTGAATGGATTGATAAGACTTCAGATTGCAGTACATGTGAACCCAAGTCACCACACTAAAAGAAGCAAGAACTAGAGGTGTGGAGGAGCCTAGGCAGTTGCCCAATGTTATACCCAGCATGATACCAATAAACTTGCTAGCCATTCCTTGGACTTCACCTTTAGCAATTACCTACAGCATTACTTATATTCATAAGGGAGATATAGAAGCAATACCAAGCCTTGCAAATTTTAGACAAACCAAACCACTTTAAATTCTAAATAGTGGAAAGAAATATTTTATAGGGAAAAAAAAATCGAACTGCCAAATGGAGTGAATACTGAAATCAACCACATACTGCTTAAAATGTTGAAAGTGGATGAGAATTATTTTTCACCTCTGCAAAGTTCCTTTGAGCAGCAAAGCCAGCATAGAAACAGCTCCTTGTAGAAGCCTACAAAGAAAATCATTTTCAAAATTCAGTTGGGGGTGCTTTGCTTAAATTGCTCATATTCTGAAGTTTCAAGACCCATAAGTGAGACACAAATACAAAATTCATCTGGTGATGCCAAATATACTATTCTTACGCATATATTTACTGTTCAACGTAGTCAAAGATGAAGGCCTGTAGAGTAAACTAACAATTTTGTCAATTTAACTAGAAACACCATTAGTAGAAATCAATACTAATAAAAGAGGAAGGTTCAAATTATGGGTTCAACCCCACTTCTAACCTGATTTTTGAATAAATATATGGCATAAACGTCCATACAGAGCAAACTTATTAGTTTAGAAGCATCATTTTTCACAGTTCAGAATATATCAAAGAAATTCAAGAAAGAGACAGATGCACATGGAATGAAGTTCTTTTTATAATTGGAAAACATATTAAAACCGATTCAGTGAAAATCAGAAAATTGGCAACGAAATTCAAGAAGGTGTCCTCCCCCCCCCGGGGGGGGGGGGGGGCAATAAATTCAAGAGTTGAGTTGTCTTCACAAGATAGTCGTCCTAAACGCAGCACTCGCCTGGATTAGCGCCGCTGCAGAACGCGATGCACCGGCTACAGCGCCAATTGGTACAAAAAGGTGAGGGAATGAGGGAGTCAACATCTCCAAACCAAAGGCAGCATTTTCAAGAACATCAGAAAACAATCTCCATCCTTTTGGGTTGACGTCGAAATGGCGACCGAAATTGGACAACATGATCTTGCTCAGGTACCCAATTCCATCCTTTAAAACCCAATTAATGGCAGCTGCGGTTGGAATCGTTCCTTTTCCTAATCCAACAGCATAGAGCAAAGACTGCGTTGCCAGAACTCCACTGATTTGGCTAGCAACACCTTGAACTCCTCTCCATAGGGAGTACTCCAAGTAATCGCTTGTGACGCTGTTTGGAAATCCTTCAGGGAGCATCAAACGCTTGAAGAGTTCTCTGAACTTCAATAAAAAAAAATTTGGTATTTTTAAAGCTTCCAGTGATGATAACTCCATTAACAAGCTTGGTTGTGACGAAACAAAAGCGTCATTGCTATGATTCGGGATAAGCCTAGTCCACTTGCCTCCCTTCACTTCCCAAACGGAACCGGGAGTAGCTTCGATGTCAGAGTCCGTTCTTGTGGAATGCGGGGCTTTAGTTTTGGCCATTGCGAACTTCGCAAACAGGAGTTGGCAGAAGCAACAGCAAGTCGAGCAGACGAGTAAGGGAAAGAAAAGGGCATGGTAAGGCCCTGAAAATGAATCATCAGGGTCAAAAGGATAACCCCAATCACCAATATTCTTGCCATCGTTGTTATTGCCGCCACCGCCATCGTCACTGCCTCCACCGCCCACCAAGACAGAAAGTGAGAGAAAGCGAAAAGGATGCAATGGAAAAGTTTTAAAAGGAGTATCAATTTTTTTGGACGGAAGGGCTTGAAAATTGGCGACGGTGAGTGGCGATGCCGGCTTGCGAAGCTGAAACAGACGCCATGGAGGAGAATTAGTATCGGTAAAATTGAGAGAAGAGAAGCGTGGGGAAGGAGACAGGAGCATGGAAGTGTAGGTCATGTTCCTTGCCTCTAACCACCCCCTTCCGCCGGGCGAGGGGTTACGGTGGAGCCCTTGCCTGAGTCAGAAAAAGTCAAAAGTCGGTAAATTGAGGTGGAAGATTGGTTTCGGATTTAAGGTTTAGCTGTGGTAGAAGATTGGCACTAGTTCTTCAATTCCTATTTCTCACCCCTGGCCCATGCAAGCTGATCATGCCAACACAATGAGTTGCGTTAGGTATTAATGCATGTGCCTTATTCATGGAATTCAATGGAAAACGACTCTGGTGCGATTAGTCCATTCTCCTCAAACTGCAGAAGTAATTTTAAACATTCCAATATTTTTCTCGAAAGCATATGATAAATGAATTCGAGTTGGACATCATTTAAGGTCATACATAGTTAAAGAATGATTCAAATGTTACTTATATTCTTCAATAGAATCTCGTGGAAATCCTGAACCATTTTGAAAATTGTTTTGGTCTCTATTCTTACAAATGCTTGTTGTTTATATGGAAATTACTACACTGAGCATTACCTATTGTTGGTACACTTTGTGATCATCACCTCAGTATATGTCTTTTTGGATGTTCAGTTGATAGGGCTCCGGATAAAACGGAAAAAACACTCAAATACCTCAAAAATACTAAAAGACAAATGAGGAAATTTCAAAATCTAAAATCAGACCCTAGATACTATTTTAGAATTTTTAAATATTGTGAAATGATAACACTGTCGTGACTCTTGGTGACTACTCTTATATAGCTATTGACTACTCTAATTTAACGATTAACTACTTTTATTTTTAAAGTTCTGGTGACTACTTTTGCATAGATATTGACTACACAGATTAGTAATAAATAAATAAGTAAAAAATAGTCATTAGATCTCCAACAATGCTTAATGTATTTTTTGAATTTTTGAAATAAAAATAGTTAATAGTGAAACTAGAGCACTCAATAGCTAAATAAGAATAGTCACCAAAATTTTAAAAATGAAAGTAATCAACCGTAATACTAAAGTGGTTAGTAACTAAATAAGAGTAGTCATTAGAGTTTTAAAAACAAATGTAATCAATAACTAAAAAAGAGTGGTCAATACATAAAAAAGAGTACTCACCGAAACTCTGGTGACCGGTCATCAAAGTTTCAGTGACATGTTGCCAAAGCTTTGAAGGCTGGCCATCAGCAGGGTGGGTTGCCGGTGTCAGAGCTTCGATGTGCGGAGTGCTGAAGTGACAATATTTTTAAAAAAATAAAAAAAAAAATTAAAATAAAGGGTATTAGTGTACATAAGGTCTAAATTAATATTTTAAAATTCATCAACCCTTATTTATAATTTAATATTTTTGAATTTTAGTGCTTATTTTTCTAAAAACTTTGAATCTCCGTTTTTCACCATTTTCTGTTTTAGTCATTGTTATCCAGTTCCGTTCAAAGAAAAAAAAAAAGCAAGGGAATAAATCCAGTTGGCGGCGCCGTCACCGTTTCGTCTGTAGAGGTGAAATGAGACGGACAATGGAGTGGGCGGCGAGTGCGGAGCACTTGGGAGGGTTCCCTAGAAGAATGGTTTTCACTGCGGTGGGGGCCTTTGCCAAGGCGGTGGCTTCTCTATTCAACTCCTCCTACGTTCATAATGCCGACACCCTCATTCGTTTGGTCCGGTCAAGACCTCCCGGTGTACCCCTTATCACTGTCAGCAATCACATGTCTACGTTAGTTCTGATCTCCGTGGTTTTCTTGACATTGCAGAGGTCATTCTGTTGTTTAATTATTATTTTTCTTTTTGTTTTGCTCCTTCAACAGGTTGGATGATCCGCTCATGTGGGGATTTAAAGGGTTTCCTACATTTGATGCTAATTTAGGTCGATGGGTATTGGCTGCCGAAGATATATGTTTTAGGAATGCATTTTATTCTTACATATTCAGGCTCGGTAAGTTCAACTGCAGGCGGAATTCTTCTGCCTGTGATAAATCAGACTCGGATGTTTAAAATCTATCAGAATTGTTAGGTTGAACAAATGAGATGGGGGGCGCAAGGGCGATTCATCTTGAGATGAGCGGGGAGTAAAATACTACGTTTATCAGGTTTTAAAGCTGGATATGTAGTAATCTGCTCCACGAGTATGTTTTAAACTCAAAGGCGTCCGTGTATATTGCCTAAAAGATAGTAATAGCTGTTTGAGATCGTTGGATTAGATTGTCTCTAAACTCCTAAATTTGTAAAGGACTAGGATCCAGAAATGAGAATGCCGAACTCTCCAGTTAAGTTGTATCATGTGATCAAGGAGTGGGCGGGGGAATTCACATTCCGAGAGCCATTCTGCGAGAATGTTTTGACCAATGATGTTATATTGTTTTTTTAAACCTTCACATAGGGTTAACTTGATTTTGAATCCATCATGAAAGAACAAATTTGGGGAAAATCATTGACCGAAGATGATTGTATATGGCGCCAGCATTCTTTTGGTGAATGTATTTGGTAGAAGCGAGTCATGATAATCCCTTCATGGTGTGATGCTTCCGACGAAATCTCAATTATGTTGTCTACTACATATATTTTAAGGTCCACTTAATTTCATGGAGGCCCCAAGTTTGAAATAAGTGGGAACTGGGATGTTAGAATGTTTTCATTTTAGCCTTTCTGTTCTGTGGATTTAGGTGAAAGCTTATCAATCTGTGCACCAAATTTGTTCTTAAAAACTTTTCTATATTTTGGTGGTGTGTGATTAAATTATTGTCTCCAACAAGAGGTGGTGGAATTGATTGTGCAGGGAAATGTATACCTATTACAAGGGGTGGTGGAATTTATCAGGAACACATGAACGAGGCTCTTCAGCGGCTAGATGATGGAGCTTGGGTATTTATTTAATACCATGTATATCCATCCATCTGTATACACACACGCACTTCTTATGAGCCTAATTCTTTCATGATGATATTTTTGGCTGTTTCTCCTTTTACTATTTATTATTATGCATGGCAGAATTTCTGAGTCATGTCTTCCTGTGCATTATTCATTGGCATGATGGATTGTTGTTGTGATTTGAATAATCGATGAGAATAATCAATTTCGTCTGCTTCTCGTAGATGATGATGTAGGATGCCAAAAAATAAGCAAGGCAATGAGAGGAAGGGGAGGAAGTGAGGGAGAAGCAGAAGAAAAACATAAGGGGGAAGACAATAACTCAGTTCTTAAGATTAGCCAATAGCAAAGGTCATACAAATGAAGAGTTTTAGGGCATATTTATGGAACCCAAGCACTAACCCTAATTATTAATAAAAGATAACATGAAAAAAAATCAATTTAAATAAAAGATTGCATATATTCAAACGAATCCTACGTTCAAACAGGAAATAAAATCAAAATAACAAAATAGGAAAGAGAATCAATTATTCTTCTTTCTCTTTCTAACGAAAAGCCTTTATCATCTGTTAGGATTACTTTTAGAAAAATAGGAAAATACATGAAAAAAGGAAAAGATGCTTTCGTGGGTCAGAACTTTGACTTCCTATTTTGGAGAAAGAAGTAGAAAAGTAGGGTTGCTGTAGGCTAATTATGGTTAAGGCTATGAGAGGGTTGTTTTGGAGAATGGGAAAGTCACTTTTTGGGGTCTATAAATCACCCTCTTGGGGTCAGCAGGAGGAGGAGAATTTTTGTATTGAACATGGCCCTTGTGGGAAGAAGAGAGCCAACCTCTTGGAAGTTTGGCAAGTCTGTTAGTTGGATGTAGCGTGTCCTCACCGTGGTTTGTGGCTTGTGTCTTTGTTTATTGTTTCTGTATCTGTGGTGTAGTAATCTGAATTTGTAGCTGTTATCCTCCTTTCAATGTGTAACAGATCAATGTTTGTTCTATGAATGTAATGAGTTTTTAGCTTTTGATTGTATCTTCGTGGGTATTCTGTTTTAATATAGTAGAAGTTTAGAGTTTCTGGGGTCTTATCATCATCCCCTCAATTGTCCTTTGCCTCGTTCTACCATGCACTTCATGTATTGCTGCTTTAGGGTTTAATTGGATTTATTCATGAATTGTAGTTGAATGATTGCCTTGTTTATAAAGAATACTTGTTTAATGCTTGGTGAGTTGATCTTATTAATTTCAATATCTGATTTCGGAATTTGCATTGGTAGCTGCATACATTTCCAGAAGGAAAAGTGTCTCAAGATGATGCTCCTATAAGACGATTGAAATGGGGAACTGCTAGTCTAATTGTCCGTGCATCTTTAACTCCAATTGTATTGCCAATTGTTCATTACGGTTTTCAAAAGGTAACTCTTAAGTCTTAACATTTTTTTTTTCATTTTTCTTATAACAGGCTCGTCCGATGAGCAAATGATATAAGATTTACTCATTTTGTATGCTTTACTCGGAACAAAAGCATTGAATTAGAAGACAAAGCATTGGCTCATTAGAGTTATCTACTTCCTCTGTAAGTCTATTAGGGTAAAACCTCATTAGAAAGCCATCTTGTGAAAACTTGAAGAGAGGCATGAAAACTTCACTATCCCAATCAAGGGACAAAGAAAGAAATCTTTGGTTAGAAACTCGCTCATTTGATTCCCCCAATAAACATCAGAAGCCTGAGAAAAGAGTGCATTGGACGGATCGTTGTGTAATAATATTCACTGCCAAGAGATTGGCTTTCTGTCATAGTGCCACCATATATAGGTGCACAACCCTGATTGTCCGAAATTTGTGTCGTTGTTCAGTAATTTTTTTTATCAACTCTTGGTTAGTTTTTTTGTGATGATTGAATAACTGTTATGAATATGATTGCTCATTTCTTTATAGCAGTAGCATATTATAATGAAAATAATCTGAGTTGATTACCATATGCTGTATGTTTATTTTGGTTATTCATGATTGATGCTATCTATATTCTTAGGTAATGCCAGAGAAATTTATGTTTGATAGACGGCCTCCTTTACCGTTGTGCAATAAGAGAATTGACATAATTGTTGGCGAGCCTATTGAATTTGACCTTCAAAAAATGAGGCGGATGGCTATTTCACGGACTCAAAATGAGTCATTTCATCTCAATGGGTGGCCTTGCACTTCTCCTGATGGTTTGGATGAAACAGCACAGAGATACCTCTACGCTACAATTTCTGAGCAAATCCGAGCATCCATGGAGAGATTAAGGAATTTCAGGAAAAGTATCCTTGGGTCATAAATTTAGTTATACCCGAGGTTGGCCTTTTAATTTTTCTTCAGTCATTAGGGAGTTAATTTTGTCAAGGGTATTTGCCTTCAATTATTAGTCAGAGAATTCCCTAAAATGGAACGCTGTTGAAAACTGAACAGCGAGCGCCACATTGGGGTGCCTCAATCAAGTGCCATTAGATTATGGGGCCTTGATGCGTGACACATAATGAGATGGACTAAAAAATTAAAAAAAAAAAAAAATCCCTGAAATGCCATTGTTAAAAATGACTTGTGAAGGTTCATTTTTGGCTCATTTTGCATTTACATAGTCAGGGGATTTTTTAAATTGTGCACAGTGTACTATCTATATTATGCGTTCTGCAGCTCCCCATTCCCGTGCTACTAGTATCTTGGTCAGTGGCATCTATGAGGAAATTCATTAGAGTGCTTTGCTATCGCGTTCCTTAATAACAACATGGCAAGAAGGCTTTTAAGGAGTCAATAAGGTTATTTGATGCAGCAGAGGGCAGAAAGCAGACATTTGAATGAAAAATTGAGTTGGGTAAAAAATTGGCCAAGGCCTGTCCTTTGGGGGAAAAAAATTCGAAGGTTATGGGGTGCCTTCATATCTGATTCAGCAACGGAAATGTTTTATCAATCTATAATATTAAATCAAAATCAACTACAAGCCGGCTCACCTGCACCCCCATAATGGCTCCTCACTCAAAGTACTGTTCTATGAACAGTACCAGCTTAGGAATAGTAGCGGCTCAGTTTTGAGCTGCGTCTATTTTTAATTTTGTGCATAGTATTTTTTTTTCCCAAGTACTTTTTTTAAAGTGTCCAGATGAGAGTTTGAAAATTTGAAGTTCTCTCCATTTCAACTCTTTCTCACTCTTTGGTTTCGAAATCTGCAGGATTTCTTTATGATGCTTTTTTGACTTCCTCCCCACGTTATATCCAAAGTTTTAAAGTATAATAAGGAAATAAAAATTAATATTAGAAATATATATGATGATATAAATATAAGAAGTAAATATAAAATTACTGCATATATATTTACGGATGGCATTAATATTAACAGTTTTAAATTAAAAATTAATAGATGCAGAAAGTACTTGAATTTTAATACGGTTAAAAAATCAATATTTAAATATTTTAATGTTTATTATAATTTTATCTTTGAAAATATAACAATATTATAATATAAATATTTTTTGACGTAGTAATATAAATAGTTTTGCTTACCTTCATAATATAGTAAAATTTTCAGATTTTTTTAAATTTGTAAATTTTTGGCTTTTGGAAAAATGAAAAAAAAAAATTATAACATATCCCAAAATTGACTACCACACGCTTTCTCCCTGCAACACGCTTTCTGTAGTCTTGATAAGTCGTATACTTTTCTCCGTTGCCCTCATTTTTTGCTTCGAGTTTCATCTTTTCGTCATTTTAGCTTTAGTTATGCTCTTAGCAAGTTCTCACAGGTTGTCACCAGATGTGGACTCCTTCGCTTCTTCTGCCTGGTAAATCATCTTCTTTCTATTCTTTATTTTTTACTCTCTCCTTCGTGTTTCCCATTGTCTTTTCCCATTCCTCTTTTTTTCCCCCTCTTCTCCTCAATTTCCCAGGTGAATCGTTCTTGCAAAACCGTTGTGGGAGCTTGAGTTTGCGGTCTTCGATGTCGGCAACCGTTGGGTGAGGGTGGTGATAGATATTGGTAGGACGCTCTCATATAATAGCAAGGAGTGCTTCTGGAGCAGAACCTGCAGGTAGATCCTAGCTTTCTTCATCCTAGCTTTCTAAGTTTCACCTTTAAATACTGGGTTTTAATTCTTTTTCTCGTCTAAGTTACAGTAGCATATGCTAATGCAGGACTTATTCCTAAAAATAGTGGGCTAATTCTCATTTTGTAGTCTCATTAGTGGACCCTGGGAAGGCACACAAATGTTTTCACGAACAACGTCTTTGGTTCAAAGGTAATTATGGCTCAATAGTGCATTCACCCTAATATTCTGCCTTCCAGTATAAAAGAAAATTAACGGTCAAGCATTTTGCAAAACCTTATATATTCGCTGTCAATGAAAAGGAGTCCCATGTAAATAGAGTCTTTAGTTGAGGTAAGTTCTTTCCTAATTCGCTTCAACCTCTTTTTTCTTTATACTATTTGGCAGTAGTTTCTTGACTCATTTCGGTGTTAAGCAGGGCGTGAAAACACCGTTGAACGCACGAATATGGTTGTGTTTGATGATGATGTAACTGCACTTTGGTATTTTTTTCTTCCAGAATGAATACACTCTTTGCATTTTCATGCGTTCTGTTGTTTGTGACCAATTCCCTCATATCTTGCTTCATCTTGTCATAAAGATTAATAATTTTTTTATGGTTGGTGCTTTCAAAGGTTTAATGGTCTCTCTTTGTCATTCATTTCATAAAAATCGAGTGTTTAATGTAGTATGATTGATTTTATAACAATGTTTTTTTTTCCCCGCAGGGATAGCTTCTTGGCAAATTACACAAATGCTACTAGAGTGTACTAGAACCCTTATTTTTATGAGATCATGTATCTGAAGAGAGAATTGTTGAGGCCCGCTTAGAAAAGATGAATATGATTTGGAGCTGTATTAGGGTAGTTAGGGCCATAGCTTCTGTATCTACTGGTTTTGGGCTATAAGTTGATGACAAATGTTTTGTTAGGTCCTTACTGGTGGTAATCATTCATATGTAATGGGGTACTTCATACTTAAGTTTGTATGGGTTGTTGGATGTTTTAACTTATATGATGTATTAATTATTGATATATTAGTTATGACTTTCCGCGATGCTTACGCGCTGTATATGATATGCATGAGCTTGTATTAGTTATAATTATTAGGCGGATTATATGTTTGCTAATTATTCACAACAACATGAATGACTGATGAATGCTACATATATATATATATGCAGGGAACGTGTTCCTTGCATATATATATGGTTCAAGGAAGCATTAATATCAACTTTAGCAAGGAACAGTCGACTGCTTGAGTACTCAACGTAAACATGATTATATGGTTCAAGGAAGCATTAATATTTTTTTTTTGTATAGTAACAAAGGTGTTGGTGACGGTATTTAAATAGTTAACCCGTTAAATTTTTTTCCAGCTATTGAATAATTTTTCCAATCCAGCAAGTAATGCAAAAATTGATTTCTTGAGTTTCTAGTGTTATGTAGTTGGTTATTGTGGTCCTTTGTTATGAGTTAAATGGTATAATGTAATGGCCGAACTAAATATATCCTAATCATAATGTTATTCTATCAAGTTGATGCTGGTGATTGTACTTTGGTTCTGTTTTTGCCAAGGTACATTGACTTTTTTTTGTTTTTTATTAATAAATAATGCAAGTAGGCACATAAAAGCTGAAAAAGTAGCCTGATTCATAGTTCCAAAGGAGTTCCCAGTGCAACAACTGTGTGGAACTAATCTGGTGGACAATTAGTTTGTATGATGTAAAATGAAGTTGTGAGCCCTTTTTTTTTTTTTTACCAGAAAGATATTACCCAATTCATAGTGGTACTTTGGGACAGGACAGTGAATTTTGTCTCTGTCACTGTCATTGCTAATTAAAAGAATGTGGTAGCCAAATTTTTTTAATATAATTTCTTATAACAATGTCTTTGAAGGTATTCTTAGTTTATCGATTTGCTTGCTACTGGTCATATATTTTTTTTTTTCATATTTTTCTGACTTCTGGATGCTAAATCATTAATGTGAAGATATGATACCATATTCTGTTTCCATTACTTTGTTCAGTATTGAACCTGTCATAGAGTGATGGGTCAAATCATTTTTGTGAGGGTCATATAGCGATGGTTCAAATCAGTATTGGTAGTTTGTTAGAGTCATGATAGATTCAGGGATGGCACATATTAGTAAATTAGTGTAGCAATAGGCCATTTTGTGTTGTCTTGAGTGTGTTGCTTATTATTATCTTTTTTGAGCAATGTGAAGGCATGGCTACAATGGATGATTACAGTCTGACATGTTATGCGTGTCGTTGGATCAATGTGAATGCTCACTGCACTTCTGCATACAAAGGGAAAATAAGCAAAGCTTATTGTCTAAGCATGCATAAATGTCAGAACTTTTGGATATTGATTTCACAATGTGTGTTAGGTACTGAATTCATTAATTTTGTACAACTTTGCAAGTAAGTTAAGTGTACCATGTCATGGTTCCTAGGGTTTGCTGATTTTCATGAATGGCAGCGACGTGCAAGAGATTTGTGTGGCATGCATATATCTTTTTGCAGTCTGTTTATGTGGGTTGATTTTTTCGTAATACTCAATGAATCAATGAATTGAATTATTTTATGTAGCTGTCTTTTGTTGCCTTAGACAGATGATTCATTACTTTATTGATTGTGTTCGGGTTTAGTCATGTCAGCATGGTTGTGACATTTCTTATCAGAAGTTTTAGGTTCACGCATAGATCATTATAAATTGATGTCAAGTGTTCGAATGTTTTCTACCTGTGTGGAGCTTCAGATCTTGTAACTTGAAAATCCAAACAGTTAATGACTATGTCTTCTTCAAATATCTTGTAAGCTTAATGTGTTATCCCATTTGAATTTACATACTGATACTTTCATCATTTTGGGGTTATGGAAATTAAATTTTGTCAGTCAGCCGAAGGAGTTGACTATTAAGCTTCATGATGAGTGTGCTGCGATTACTCTTGCCAAGATAGAAGCCAGGGGGTGAAAGCTGAAGATTTTCTGATTATATAATATGCTATTGGCATGCTTCATAAGAACAATGGTACAACAATTTTCCCTTCATTTGTTAATAAGTCACAAGTTCATGCTCGTAATTTCTATTAATAGCAAGATTCAACGTTTATTAGACGGAGTGAGATATTTTATCCTACTTATAGTTGTTATATGCAAGTGGACCCGTGCTTAGCTCATTTTCAGGTGCCACAAGAGTGTTATTTGATGATGATCTTAAGTAGCTGCTGTACTTGTGCACCACGATTGCTGTCGGGAATATTTACCTCCATAATATTTTTCTTATTTTCTTTTTCTGTGTTGTATGTATCCCTCCTCTTTTTAAATCATCGGGTAATTTTTGTGAAGTTCATGGCCATGTAATTAGCGGCATATGCTTTGAAAGAGTTGCTCTAATCTCATCTTGACATGATCTCCCCACATTAAGTGATGGATGGCTGCAGTCATTGATCGATATTCTTGTGGCCCGTGCAACGCACGGGGGATTTTGCTAGTTGTTAGGAATAAAAATAAAAATGTTAGGGAATACAACACGCCAACGCCAAAAGAACAGAGCACCACCAAAACAAGGTTGAAGAGGGGCACTGTGCACAAGCATAAAAAAGGTGCACCACCTTAACGGGCCTTTAGGCTGCGTTTGGTGTAAGGTATTGAAAATAAAGAATTGAGATGGAGATAGAGATTGAGAAAATCTATTAAAAAAGTGTTTAGTATAGGAGATTACGTGTTATATGGAGTTAGTTAAATTCATGTATGTGGAATTAGAGAAGAGTAGGGAGGAAGTGGTATTTCCCAATCCCATCTCTATGAGTTTGTTTCATCCTATATAATAAGTAATTATTCACGTTAAATACTATTTTAATAATTTTTTAATTATAATCTTAATCTCGTCCCTTATTTTTAATATTTCGTATCAAATAGGACCCGAATGACCTGAAAATTCCAGAGGGATAAGAAGACACTGCTGAGACGGAAGCTTAGAAGTAAGAACATAGTCATCTTTGTTATTTTCTTTCTAAACAACACACGTCACGGCCTCACGGCCCCATCCTGGATCTGGGGATGTTTGGATGAAATCAAACCATGGTTTGGAAAATAGCTTCTAGAGAATAGATTCTGTGAAGAATCGATTTTGTGAAAAAGTGATTCTGAGAAATGAGAGTGTTTGGATAGTTATTATCAGAAATACTTTTTACATGTAGAAATTACCAAAAAAGGTATAAGTTAATATGATAATTATATAAAGGATAGATTTTATGATATATTTTGATTTGAAGAAATAAAATTGTTAATGAAATAATTTTTACTGACATAATTAATAATATATAAGATAATATAATTAATACATAATTAATATGTGTATATACTTATAAAACATAATATTAAATATGTTTATAGAAAAATAAAATTTTTTTTGCTAACAGAAAAATATTAATATAAAACATAATGTTAACTCCAAAACTAAGAGCGTGGATGACTGGGAAATGAAACATTAGACCAACTGGGGAAAGCGTAAAGGATGAAAGGAAGAGCAATTATTTGATCTACTTCTGATAATTGGAGCCGGGACTATTTGGTCATTTGTGATGGGCCCACTGTAAGCTTTCAATAATTGGAGCCAAGAAGTAACTCCGATCTTCTTCTGATAAAACCATGGTTTGGTGGTTCAAAACTATGGTTTGCCCCCAAACCATGGTTTCATATTTTCAGGGACAGTTTGGCTGACATTTTTCTCAAACCATAGTTTGGATGGTTTGGGGTGTTTACCAAACAGGCCCCTAGCTTCTCAATGTGTCTTCCTTCAGCGCGTCCTTTTGTAGCCCCATTATCTAACCTGTCCATTCCATCTGGCGCCCCATATTTTGTCCCGTCACCTTATGCGGCGAGGATAAAACTTCTCATCCATCCTCCCCTGTTACTGTTACAGCAAAATTCTTCTGTGCAAGTCTCTCATTCTCAAAAAAGAAAAAGAAAAAGAAAAAGAAAAGGCTACTGAATTGAAAGAGAACAAATGAGGATCTTGATATATTGTTAAGCCAGTCCAATTAACTTCATAGTTTTTGTAGATCTTCTTCTTGCATTGGGTTTCTTTTACTTCATATGTTTTGCCCCGGACAATTATCATATCTGATTAATGCAAAGAGAAGGGAGCTCCATTCTTAGTCCATTTGATTTCTTCCGAGAGATTCCTAATATGTTCAAAAAGATTGAGAGACCAATGTGATCATGAAAATACAAATAAACATGTTACAGCTGAGCTCTAAAGCCATGTCTAAAATACAAATCTCCATTATTTTATGGGGATTCGTTTTTCAGCCAAAAGACATTATTTTATTGGGAAAAAAATCAGTTTACTGCCCCCAGTGGTCCAACCTATGGGGCCAAAAACAATGAAACAACCTACGCGTATAACCTACTGGGATTTGAGTATATCTTGTGTAAACCAATTAACCAAGTTGACTTTTTTTTTTTTTTTTTCATTTCTTCATCTTTTCTTGGATTTTTCACTCTCCACAGGCCTTGACCCTTCCACCCTTTCAATTCGGTAGCTTTTTACTTTTGTTTTATCTTTTGTGTAAGCTGGGACTCGAGGAATTTTGCTGGAAGACAGGGCAGAGTCGGGAAGTGCGTGATTTCCGCAGCATGGTGATGATGTGGCAAAACATGGGACGCAGGATGGAGTGAACCGCTTGGATATGGGGGCTGTGCAGGGAACCCGCAGAAAGAAGCCGCGCTGAGAGGATGCAGATCCCCCGCCCCCGCCATGTGCTCGGGACAGATTGTTTTAGAAATTAACGCCAGCACCTCGAAACTTCCGGACGCTGACGCAACTCTTCCACGTTATCACGTCCCCCAAACTTCACCTGTCAGCATCATCCTCCCGTCTGCTTAAGCCATCACATATATGAATCCTCGTCTGAGTTGGGATTGGGAGTCCAAAGAGAGTGACAAACATGATGGCGGAGCTTGGGAAACAACGGCGGCACTTAGATGGCGGTGGAGGAGAAGAGAAACTGTTCAGCGGAAGAGAGGAATTCGGTAAATCATCCAACACTTTTAAGCAGATTGTAGCCTTGGCAATTTGGTTGGGAGCTATTCACTTCAACGCTGCGTTGGTCCTCTTCGCGCTATTATTCTTGCCTCTCTCCAAAGCACTCTTGTTCGTTTTTACTCTCTTGCTCCTTTCTGGGTTTGATTTTCTTCTTTCACTTGATTTGTGATTTCTTTCTTCGCATCTCAGGGTTCTTTGCTTGCTCTTCATATTTATGGTGCTTCCCTTAGATGAGAAAAGCAGCTTTGGCCGAAAGTTGTCAAGGTATCTTCTTCTTGTTTTTCTTTGGTCAAAGGGGGGGAAAAAAAATCTCATTGTAAGCAACTTCCTCTTCCGGTCCGTATTAAGACTACTTCGTTTTTATCTTGTCTATCTTTCAGGTACATATGTAAGCATGCTGCCAGTTATTTTCCGGTCACACTTCATGTGGAGGATATTAATGCCTTCGATCCTAATCGTTCTTATGGTTTGTGTCCTCAATTCAATTAAGAACTCTTTTCCACGTGTATATTTATTCAAAAAGATTTACACTTCCTTGGCCTGCCGCAGACAATCTCTCTAAATTGGCAGAGAAAATTGTTTATAGTTGGTTTGCTTTAGTAAGAAAGGGTCATGGGAAAAGTGAGAGAATAAATAAGGCCTTGTTCTGGTGTTTTCAAGTACAAGTGTCATGTGGAAAGGGATAGCAATCCTCTTCCCAGAAGTCGCAATGCATTAACAGGACAAAGCAAGCGTTTACTAAATTTGAAAGCGACGATAGATACTGCTATGTTATACTCTAAGTTCGTGTGTGTGTGAGGGGGGTCGGCGTGGGTGCTCTACTTAATTGAGCCCTACTTTTTATTCCTCGGAGATACTATTATTAGATTCATTAGAGAAAGTGGTTAGAATTTTCTCATTATCATTCTGTTATATGTTTAATTAGAGTTAGTTATTGCTAGTTAACTTAAGCTTTGAATCTCCTCTTGTATATTTGAAACTTAGTTTTGATCAACGAAATCAAGTCTCTCATTTACTAAATTAGAACTCTTGAGAATTTGTTCTTTGCTTTGCTTTCTACTTTCTCCTTCGTAGTCCAGCAGTTTTTCAATTCTTTAATGGCTGCTTCATGGGAAAGCTTTACTCATGTGACATCTCAGCCTAAAGAGCTGCGTAGGATACATCAAATCGCTATCATCTGCACCTGAACAAGAATTTGGCTCTGACTCTATTTTTTCCAGCTCTTGGTCCAAATTATCATCCTTGGTCTTGTCATGTGAAGATCATCAAATTATCCAAAAACAAATTTGATTTTGTTGTCAGAAGCATTCTCTTTTCTAGATTGTTGAGATCTATAATATCCTGTGTGGCAAAGATGCAGTACCATGGTTCTCTTACAGATCACTCTATCTTTTTTCCCTTACGGTTGCACAATGCATCTTGTGCATTGAGAAGGCGTGTGATGTACAATTTCAAATATTGATTTTTGTTAGAATGATATGTTTTGAGTTTTCAAGCTTCAAGAAGGGCTGTATGGTTTTAAGTCTAAGAGGCCTTACGATGACTGGGTATTTTGCAAAGCTTAAAATAATTTGGTATGAGTTGCTCCACTTTCTTCCATTATTTGTGAGTTGTCATGGAGCTACCTTCATGACCAAAAGCTACCTACAAAAGTCTACATCTCTTGAAAGGTGTTTGAAGGAAAGGTATGGTGCTCTGAAGTCACAAATTATGTTAATGGATCCACTGTGTGCTATGAACCACGTATTCTCCTAGGTGCAACAAGGGAGATGAACATTGGTTTTGGATCCAAGACCAATTTCAACAAAACGTTGTTAAAAAAATTTCCTACTCCATTTACTGTGAAGCAGCACCGTGGACTAGCAGAGGCTTTAACAAGTTTTGTACATCATGTGGAAAGCTAGATGCAATACTGAAACATGCTATGAGAAGCGCTGTTATTGTTTTGGCTTCAAATTTAGGAGCGTAGCTTCTTCTACTAGCCATGTGTTGGCACTCGTGCCTCACAAGTGTCTTTGGCTTATGCTCCTCCTTTAAAGTGTACCAATGTCAACATGAAAATCTTCTTGCTCTAGTTCAAACACAAGCATCACCTCAAACTAATAATCATTTTACAATTATGACAGTATCCAATAATCACTGCACGCCTTATCTTCTAGGTAATTTAATTGCTTTGTCCGTTCCATCTAATGATTAGTTTTGGGTCCTTGATGATGGTGCTAGTGATCAGTTCTCCTTATCTAGATTTTATTCTTTTAGATGAATAAATCCAATTCAAGTTCAACTTCTTGATGGTTTCGTCTGCACATTATTTGGGCACCATTCACCTTTCTTCTACACTATCTCCTTGATGCCTCAATTCACTTTTAATCTCATCTCTGTTATGAATGTACAATGCTGACCGGCTTGGTCAGTTGTTTTTATAAAATTTCAAAACAATAATTGTTTTCTGCAAGGCTTGAGTTATTGGAAGATGATTGGTATTGTTGAAGTTTAGCAAGGCCTATGCTTATTTCATAATGAAGTAAAATCACCATATATGTATTGTTCTCAATATACACAACCCATGAAAATTTTGATTTTCCGCTTTTTTGCTTTGGTCATCTATCAGATTCTGTTTACCACGCACTTAAAAAGCAATTTCCATTTCTCTCTTGTGGGACACCGGTATTGATTTTCAGCTATTTTATTTGTGACTTGCTGCTAGTATCTCCGTGATAGTAATGGCTACCATTTCATGCAGTTTTTGGCTATGAACCACATTCAGTTTTGCCAATTGGTGTTTCTGTGTTAGCTCACCACACCGGTTTCATGCCTCTTCCAAAAATAAGAGTTCTTGCCAGCAGCGCTGTAAGACTTTTACTTGATGGTCTGTAATGAAGCTTACGAAGGCTTATATTTTAAAACTCATCTCTTCAATCTGATGAACAGGTGTTCTATACCCCATTTTTGAGACACATATGGACTTGGTTGGGCCTTACACCAGCAACAAAGAAAAATTTTACTTCCTTGTTGGCAGCTGGTTATAGTTGTATTTTAATACCTGGTGGAGTGCAAGAAACTTTTCTCATGGAGCATGGTTCTGAGGTATTTCGTTATTCATTTTCTTTTCCATGACGTTTATGCAGAAAACTATAACAAAATACTCAATTTTGTGTCTCTACGATTATCCCCTTCTATGCAAGAAGAAGGTCATGTTCATCATGCAAATGGCATATGTCTCAACAATCTATTAGGTTTTGTTCTCCGTTCATATTGCATATTGACGCAGGATCTAGTTGTGTCAGTGGAAAATTGGTGCAGGGCGTTGTTCCGTGGTTGCCACCATTAACTATGTGGTTTAATAGGAATCAGAGAAAAATTGTTGATGATTATTTGTGTTGGTGGAATTGTGGGATCTCAGAAATCCTAGTAGGTAAATTGGATTGTGGCAAATAAATTCCAGAACTTGAGCAACAATCAATCTGAGAAGTCTGTAGATGTTCTAAAACTTCAAATATGTGCAGTAGCCCAAGATTTTTTGGGGAAAAAGTGAATGATTGCCATACATTAGAAACATCATTAAGTTATAGGACTAAGATGGCCTACTTCAAAAATTGAAACTAATTTTCCTTAGACGGCATGAGGGTTTAGGTTATTTTGAACTGGCTATGTTTAGGGGAATGTTCTGATGTGTCCATCCAAATTCAAGGGAGAGCAGCTGCAACAAAGAATTTGGCCACATGAAATTGTAGCAATAACTCTCAAACAAACTAAACATTTGTGGTGCCATTATTTGTTTCCGTAGATTGCATGAGGATTTAGGCTATTTGGAACTGGAGATGTTCAGGAGAGGGGAGAATGTTCTGATGTATCCATTCAAATTCAAGGGAGAGCAGCTGCAGCAAAGAATTTGGCCAAATGAAATTGTAGCAATAACTCAAACAAACCAAATATTTTTGGTGCCATAATTGTTCTTGTTTGTTTGAAGTCTGCTCTTGACTCATGGAGTTTAAGACTTTCTTTACATAAGAAAATAAAGTTTGCTGTTTAAGTTGAATACGTTCTAACTGTTTTTAAAGAGAGGAAGGGGGAGGTTCTCCATAAAATGAATCCTTAGGAAGGGACTTTGCTGATTAAATTCTGTATGCATCAGCACAGTGTAATGAGAACTATTTACTTTTTAGATTGCCTTCCTCAAGGCTAGAAGAGGATTTGTTCGAATAGCAGTGGAGATGGGCCAACCCTTGGTTCCAGTTTTTTGCTTTGGGCAGGTATTAATAATTTCTAAACATTTTACGACTTTTGCTAACTAAAGATTTTAGCTGGACAAATCTCTCGTCTTCTAAAATACTTTTGTGTATCTCATGGCCTATTGGTTAATCTTTCTGATTAATGTGCTTAATTTTCTTACTCATTGAAGTGAACTGTCTCTTCCTTTTGGTTTACATTTTCTATAGTCAGATGCCTATAAGTGGTGGAAACCAACTGGGAAGTTGATTCTGAAATTTGCCAGGGCTATCAAATTCACCCCGATATATTTTTGGGGAATACTCGGGTGCGTGTCTTTTATTAGAGCTTTATCGCCTCTGCACTTTCTTACCGTGTATTCTATTCCACGTGGGTATTTTGGAGGGAATTTCTTATTCCCAGAAACAAAAATGTTGCCAGAACCCTGGAGAGGAGTTACGCTATTTAATCTTGATACGCTTGAAGTTATGGTTAAAAGGACAGAACAGTGTAACATGCTTCTAGAATATATCTTGACCCTATGCCTTGCATGAAATCTGAGGAAGCTAGCTACTTTGTATATGGCTCTGCGAACAGTGGTTTATTTTATGTTTTATATAGTGATGTGAAACCATGATTTCCAGAGGTAAAATGCCACATTTAGTAAACAAACATATTAGGAATACTTTCATATAAGCTTTTAAAATCATTTTTGGCTCGAGAGAAGCGTTATGCACTCCGTCTAATGTTAATCCCCATCGTCTGGCCAAAATATATTGTGCATTAAATTTTACAGTAATTCTTAGAGTATGATAATAAAAGAAAGGGAAAATCACAAAAAAAAAAAAAAACCTTGGAAATTGAATAATTCCATACAAGGGCACGTTTACAAAAATTGTTGTCATTTATCTATCAATTATTATCAAAACCAATACTAATATTGTAACGGGTCTCTATTTGCTTTTTTTTTTTAATTTTCAAGGTCTGTTTTTGTGATTTTTCCTAAAAGAAACTGCAGTACCATCCTTACACTGTTATAGGATAAGAAATTAATGGTTCAGAATTTCTTTGGTGCTTGAAGATTTTTTGAGAAATAAGAGCGGAAAAGGTAATTTTGCGTGGAAGATGATGTCCTTCATTTTTTTCCCTGCCAGCTTTCTTTATATACTTATTTTTTTTCAAATTGGAGAATATCTATAGCTGATTTAAATTTTAATGTGAAGGGAGTAGCCATTTGTTATAGCGTAAGGTTTTTATCTAACAATCCTGGAAGTGAATTACTGCTCTCTTTTGCGTATTCTTTCCACTCATTGATAACCACCTCTACCTTTCAGATCTCCTTTACCCTACAGACATCCAATGCATGTGGTGGTGGGTAGACCAATTGAGATTGACAGAAATCCAGAACCAACCATGGAGGAGGTATAGTTTTTGAAGCTGTTAAATAAGTAAGCTTTTGTCTGGTTTGGAGGTTATCCCGTCTTAAAGTAACTCTACTAAACTAGCGCAGCATTATTTCACAAATGGTGGCAAACAATTGATGGGGCATCATTAGAATTCAAGTGGCCTCTCAGACATTTTTCGTTTGACGTAGAGTAGCCACAGTGAATTCACTGGAAAATTTTTCCGTAGCCTTACTCCTTGTGTTTTTCTTAGCAGAGGTTTGATTAAAATTTTGTAGTGAAGCTCGTTATGCACCAAAACGTGATGTTCTTTAGATTGATGATAAGAAATTATGGAATAGCTGTATCTTGATGTGCTTCTGAAGCCAGTGATACATATAAATAAGCTATACTTAGCTGAATAAATGATGCTTTCATATTATTTTCTGATTTTAGGTTGCCAAAGTACATGATCAGTTTGTTGAAGCACTTCAAGAGCTCTTTGAAAGACACAAAGCTCGGGCTGGATATCCGAACCTTGAGTTAAGAATTGTGTAATACTATAAAAGCTGTCCAGTGCCATGTTTTATTGGTGCCTGTATTTTATTTTGTTCTCTTTTTGGGGGGACTGCTTGTGTCATTTATTAGGTTAAGGAAAAAGGTGTAATAAGACCCTGGTATGGCAACCAAGTGTCCGCAATCAACCCCCGTGCTTGATGGCAAAATGATACTAGCTTGAACAGGGCTGGTTTATATCCTGGTCTTCCTTATCGGTCTGTTAGCATAATGCCATGACCAATATTGAATCAAGAAACATTCTACCAACCCAAAAAAAAAAGAAACATTCATAAATTCCTGTCCAAGACATGGATATCGTTATCAATTCATTTCTAAGGTCAATTATTTTGATTGGATCCCTGAAACATATTCAGGCTTCGTGATTAGGGCATTTAACGCAGTGAAACGTTGGGGATTGGTAAATTGAATTTTCAACCAAGAGGATTTGTTTCGCTTCGTGTATAGTTAGAATGGCTTCAGTTCACAAGATACATTAATTTAATAACTTTATTGTCTGATTTGTATTGGTTTTCAAGTCTGGTTGATTTGGACTAAATCAAACCACTCAGGTCTTTATGTTTTGAAAATGTTGACGATTATATCAACTTTTTTAATGATACAATATCGTTTTGAATATAGCTCGAGATGTGAACAATAGAAGTAATGGGTCAGGGGAGGCTCATTTGTAAAATCGGTTAAGGGTTTGTTTGGATTGGCAGTAAAAAAACGGTTTATTGTAAATTTGATTTTTATAAAAGTAAGATTAGATAAAAGTTAAATTGAATAAAATGAATTATGTTTGGATTGAAGTTTAAAAAAGTTAGTTTGTAAAAGTGAAATTGGTAAAAGATTGTTTGGATTATAATTAAGTAAAAGTAAATTTGTTTGAGTAAAATAAATGAGAACCACATTTTGTTTTTCTCTCTCCATTTTTTCAATTCTATAAGCTGCAATTTTTAGCTTTTGAATTAAGTATGTGATTTTGGCATAAGCTCTTAATTTTTTAAGCACTTCTAAACACAATCAAACATATTAAAAGTCAAAAGCTACTTAAACGTAGTTTCAAACAGGCACTAAGGAGGTGTTTGGAAACACTCAGAATCACTTTTCAGAAGTATTTTTTCATAAATCGAAATAAACCCCTCTATATATTTATTTTGTATATCGTAAAAACACTTTTGAAACCATAGTTTTGTTCTTATCCAAACACCTCCTAAGTCGATATGAGTAGATACTTGTAAGGGATGAGAAGGCCGGAGCCAGTTTCGCTGTGCACTCTAATGGCTCAAGCATTCAGAATGATAGGATTAGCTACTTATGATCACTTGGTTTGTTTCACGAAGCTTTCTCACTGGACCATTCATGGCGTCCTCGTGATGAAGAAAAGATGAACTCAGATATAGAGAAGGAAATGGGAACTGATGGAGTGAGAATCGAGATGAGAGAAAAATCTGTTAAGATGAGAATGGGATGTGGAGAAATGAAGTGCTGATGTGCGATTTGTGGTGGGAGTTCATTTTACGCTTCATATGAATCTCCCAAGTCCAGAAATGACGTGAAGCCATCTTCACTTGAACCCAACTGATTCTGTTTCGATTTTCTAAAGAGAAGAAGCTCCCTTTCCCATTTTAGTATCCCACTCGGCCAACATTTCAATTTTCTGCTCGGAAGAAATGATTTTCCTTAAGTGGTGGGATTCAAATTCCTTTGTTGGTTGAAAAGCTTTCCATTGGATTTTGTTCTCCTCCCTAGCTGGAAATATTTTTCAGCAGCATGAAATTTAACTTTTGCTCTTGAAATTAAACCAATGAACCAAAGAGCAATGTTTAATTTGCAAAATTAACTTGACAATCATGAAAAAAAACACTAACTCATATTTTCCACTCATGACATGTGCATATTTACTTTTATTTAATCCATAATATAAATATTGGCTAATTAACTCACTAAAATAGATACAAGAATGAACATTTAGCATATCAAAATAGTTGTTTATCAATGGGTTTCCTTCATTCTAGAACACCCTGCCTCCACGGATCTGTCATTGCTTCACATGCTTTGTCTAAATTAAATCTGTTTAGTCTTGCAATTTGAAAAATACTACCTCTAGTCTTTAATATAAAAGTTTGTTTGACTTTTATTTTGATCTCAAATATAGGACCCCACTCCATTTTGTCTCTAAGATAATCCTTGTAATAATAGCAGCTCTAGTTGATATACTTGATTAGTAATGATATTTTAGGAAAGACGACACTTATTTATTATAAAAAAACTAACTTAACTAGTTTTCTTAATTGACTTAAACTAATCAACTAACTCTTATATTAAAAACTAGATGAGGTGATAAGTTTATTCCTGGGTTAATCTAAGCAACTTTTGAGAAGGCAAATATTCTTGAGTGAATGGCATCATATGAATTCCCCCAGCTTAAAGGTGAAGAAATGACCATGAACTCATTTTGTTTTTCTCTTTGAAAACTCGCCATCTAACAATTGGATGAATCAGCTCATTTGATACAAACGTGGGGAGTTGTGACAATATTGCGTTTCTTTTTGCTGGCGACTGATTTGCGTGTACCACTGTGTTAACATTATTTAATGTTACGTCTTTCATCTTCATTTGACGCATCATCAAATGGCAAGCAAGTGAGGCATTGACCTTTTAATTGGCGGAAACTATGAGGACCAATGTTTTGAAAAATAAAAGATTAATATAATTTTTAGTTTTTAAATTTGTTTTTATTTTTGATTTTTTAAATTTTGAATCTTAAAAGAACAAAATAGTTTAGTTTTTAATGAATTATAAAAACTAATATTTTAAATAAAAAAACTTAAGAGAACGAAACTTATGATTTAAAATATAGGAATTAAAATTAAAATAAGAGAAAAACTGAAGACTAAAAATTTTATTAACCCAAAAATATACTACATGGAAAGATTGCCTGAAATTACGTTGACCAAAAGCTGATTTTTCCGTTATGAATAGTATGTATTGACCACCATAAAACACTTTACGGCGTCGTATTGCCTCCGTAAATCAAAGTACCCGTCCTTCGTCGGTTGTCAGCGTGAGTATGCCGTACATCCTATAAAGGCGGCCCCTTCAGCCGGAAGCATGGGTGATTGGATAAATTCCTTAAAACACGAGCGGGATTGCACAATTAAGAAGGGACGAGGGCTAAATGACTAGGGTTTATCAAGTTCAACTATAACTGTATTTGCGATTTTAGGGTTTTGTTGTTCTTGTAGCCTTGAATTTGTTGCAGGTAATTTCGCATATATTTACTTCTCTTTTTAATTTACAATTTGAAAGGTGACAAGGAAAATCCCGAAATGTTTCTGGATTTATGAATTGTCAAGGACCTCCGACCTGCCCGTATTTCTGGGTGAAAGACTAGGGTTTAGTTCGGAGGAGATTTCTTTTTCTTGTTTTAGGTGGAGGGGCATCACTGGCATGTTTCTCCGTGGATGCAGGTTTAGGGGTTTGTGTTTTCTCATGCGCGTTTAAAATTGGAGATGAGTAATACCAACGAGAACGAGGAATCTGGCCATGTGCCAGAGCGTGGGGACCAAAACAAGCAATTGTGTGATGCACAGGTTCAACAGGAGGTTTCTTCTATTTCTGTTCCAGAAGAGATAGCTGCCAATCCTGCCGAAAATGTGAAGGGAGTGGCACCTGCTGGTGAGAAAAATCAGGAAACGGAGGTTATGTCGGAGGATACTCAACAACAAGAAGTTCAAAATACTCTTCGCTCCATCCCGGTAGAATCCGATGCTCAAATTTTGGTAAAATTGAGTCAGGACACGTATCAGATGTGAAGAGTGAGGTCAAAGAATTTTCACAGACAGATACGGGCATAGAGAGTGATGCTGTTGTTGGTAAGAAAAATTCTGATACAGCCGAAACAGTTAAGAATGTCAAGCCTGAAGCTTGTGAAGCCACTGCCAGTGAAACTTGCAAAAATGGTGATTCCACACCCATGGTTCATAACGAACCTGCGACACCGCAAGCAGTTCCTGTTGATACAAAAGCTGGGGCTGAGAATGGCATAAAAGTTGAGACTAAGGTCCATGAAGAGCATACTGCAACACTTGTAGATAAAGGAAATTCAAACACAAAGCTCTCTTTTTTAGATGTTGATTATGATGGAAATGAGTCAGGCACCGAAGCAGAGCAGTCTGCTTTTATGAAGGAGCTTGAAAATTTCTTTAGGGAGAGGAGCATGGAATTTAAACCTCCTAAGTTCTATGGAGAGGGGCTTAATTGTCTTAAGTGAGTTTTTTCCCTTTCATTAAAATTTTTAGTTTTATTGTGGCATAAATGATATAAATTCTGAAAATATATCTGATCCACCTCAATGCTTAATTGGTGGAAATTAAGGTTGTGGAGAGCAGTGACCAGACTGGGTGGCTATGACAAGGTATACGTGCGTGTGCGCTCAATTTCTTTTTCCATTGATGCAATCTTATAATTTTATGTGGCTTTTTTCTCAACCTGACTGGAATTTCTATGAAATGTTTCATGTATTACATTATTTAAAAATATAAAACTGATTCGATCACATAGTAATTATATGGGCTTGAATTTAGTTGAATTGAATTTACTTAGGTATTTTGTTTGATTTGTTCATCCCTAATTCTTCAATCACATATTGTTTGTTATTGACTATTCACAATTTGAAAATAATTTGTCTAAATGTATGAGCTGGGTTGTGATTTGATGAACCATAACTAGCATACCTACTGCCTCTTAATGAATGTTGAAATATAGTTTTGTTTGGTTACAAGTATTGATGAATCAATTAGTTGATAACCTTCTTCACTTTCATCATTGCTGTCACAGAAAATTTGCCAACACTTCAATCCATTTGGTGTGATTTTACCGTAGGATATTATTTTAGGGGCTTGTTCCTTAGAAAAGGGACACTAATTGTACACTATGTTGGAAATTTGTTTAAATAGTTGCTTTCATTGTTGCCAGGGCATATTAACTGACTTATGTTTATTGATAGGTAACCTCATGTAAGTTATGGCGGCAAGTTGGAGAGTCCTTCAAGCCTCCGAAGTAAGTGACGACATGCACCTTCTCATACTGGACTTGTTTAATTGAAATTTAGTTACTGTGTAGGTTTATGGCCTGTGAACTAATGCCACAATTTTACTATGTAAAATCGCCTAAACATTTGGAAGCTTGAACTCAAACTGAATGGTTTTAGGTAGACAAATTGGATGCCTTGTTTCTCATGTCTCTTGAATGCTATTGGATGTCAATTTGCAATGACAGTCCATGGAAAGGTCGTTGAGAGCAGTTGAAGTGTCAGTATCAGACAGTGAATTAATACTGACAGAATGAATTGAGAAAAAAAGTTTTTTTTTTTTGGTTTTTTTTTTATCAATAGCTTTCACGAGTGTAACTGCGCCCCTTTCCTTCAACCTAACTGATTTTTAGGAGTTGCCATTTATTCGTGACAATATGTACCCCCAACAAAAAAGGGGGAAGAAAGGAAAAGAAGCAGCATCCTTGCCCAAAAGGATGGTATTAGAAGTGTGCGCCAGAAAGGTTTGAAACCTGTCCGATCTGGTCTGGTCCAACTCGATCTAGTTCAGAGCAAAAACATAAAATTGTCTTAAGCAGAAATGAACATGTGGTCTTCTGGGGTTGATTCCCCCTTCTCCACTCTTAAGAAAGCCATGATGTTGCCACCGATTTTAACTCTCCCTAATTCTGAAGAGAGATTTGGCATAGGAGTTAATGCTTTGAGTTTTGGGATGGGGGTTGTGTTAACTTAGCATGGCCACCTGTTAGCTTTTGCAAGTAAATCTCTTAGTGCCAAGAAGAAATTTTTGGCAACTTATGAGATGGAATTAATGGCCATCGTCTTTGCAATGATCCAATGGCGCTCCTACTTGGTTGGCCACACGTTTGCCGTATGCACGGATTATCTACCTCAAGCATTTACTTGAGCGGAAATCTATCTTCCTTGATTAGCTTAAATGGCTTAACAAGTTATGGGGGCTCACCTACTAGATCGAGTATAGGAAGGGCAAAGATAATCTTGCTGCTAATGCCCTTTCTTGACACACGAAGTGTCTGTTAGCCCCCATATTTAATTTACCTTTATGCATTAGTAACTATGAATTTTGACTTTGCAAGAGGATTCAACGCTTAATTATGTGATCAAAGATTGCAATTGATTATCATTATCCCACAAACGTCTAACCCTTTCATGTAAATCAATAGCTGGTACTAAAAGAGCCATGCATTGAAATTTTGGTACCCTGTACAAAGCATATTACAGTAGTTTCCAACCCTTTGCAAGAGACAATTTTATGACTTGAGCCCCACAATTTATGCAATCACTTAAATTAGTCAAGACTCACTTCCTTTTGCTCAAATGCTTCAAAGGGGGGCCATCATTTTTCATCACAAACATTCTTACCCCTTAATAAGGCCTTCATCGCATGACAGCAAAGATAATACCCATCTAATCCCTCTCATACCTGCTGAAAGGTGGTTTTATGATTGCTAAGAGCCGTAGGGCTAAGGGTTGACCATGTTGAGAAGGGATTGCCCCCAACCATGCTAATAGCCTTTTGACAAACCCACCTCTTGTTGGTGTTTCATATGGATGAGTAATATCTGCTTGGCAGCATGAAGAATTCAAGGAATCAACACTTCCTTCTTAGGTAATCCATCTGTGCAACCCGCGTCCCGAATAACAAATTCCTATTCCAATGAAATATCATCACTTTATGGTCCATATCCAAAGGTAATTCTCCTACCTTGGCCTTGAAAAAGTTCTATATGATCTATTCTAGGCCCTTGCATTTCTCCATAGCGCACAGATTTTTCACACTATCTCCTTCACTTCCTTTGTTTCTTGTGTTACAAGTTCCAACCTTTTCAATGGTGTTAATGCAAGATACCTTCCTTCAATAGTGTTTGCAATTCTTTTCAATTGTCCTTGCTCTTCTCCCTTTATGGCATCCACAGACTTCATAATCTTGCACTGACAAAGAAAAGTTATGATTCCTTGCACAAGCAAAAATCTTGTAGAGCCCTAGAAACGTTGGCCTTTCTTACTCCTCTTCCATCTCCTTTTGAGATGCCTAGCAAGCTTGTAGTCAATGCTCGAGCTGTCAATATAGATAGGTACCATCTACTGCTAGAGCTTACTCTTTTTCCCTACAGTTTGCACCTTTGAAAGAGCTCTTATCACACTCAAAACACCTCTACTGACTCTCTAGCTCACTACATGTAGGTTCTTTATTGCCACGATTGGATTCACTCTTCATACATCAATGACCTTTGCCTCAATCTCCTTGTAAAACTCACCAAATCACCTTATGACTTTTCTTCATAAAATTCAGGTGCCGCCTTAATATCCATTTCTCTACATGCAGATTGGAGCTTAGTGTCATGCTCTGCCAACGCCTATGCACCCATCCGTGAGATCACTGTTGTTGAATTTCAAAAATTTGAGTCTGCTGAGGTTCTCTAGAGCGTTGTAGTGAGTCTGGCTCAGTTGAGCTGAATTGAGGCATTGTTGCTTGTCCACTAGGGCATGACTTTTTGTTGATATAACCTCCATGGTTGTTCATAGGTACCATTGTCATCTTCAGAATCATGTTAACTGTAAATGCTTCAGTTTGAGCTACAAATCACTGCAATCCTCCAAGATTGGAAGTATTCTATTCCGATTAAGTTTGATTGTTCTCAACTATTGCAGCTTGAAGCTCCAATTGATGGTTGAGATCTCCATATCTCTCCCGTGATTGCATCTATGGTGCCATTGAGCTAGAGTGGCTCTGGTGCGATATTGATTTATGGAAATTGGTAAAGAAGAGTTTGTTCATCAACAGCATCTGGAAGTGTACCTAGAGGATTATTTGTAGGCCACTCTAACACTTTCCTCCAACATAACTGATTTTCCCTCCTAGTTATTAACCCATAAGTAGTGAGGAATTGCCATTCATTCATAGCAATATCAAACTAATTATGATTGATGCATCTATTCAATTATCCTAGCTTGATCAGTTTCTAAACTGATATAGGTTTCCTCCCTTCCCCCTCTAAGTACTTGTCTCTTGGCTTCCGCTTTTTATTTGCTTCCTTTTTTGTTTTTTGAGGTTGGGGGATAGGACTCTATGAGGTATTTAAATTGAACATTTTATTATTATTTTATGGTCTCGTGATATGTTTCTGTTTTCTTTAACTTTTGCAGGACATGTACAACTGTATCATGGACGTTCCGAGGATTTTATGAAAAGGTGATTTTAGATTAATGTACTATTAGTTTTCTCTCTTGTTTATTGCTTTTGTTAACTTGGTTTCGAAATATTTCTTTGGCCATGTTTGACATGGTGTTCATTAAGGCTTATAGACTAATTCAGTTAATCATTTACTCATTTTCAAAATATCTGATGATTGCATGGTTATTTTCCCTTTGGAATTGTACACAGGTACAGCCTCATGTCCTTTTTTTTAATTTTTTTTCACCATTCTCTTGTAGCCTTATTTGTGCTGCTTATAATATGTTACTCCAGGCTCTTCTTGATTATGAAAGGCATAAAACAAAAGGTGGTGAGCTTACTGTTCCTATTGCTTCTCATTCAGAGCCTATAAATATTGAAAATCAGGTATTGTGTGAGCCACTGTCTCTTCTCTTAGCATGATTGAAGTTGTGGATGGAAATTTTTTTCCCAAAAAATTGACTTGAAGAGCATGGCTGGATACAGCTGTTCTATCCAGCTTTTTCTTTTTGCCCTGATTTCAAAACTACTTTTTTGAGGCACACAAAAATGTTACATCTTCTCAAAGTCCGTTTGCATCTTAAAACAAACACAATAAACTTTTGGGCATACCATTCTATCAAAGTTGTATAAATAAGAGTTAGATAAGAGGTTTGCTTTGGTTCTAAATATAAGACTTCAATCCATTTTTGTCACCCAAATTTATAATTTTCTCCGCAAAATATCCCTATTGATTGCATGTGTTAGGGATTTCTATCAAGGACTAGTTGCAATGCACATGTTTAACAAGGGTATTTTAGGAAAGTCAATGCCCACATATCACAAATAACTAACTTAGCTAATTTCCTTAATATGCTCAAATTAGTTATCTAGCTTCTAAATTAAGGACCGGAGGTAGTAGTTATAAGACCTCACTTGGCATCCAACAAGTGATGCCAGATCCAAACTTTTTCTTTTGTTTTATTGAGAGAAATACAATTTACTCTTTTAACTATCAGTTTGAATCATTTCAGAGTTCAGATATGTGTTTTATCTTTACAAGGCTTAGACGTGGGTTTTAATTAGATCTGATATCATTAGCTCGAGGTCATCTATCATGTAGAAGTTGCTAGAAGTTTGGAATATTAATTGAAAATGGTGTGATTGTTTATGTTGTCATACAATCCCCTAAAGTCCCACCTTTAGTTGCATTAAGTTTGAAAAATGGATAACGTCGCTATGCCTATTTGTGTCTTAAAATCCTTTGTGCCTGATGAGTGCGTGTAATCAGGCTTCAGCATCAGGCAGAGCACGGAGAGATGCTGCAGCACGGGCTATGCAAGGTTGGCACTCACAACGTCTTCTTGGTAATGGTGAAGTTAGTGACCCAATCATTAAGGTCTGCTTTATATTTGAGATTCTGATACAAGTACTCCTAGGCATTTTGTTTACTAGATATTTCATTGCAGTCTAACCATATAATGCATTTGTTTTTTTAGGACAGGACGTCCATGCCCATGCAGAAGCGTGAAAAACAGCTTAAAAGCATCAGTATGATCCTTTCATCCTAGCTGTTGTTTGTAATAGTGTTATATGTGCTAAATGGTTCTAATTATTGGATTTCTTCCTCTGATTGGATCAGATTTACTAAAACGTAAGAAACCATCATACATGGATAATGCAGTCAAAGCAGCACGCAGTAAACCATCAAAGCCACAGTTAAGATGACATTCTCTGTTTCTCTTTTCTTTTGTGTGCTATGCTTGATCTTGGTCCTAAATGTAATACATATTTCCCATATTTATCAAATTTTTCCTAATTATCCTTATTAATACTCAATCAATAGTAATCAAATACAATAATAATTTAGTAATGCGTCTATTTATTCTATAAAGTGAGTAATGCTTGCTACTCATATATGTCACACGCATCAGTTCTAGTGTTCTTTATTTTTTAATAAAATAATTTTATGCTTTTTGAAGGGGGGAAAAAATAATTCATATAGGCACCCATTCAAAGTGATTGGATTTTTTTTCTTTGAAAAATAGCCCAATAAAATATTAATCTCATTGTCTTTTTTCCATGGCTATTAAAGCATAACCTTTCATTTGTATTTTACCCAATCAAATAGACGTTCACTTAATAGGAAAAAATTCATCTTCAAACAAAAAGCCAAGAAAATAAATAAAAATAATAATTTTACCCATTAAAAATTCATTTCAAATCTATAAACTAGTATCAAATGCATAAAAGATCGTTATGTAGACTTTATGAATCCGTAAATCCCAAGAACAAGGATATAAGGAAAAGCATATCATTTTAATTGTAATTGACTAACTTGACCAACATCCGAAATTTTGTCAAATTAGTTAAATAAGTCTTAAAATTAAAGACCAAAGGAGTAGTTAATGAAATGTGACACTTTTGGATGTTATACTCTGGCAATTGGCATTATGGTTCTTTAACTATTTTGTCTGCTCTGTTGATGTCTGTGGCTGGTTAGATTGGACACAGCAGTTGTTGATATTGGACCTCCTGCTGATTGGGTAAAGATAAATGTCCAAAAAACTGTAAGTTCATTTATCATGTATTGGAATTGAAGATAATCTGTGTATGTAATCAACTCATCAAAATGCTATTTTTGTGTACAGAAAGATTGTTTTGAGGTCTATGCATTAGTTCCTGGCCTTCTGCGAGAAGAGGTAACTGGGATATATTCTTCGTGTTTGTGTTATCTGTACTTCATATGTTTCCTTTTCTCTGACTTGGCTGGCACACAATGAAAAAGAGTGAAATGGAAGATTGAATAAAAAAGCAATCTTTATTCGCCAAAAAAAAAAAGAAAAGAAGAAGCTATCTTTGATGATAAAAAAAAATGACTCTCTGCACTTTAAAAAAAGTAAAAGATAAAAATTATTAACTGTTAAAGTAATCATTATACAAGCATAACATACATTGTTTTAAACAAATAAAAAGAAGAAAATGAATACTGCATGAGCCGCTAGCATTGGTGTTTGTCATCTGTTTGTTGAAATTTTCATATATTTAGGCTTGTTGGGTTTTTGCATGCCAAATATTTGATAGAATTACAAGTGTTTTTAACTCAGTCTGATATGAAGAGAAGGAATGAACGAAGAGAAGAAAGGGTAGAGAGAGAGAGATCTAGGAGAAAATAGAGGTAAGCCAGGGAGAGATCTGAATGTTGCTACTGTGTAGATTCAACAACAACGCAAAACTGACCCTTCCCCTCACGCAAAATATAGCCCCCATATTTAAATCGTCGATTATTATTATTTACATTACTCAGTCATGTGTATGCAGCAAGCATTTGGTCCCAAAAGATAAAACAATGCTGAAATTGATCTGAGAATACTTTCTATTGTCTAGAGCTTAAATATATAATTTGTCATTGGTTATAATTACGTTTGCTTTTTAAAACCAGGTTCGTGTTCAATCAGATCCAGCAGGACGATTGGTCATTAGTGGTGAACCTGAGCATCCCGATAATCCCTGGGGGGTGACTCCTTTCAAGAAGGTAGTCTTCTATTTCATCCGCAACGGAAAAGATGTATCGGGCCATCTCTCATTTGCCTACAACAGTTCCTGCTGCAACCTTTAACTTGATAGTATCACATGTTTTGATCATATGTTGCAACACCAAGTTCTCCCTCACCCCAACCCCCTCCCAAAAAAAGAGTTGAACATTCACAGGAGCACTGCTGAATTTCAAGTGAAACAATCCATCATTTTCACATTTTGAATCAAAATATTTGTGGCTTCACTGAGCCTACCACTTTGTTTCTGCGATCCCTTTTGTCAGCAATCGTCGCATCAGAAGTCAACTGATATTCCACTACATATATGCAGAAAATGTGTACTGCTGAAGTTGCCTTTATTTATTCTAAAGAGAAATATTCCTCCAGTCTTAAATATAAGACCCATTTTGTAGTGTAAGAACACTACAAAATGGGTCTTATATTTTGGATCAAAGGAGTACCATCTTCCTTTGCAGATCTAAGTTTAGTTCATGTGGGAAGTACATCAGGACTCATCCTCGACTCTTGAGGATACGTACTTGATTGTCATACCAAAATGATAAATTATCCCCGTCCTTCTACATTTATGTTGCAAAAAATTATGCATGATACTCATATGCAAGTATTTGATTATGTAGGTTGTAACCTTGCCTTCAAGAATTGATCCTCATCAGACATCAGCTGTGGTTACATTGCACGGACAGCTGTTTGTTCGTGTCCCATTTGAACAATCAGAGTAGTGGTGGCTGATGTATACCTGATTTATTTAGTACTTCATGCCATTAGAGAAATGAATCCCGCCCTCTACGAGCAAAATTTTCGAGCTGTGGAGTATATATGTTATGTTAATTTACTTATAAAATTTCAGTGCATGCTATCTCAAGTACTGCAATGTGATCCTATTTCAAATATTATACAGTTAGGATTTTACTGAAGAATTTCTCAATGTAGGAACTAGGGTTGTTGGTTTACAGGCAGCTGTTGATTTTCTTTTCGTTGTACTAATTATCCAGTTTTTCTTTTTCCCCTTTTGATCAATCTGTTTTATACATCCTATAACGTTAATGAAACTCCGAGAAGTTACTTCTCCCGTAAGTTAATATTGTTATGGATTGATTACAAGATTACGGGCATCGCGGACGTCTAACTTAACTATAGGTTCTGCATTTTCTGTGAGCGTAGTCTAATTGTTGGCGCCCAAAAAAAAAAAAAACAAACAAACAGGCAGGTTTACTGGTATTGGCCTGCTTACAAGGCAATTGATCCTATTAATGTTGGAAAATGTTTTGTGCTCGTTTGAAAGATGTATTAAAAAGATGTTTTTCTAATCTGAATGGTTCTGTTTGCTTGATATGGATTGGAGATATACGTTACGTAACTGGACTATGCGTTTTGCGTTTTCTATAAGCGTGGTTTTATTGTAGAGAGGGAATTGATCCTACAAGTTCTAAGAGAATACTCCCTCGTATTCTATATATAATTTTTTAGAATATGAATTTTTATTCATTAATTATCACATGTTGGTCAAGGATTTTTTTTTTCCCCCCTTTTGGGTAGAGGTGAAGGGAAGACGAGCACTGAGATTAAATGTGTCTCTTGGCGTCGCCGGAGGAGACCAAGGGTACGTCGTGAGAGGTCTTGGGCTCTGTTTCGTCGGCCTCGGGGGTTGGAAATGTGTGGAGGAGAATATGGAAGAAGAAACGAAAGCAGACTTCATAGAGAAAAGAGGGCAAAGCATGTGTGTCTCTCTAAAAAGGTGAGGAGGAAGAAGAGATTTCTGAAGAGAATGTAAGTGAAGTGGATGTGGCTCCGGAAAGGTGAGGAAGAAGAAGAGGGCAACGAGCTGAGCCTGGGTGATGCTTTCTCTTTTCTTTTCTTTTTTTTCTTTTAAAAAAATTTCTCAGATGCACATGCGGTTAGTTGGATGACTGAAAATAATAGTTTTTCGCTGGATAGGATAATTATTTGATGATTAAAAATAAATTATACATGATAAGGACATCAGTGAGTTAAAAATTTAGAGACTGAGTTATACTAAATTAAGAGATTATATAAAAACAAAACTATGGTTTTAAAAATATTTTTATAGTATACGAAATAAATATATAAAGGAGTTTATTTTGAGTTATAAAAAAGTATTTTTAAAAAGCACTCTTAGGGTTATCCAAACATCTCTTGAGTTACAAGTAAGTCAAAACTTAAAGAACCAAAGACTAATTTTTCCTAAACTTAACACCACTTCCAATCTTTAATATAAAAACTCATTTAACTTTTATTTTCGTATTAAATATAAGACCCTAATTTACTTTACCTCTCATTTATTTTTTTGTCTAAGATAGTCCTTAATAATTCTAACTAGTATACTTGATTAACAAGAATATTTTCAGAAAAAACAAAACATATTTATAACAATATAACTAATTTTTTAACATATTTAAATTAATTAACTTGTTTTTATATTAAGAACTGAATTTATCCTACACGCATAACATCATTCTGTTGTCCACAAACGGTGGTAATTTTCCAAACAAAAAAAGGGTGCTCTGGTCTTAACAAATTCAGAAGATTAGAACCGAGAAGAGGTTCACGCCCGTCGCAGATACCGAAAGACTTGTGTTTCTTTTACCAGATTTCGTCCAAACATTACACGCATCCAACCATCACATTTTTCCCCAGACCGCGGATAAACAATAAATAATAGTTTTTTTTTTTTTTGGCTGAAACACTACAGTGTATTTGATATTTTTGTGCAATATAAAGGTATCAGCCATATTTTAAATATAAATAATACCTTTTTTACATGAAATACATATAAAAAAAATATTCCTCTCAAAAGATTTATCCTTCCTCACTCCTCAGGCAGTCACCATGGATGCCAAGTCCAATTCTTCATCCGAGTCTATCACCTCTTCGTAATCATAATAAGCATTCACCTGCGTCACAGAATAGGAAACACATTAACTTCACTCAAAAAATCCACAACAACGCAAAAGAAACCCGCAATTATAACGCTGCTCAGGACATTCGATGGTCCTCACAATAACACGTATTAGGATTTTAGAATAATTATTCATATTCATTGGTTAATGGGTAATTATTTTTTTACCTTAGGCCTTGGTGTAACTGCTTCAAAGCAATGAAATACTGGATTGTCAAAATGCGGGGGTTCAAGGACAACATAAGCCCCTTTGTTATTATACCTGTCATCCGTTGCCTGCAGGAGAAACAGTGCTTAGATCAGAGGAACTCCAAAACAAAGTTTAACCTAAACATGATATTTTTAATTTAAGGAGGAAAAAAGAAGAAGAAGAAGAAGAAGAAGAAGAAAGATTTTAGGGACGAGTCACGTAGCGGATGAGCCATTAAGCATTCTCAACATAAAGCAACCCAAAAACGGGGAATTCACATTCATTTTAGCAAGGCAAAAAGGAAATTGTCCACTATTAATATCATTCACTAGACACCAATTACATTCTTTAGCTCCCTATTCATAGAGATAGAGTATATTCCCAAACTACCCTTACTATTCCTTATTCCCATGAATCAATTTACTCGCCGCTGACAAAAGATCCTTGTCCTCAAGGATAAGTACGAAAGCAGGAAGTAAAACATATATCTAGAATAAGACCCTTTTTTTAACCTAGACCATAAGTTGCTAAGAGAAGTTTAAGCAAGGTCATATTTCTCCCGCAAACAAATCTAATTTATAGCAGGACAGATGCTTATGAAAGCAAACAATCATCTTACATCAAAATACAATTGCAAGCCAAGACAGCAAGAAACAAGAGAGAATATAAAGAATTCAATCTCTCCACTGGATAAGGAAGAAATCACGAAAACATGGATATTCAATATGGAATACGACCCAGGCTATATTTGAAGTTTCTATTACTTCCTTAAACAGGTGCTTGGATAACGTGCACCAAGCATAACACATGATCTTGCACTGCTTAGCTAGAACACTATTACCACGTTACAAGGATTTTAAAGAACAATGGCTTGACTCACAATAGTAACCAGAATTAACATAAAAATAAGAACTGGTTTTACTTGAAATAGTGCAAGGCCATATGTCCTGACTGGTTCGCATAAAAATTCCTGCTTTTAAAATGATGCTTAACCAGCTCACAAAAGAGCTGTTCCGGAGCAGATAATTGACTATTTTTCTATCAGACAATCCAGAAGTTTCAAAGTACCTCCCAGCTTTAGGTTCTTCTCAAAAATAAAAGATTAAAAATGCATTTATGCCCTGTTAAATAGGAGAAAAAGAGAGATAGGGAGAAGGAATGGATGGAGAAAAAAGCTTCCCTGATGTTTGGTAGAGGCCAGACTTTCCTTAGAAATCATTAATTCCCTCATTTGATGAGAGGACATCTCGCTTCAGAGAGGAAATGTAGTGTGTTCCTGGGAATCAGCTTTTTGACAAATATGCCCCTCCTAGCCTAATTAACTAGCCACCTGAAAGCAGAGGACTTTTGCCACAAATATTTCCCCCATGAAAGATACTGACACCGTCACCAGAGAGCTGAGCATCAAGCTCCATCCCATGACAGTCATTCACTGCCATGATAGCCAGTCATCATGCCACATATCTTCCCCCTGTGCCACTTCTTGATTTTACACTTAGCTTCCTCATAATTGCCTCAAGCCATTGTCTTTGTAGTCGTTGCCATCACTTAAGATCTTCTGCTGGAATGTAGCCACCACCAGAGGATATGAAGAGTTGTGCAACTTTCCTTCTATTGATCTGTATTGAGTTTGTTTAGCCAATTTTCACTTGAATCTTCTAAGTGAAATCTGTGCATTATTAATGTTTACCAAAATACGTTCCCAAGAAACGTTCTAATTGCAATGTTCTCTCTCCATTTATGTTGTTGCAATGTTCCACACAGTAAAAGCAGATGAATTGCGCTGCACTGCTTTGACGGAGAATGGACAATGGGTTTCTAGGGAAGGAATGTGTCATTTAACAATTTTTTGTTCCATTTAGTCTTACTTTTATATGATTCCCAATAACTTTTTATCCATACCAAACATGCATGGATGTTAGGAAAATTCATTCCTTGAAATGCTTTCCCATTTCTTATTTTGTGCCAAACGAAGCTAAAGAAAAAGCATTTGTATATCATTACTACTTTATATGCCTTTGGAAGTTGTTTTGCATCCAACTAGACAAGCCATTGCAAGGAGTAGCCATTCAGCAATTCTTCTTTGAAACATCTCTAAAGACAGAGTCATACATGTAGTCTGGTTTTATCATACAGAATTACTTTTATCAAGTCTCATTAAAGCTATTGATCCTAAGCATCTACGTGCACAGCATAATAGCAATAAAGTTCTCATTTAAATGAGAAACTCGACATATTAATCATTTCTCCTTGAAAAGAAAAGTTAGCGTAAGTGAATATTATAAATGAGACCAAGTAATAGGCCCTGGCGCAGAAGCGTTAGACCTTAACAAAGGCGGATCAGCTAGACAGAATAAGTGAGTCAAATGAAGCTAAGAGGAGTGCCAAAAACCTGAAATTGTGGGTAATCTGGAGCACTGAAAAGGGTGATCATCTTTCCAGACTCCACAATATGATCGATAGTGTAACCTTCATCCATTCCATCAAAACCCTCCCTCTTTTCCCGTGCATCAGGACCTTCATGTGATCTAATGATAAACTGACCAAAAAATTGTGACAAGCCATGTATCAGCAATATTCTCAAGCAAAAATGATTTCATAAACAAGATAAATTAGAGAATATGAAATCCACAAGAAGAAAGCAAAGGAAAAAGAACGGAATTACATGAAGCTATTATAAAAATAGTGAACAAAATACGTCTTCTTGCTCTCCTTCATGGACAAATGAGGTAGATGCAGGATGAAGCACTAAAGCTATCTATCATTTTGTAGTTGATTAATTAATAAGGCTGCCAGCCTTCCACATATATCTACATGCTCATATAAATTGTAATAATCAGTTATATAGCTCAAAACAACTATGACGCATAGACAAATGACATAGGAACATTACACACATTAAGAAGGGATATCCAAATTTATATGCTGTGGAAGTACCGGGCTACATAGGTATGAAATTACCAGCAAATGTATGAACATCTATATCAGATATATTTGACTTGTGTTTTAAACATGTCTAGAGAGCATGCAAGTGCCAGTATGTGACAAAATTGGACACTACTTTTTTACAAGTGTCAGTGCTTCATGTACTTGGCATTTATAAACATTCAGCTGCTTTTCCAATTGGATAACTCGTGTACAAAGAAATGACCTATGCAAAAACCAAATTGCAATCAGACATGAAGATACAAGCCAATAATCCGCCCAAGAAGTCTTGTTATTGAATAGTTTTCTCATCTTGTACTCCCACGAATTCACAGCAAAGTCCACTTTCACAATGTAGATGTTAGTTTTACCCACTTGAAATAATCTTCTTCTTTTTTATGCATAGGGAAATATTATTTTAAAAATATATGCATAAGTTATTGTTAAAGTCTTATTAGCTCCACTTGGAGAAGTGCATTTACCTAAGCACGGAATCTGAAGCTTACAAGAGAACAAAGCGCAAGTCAAAACCCATAAACAATTTGCCCATTGAAAAATAGTAATCTTGTGCAAATAACTGATATAGGATAATATATGCTCTTGTAGAATCAATATATGAAAACGTTATCCTTTTGGCTATAGATATGTCATGACAAAATTTTATAATGGAAATTGGAGACAATGTTAAATCTTGACAATCACCACAAACAAGAACATCTCAAGTTCAATGGCAACCGGATTAGCACCTTTAGCTGATACTTCTTCAAGAATTCCTCAGTACAATCAGGACCCCACAATAAGCCAATGCCTCTTTCTTTGTTTGGAGCAAGACCAGGAGTTTTCGAAGGATCAGACCACAAAACATCACCAGGAATCAGGTTTGAGCCTTCCCAAGGAGGATCAAGAACTGATCGCCGAGCCTTAGATAATTCTTCCAATGAACCAAGACACAAGGTTTTAGTATCAGGTTTGGAATAATTCTTACGGTTTCGCTTTCCTTTTAATCTCTTTGATGGCGTCACGGTTACACTGCGGAAAAGTCCTCCATGAGCTGTGTACACACGTCCAGCTATAATAGATGCCAAAGGAAGACCTTCAAAGCATCCCAAACATTTCCGATATACATGCTTACCTTTATCACTGTACTTTGCCATAACTTCCTTCTCAAAGCCATAAACAGATGTACAGTATTTTGATTCATGATTCCCGCGCAGTAGATACACGTTATGCGGCATAAAAACCTGAAAAATAAAATCGAGTAAAGCTTGGTTTACTCAATGACAAGAAGACTATAACTAATCCATTTTCAATCAGTAAAGCTTGGTTTGATGATAATAAAGCAAATACTAGCTTATTATTACCAGTTCAATCATTCACATACTGGCAACGACAATTAGACTATAGCATTGAATATGCACTGTAACCGCGCAGGATAAAGTATAAAGTGTCTGAACAATAACGAACTTATGGTACATCGGTATCATCACAGACGAAATATGATATACATATACGAGCTTTCTTCGGCTGACACAGAAGAATAAGCGACCTAGCAAAGAAATCAGGACCACCGCCCACTGCCCCAGCAACTAAATCAAGCGAGAGTTGTTCCCCCGGGGGGGGGGGGGGGGTAGAAAATACAAAAGAAAAAATTTTGAAAATGTATTCCGTTAAAAGATAAATATACTGATAGGAAAGTTCAACATTTACCTTCCACGCCAGCAAGAGTAAGAAAGTTTCCAGACCCCAAGCTCCTCTGTCAACATAATCACCATTGAAGACGAATATGCGATTTGGCGAAGGATAGCCAGCATCTCTAAGGAGGAACAATAGATCATGCAATTGGCCATGAACGTCCCCCACAACGACAACCGCAGAAGCAGCTCGATCCCCGGACTCGGAATGAGGTTGAAAGGGGTCTACAGATACACAGTTAGGTTCTTTGTGAAGCATTTTGGAAGCGACAAGGATAAGAGAGTCGAAGACATGGACCGGCAAAACAGACGGAAATTCTGAGGGAGGGAGGTTCTTGGAAGACCAGTCGAAACAAGCCATAAGATTATAGATCCAACCGAGGCTGAGTTTCCCATCCTGGGGCCACGATACAGGTAGTTGGAGTTCGGGAGGCGGGGATGAAGATGCAGATGAGAGAGATGGGTTTTGGTCACATTTGAGGGGAGAAGTAGCAGAACCATTGACGACAGAGGGGGTAACAGAATCAGGCGGAGGAGGAGGCTCTGCTGTATCAGCAGAAATGATCATCGTCGCCGAAGAGATTGCACAAGAAGTATCTGAATTTGATGCGGACACATCCATAAGATATCCCCTTGTATTCTTTAATTTAGGGCATAATCCTGTGTTTTTTGTAATTATAAATCTACGTTCAATGGTCTTCCAGAATAATTCTCCCTAAATTATATACTAGCAGTACTCCCAAGTCCAAACAAGCTTGTATAGCTAGAACAGAGGGTGGAGTTGGCGTAGATGTCGGAACCCTAGCGCATCAGTCCCAGAGGAGCCAGGGAGGAACAGTCCGCTGCAGCCAGGGTCACGGTAATCATCGCATAAAATGGATACACGTGCCAGATAAAAGAGTAAATCCTGATTTACCAAATGTAAAATAAGTACTCCTCTAATAAAAGTACTATGTCCAATCCTAAATATAACAATTAGTTAATTAATTTGAGTAGATTAAAAAAAAGTTAAATTAGTTATTTATAATAAATATATACTATTTTTTCTAAAGTATCATTGCTAATCAAATTTATTCGCTAGAACGACTATCTTGAGAAAAAATGAATAAGTATGAGAGATAAAGTGGATTGAGATTTTATATTTAGAATCAAAATAAAAATCAAATGAGATTTTATATTAAAGACCGGAAGTAGTTTTTTTGTCCTATTTATAAGATACTAAAAAAAATTTACGTATAATTTTACCATTCATTTATTATTATGTTAACTTTATTTATATGAGATATAACATGCATTAAAAAGAGATAAAGTTAAAAAGTTATTGAATTTTAAATAAAAGTCAATGAAGTTTAAAATTTTTCTTAGTATTTGTGAAACACATTTAAAATGACTTATATATAGGACTAGAAGAGTATGTTGTAAAAGTTTTGCCTTGGCTTGTATGAAAATTGCTTATAAATGATTCCAATCGTGATTCTAAAAGAGAATTCTTTGAGTCAAGATGTGTCCAACAAGTTAAAAGTATTTTGTTAATAGCATTTAAGACTCTAAAATATTTTTTGGTATATTCAACACCTTCAAGTATATTTTAGTTAATATCCTAAAATATCTTGTACTTCATCTAATATTCTAAAATATTTTTTAGGTACGTTTAATATCCTAAAAATACTAAAAAAAATATTGTATAATGTTTGGTTTTTTTTTGTAGGCACAAGTATCGTGCTATAAAAAACAACCATGTTCATTCATTTAAAATTACTTATGAAGTACTATTTTTGTACAAATGAAATCTTATAATTAAGATTGGAGATAGTAATACTTTAAAAGTATTCTAAAAAAAATACTTTTATTAAGAATATCATTAACTCAAGGATGGGATACATGCAACGATTCAAGGTTCAAAAAATTGGACCGAAGTAGCCGATTCAGGGTGAAAACTAGTGAATCGGTGTTTGGTCTGATCTGGTTTAGCTTATGAATCAGCCTTGTAATAAACTGGAATGGACCAAAAAAAATCAGTACAAACCGAGAAAATCGTTAGGTCGGATGGGTCACTAGTTCCCTTTGTCTATCACTTCTTTTCCACTCTCACCGTTCGCCGGAGAAGCTGTGTTACGTCTCACGTTGGTCGAAGGAGCTATAGATATCGGACACTGCTGAGAAAAATGGTAGGAGCAGAGCAAATCATGGAGAGAGACTTAGAAATTTGTTTAGAAGTCTGCTGCCTGCTCCTTTGATTCTACTTGTGGGAGACTAAAAGGCGAGGAGGAAGCTAGAAGATAATGGAGTGGGATAAGATGTGTATAAATAAAGAAAAATGAGATTAAAAGAGCATGAGAGGCACAGGAAGCAATTGAGAAAGTGGAGTAATGAGGGGTGTTTTCAAAATGCAAAGTTTGCTGTGTACATTGTTCAAGAAAGAGAGAGAGAGAAAGAAAGAAAAAGCTAACTTGTTATGCGTGTTATGATAGGAAATGGTAGTAGCATCACGTGGGGGACAGAAGAAAGGGGTAAAATAATAAAAAGATGAGGATCTTAATAAGTAAGGAGAATAAGGAAAAAATAGAGAAAAGAGGAAGGAAAAATAGAATAAAAAGAAAAAATTTCATATATTTTTATTCATTTTAATTAAATTATACTATTTTAATAATTACCGGTTTGATCCCAGTTGGACTCTGATTTGACCCACTAACCCTTAAACCATTACATTAATCAGTTTAGTGTTCGGTCTAGTATTTGTTCCTTGCAACGATTTTTTTTTTTTTGCTGGTTAGAGGCCAAGGCATCCCCCAACCAAAACTAAAGGCTAACTCCTAATTCGACAACAAATAGAACCCAAAATGAGTAAAGTTTGTCCACTTGTGGCCTAGTTAGTGGTCGTAGGCTGAAATATATGGACACGTGTTGCGGGTGTTTGGAAATTAAAAGGGAAAATCACAAAAAAATGACAAATAGACTTCATAATGCAAAAAACATCTCCTGAATTTGAAAAATTCCAATTTAGTTATAAGTGACTAATTTGGCATTTATAAATATGTTGAAATGACCATATTACCCTTCATTTTATTTATTATTTTTAAAAAACCAAAGTCCCCACTGATCAGCCAGTCGCCTGAACTCCGACAGCGACGGCAGCATTCACAAGAGCTCCGACGACCGGCAAACAATTGGTTGTCGGAGCTTCGACGGTAAAAAACAATTTTTTTTGAAAATTTTTACGACTCCAGTATAACGGTTAACAATTTTTATAACGCTATTAACAACTTTAGTATAACAGTTAATAACAAGTTTTCTGAAAAATTTAACAATTAGTCACCAGAGCTTCGGCAATTGGAAACAATTTTTTTGAAAATTTTTACAACTTCAATATAATAGTTAACAACTTTTATAACGCTATGAACAATTTCAGTATAGCAATTAATAACAAGTTTTTTTAGGAAATTCAACAATTGGTCACTGGAGCTCCGACAGCCGGAAACAATTTTTAAAAAAAATTTTACAATTTCAATATAATGGTTAACAAATTTTATAACACTATTAACAATTTTAATATAGCAGTTAATAACAGGTTTTTCGAAAAATTCAACAATTGCTTCCGACTGAAGTTGTAAAAATTTTCAAAAAACTTATTTCCAGCTGTCGTAGCTGCGGTGACCAATTGTTAAATTTCCTGAAAAAACCTATTGCTAACTGTTATATTGAAGTTGTTAATAGTATTACAAAAGTTGTTAACTCTTATACTGAAGTTGTAAAAAATTTTCAAACAAATTGTTTCCGACCGCCGAAACTCTGGGGACCAATTGTAGACCGGTCATGTAGAGCTCCGGTGACTAGCCGGCCAATGTTCAATGTGATATTGCAGATAGAGATGAAATCCAAATGTCAAAATCTAATAATATTTATTCTTAACAAATTTGAGCAAAGGGGATATACATGTTATGCTCTTAGAAGTTCATGTGTGCGTGCATCTTGCTTTTGATCCAATTTTCAAGAAATTATACATAGAGACTAAATAACTCTCTCCACTTGCTTGTGAGAATTTGCCATTTCTAAAATGTCATCAAACTTTATTAACCTAAGAATCTACAGAGTTCCATAAAAAAATCAAATATATAAGTAAAAGAATAAAATGATATAAATAAATATATAGATTCATTTGTAATAAAATCCACAAAAGATCCTCAGAACATTTGTACCAGTTCCCACCCAGACAACTCAAAACAAAAAAAAAAAGAAGCTAACATTGCTTTCATTTATGCACATGTAAAAGAAAATGAGAGCAATAAGCAATATCAGTGGCGGCAAAGAATTGCTATCGAAATAACGTACCACCTTTTACCTTATACCCATAAGATTCCGAACTATCTCATAACCATATATTGCTATAGCCTACATATCAACAAATGAGAACCAAATATTTCAGATATCCTACTCTAATCTCCTAGAAATAGAAGATAAAAGAAAGAAAAAGAAAAACGTTTTCGAGTTCTTCTCCCTTACAGCTTTTGCAATTTTATTCTTCTATTCAAATGAGGAATCTAGATCCGTCTTCAAAATGTTTGCCCTGATAGATTCTACACAGTAATAACTTTCTCAATAAATAACTAGCATAAAAATTAATCATTTCATTCATACCTTGAAATTCATCTCAACAAAACAAATGCTAAAGTTGTATGAGAAAACAGAGAATAGAAAGAATATCGTGATAAGAAATTACCCTGCCATATTCCTCTTCCTCTTGTCTTGCTGGATATAAGAACAAAAGCCTGTGGGATCAGCTTATAAACTTGAAAAAATTAAATGAAAAGGACAATAAAAATTTAAAAAAGAAGAAGAAGAAGAGGAGGAGGAGTTAAGATCCAAACCTTCTCGTAATATGCCTTGCCAATGGCCTCCTCAAAAGCTGAGATACTAAAACGATATAGGACTTCTCCATTTCCTTTGGTAATGTAGACAATCCGAAGGTGAATGAGCTAGGAACTTAAGAACAGAGGGAATCCATGATAGAGAAGAAGAGGACAAGAAGGTGAGTGGGTGAGTTAGAAAAGTATACGAAGAAGAATAAGAGAAGAAAAGCAAAGAACCATACATCGGAAGCTTGAACTACTCACCCATTGAATCGTCAGTTTTAAAGTATTAATGTGTGGGCATGACTGACGCATATTTTCTCACCTGCTTGGACAAACAGGTTATCACCTGCAAAAAAAAAAAAAAAAGAATCCATGTTAAAAGACCAACCCTACCGGTGAAGGAGTCAAAATTCTCAGCAAAGGCAGCTGCATCTCAAGGAACACTCTTCCCCTCTTTTCAATATGAAGCTGCTTGACTTGATTCAAGCTTATTAGTGTGGTACAACACATTAAAAAAAATATTGAATCTCATTGATGTGATAAAACTTCAGCAACAAAAAAATTAATCTCGTTCAAAAGCATAAAGGAAAGGAGGAGGAGAATGAAGTGACACAAAGCTCGGTTCCTTCTGAGATAGCTGTCTCAGAAGCAAACTATACAATCAACATTATCAACAGAGAGAAAACAACGACATTTAGGAAATTAAGAAAGTGCGAGCCAAGAATATGACCTTACCTCATGTTCTTCTCGATGAATCAAGAAACTCCACAGCTTGGGATGAAGATGACGACCAATTTGGCTTCTCGAAGAATCAAAAAAACTCAGCAGCTTTGTATTCCTAAAAAATATAAAACTCTATCTGAATACAAAAAAATGGAGGAACCCATAAACCGAAATCAACTTGCTAATTTATGTTACCTTCAGATGCTTAGGGAAGGTAAATCATAGAATATGGACTTACAACACTCACTGATATCATAATCGTGAGCTCGTTCCACCGAATAAAAAATCTCAACCATTTTGAATCAGTGGTGAAAAACGAACCATGAAGTGGCTATAAAAGGGGTTGCTAAACAAATGGATAATACCTTTGGATGGGTTTTAGATTCCTTAGTACGGTGAATAGCTACTTGACCTTCCTTTCTGTGCAAGATAAGATTTGAAATTGAAAAGCAAGAAGGGGTGAGAATAGTAACGAAAGGGAGGAGGAAGATTACAAACATTCTGAATTTTGTATTGTGGTGGTGACGACGGAGATTGATGTGCCCCTGAAAAAGCGAAGAGGAAAGGAGTTCAGGGCAGGGAAAAAACGAAGAGGGACTTGAAGAGAACGAGGGAGCTGATATTTCAAATTTTGAAATTTGAGGCTGAGACGTGAGAAAGGGATGAAGCAATGAGCTAGGCACAATACATACTGCTATGGTGACATACCTGCTGTACAAATAAAGCCGAATACATAGAGTGTTTGGGTAAGATCAAAATCATGATTTCAGAAATATTTTTACGGTATACGAAGTAGATATGTAGAGGAATTTCTCTCAATTTGTAGAAAAATGTTTCTGAAAAGTGATTATTAGGATATCCAAACATTTCCTTAATGCACATTTACGGTTAACACACAGCTCTGGTAAAATAAAATTAGCTTGTGAATAGTGTTTTTGGAGGAGTGCTGAAGGTAAGTCGTATGACTAGCGTGGCTTGATGGAACAGTATGTTTAGTTTCTTTGATTATACATATTATAGGGTTAATATAATTTTTGGCATTTAAAATTTGGACCCATTTTAATTTCGATTCCTCAAATTTTAATTTTAAACATGTGGTTTTAATCCCTGAAATTTAATTATTCTTAAAACATTAATTCTTAGAAGCATAACAATGTTAAGATGTAGACTTAACAGATAGTATTTAGTTGTATTTTGTGTGGATAACAAATTATATAGAGAGGGATGGTTCTTAAAACATAGTGCAGTAAATGGTTTGTCAAATGAACAATGAGAAAAGAAAATGGGCTAAATAATTGCGTTTTGAGGATGTATTTTGTTTCTCTCTCTTTCTTATTCATACAAAATCTAATTAGGTGCCATTTGATGAGTTCAAATTACCAGTTTAAGATATTTTAACAGATTTTAACATTTTTACACATTCAAAGACTAACATTTTAAAATGGATTAAATTTTAAGAATTAAAAAAAAGTTTAAAATTTGAAAGAGTAAAATCAAAATAAATCCAAATTTTCACTGGACTAAAAATGGGTTATAAATACTATTTTTAGTTTTTAATATAAGACTTAATTAACTAATTTGTGAAAATTAAAAAAATTAATTAAATTAGTTATTTATAATAAATCAATATTATTATTTTTTAAATAATAAAAATAGGCAAATATCCCAAAGCGGCGTACTCACGGTGTAGCAACGTGACAAGGCGGGGTACTCACAATGCAATGTATTGCTGTAACTACAGAACCCCGAAAGCGGAGCTCTGACCTTGCTGGATCTGTGGCTCTCTGAATTACTTGCAGTTCTTCCTTCTCTGCAAAATCTTTGCTCGGGTGGGTGTTGGGTGAGATTGATTGGCTTTTTCGCTGTGGCAATGGAAGAATACCCTGAAGAGTTACGCACGCCGCCGGTGACATTGATATCCATGGTCGGCTGCCCGGAGGTTCACGCCTTAATCTCAACCCATCTCCTCTCTGCGAATCCACCAATCAACACCCTCGCCTTGCCGGATTTATCCAAAATCTCTCTCTTTTCTAAGAAGCTCGACTCCGACTCCAACACCACCACCTCTCCTCCGTCCTCCGTCCCTGTCATTCTCAAGCGACATTGGTTGCTCAAGCACCGGACTAGGCTTCCCTCCCTCCTCGCCGCTCTATTCCCTGCTCAACACGTGTTTGGTGACCCTGCTCAGTGGCTTCGGGTCTGCTCCGATCTCGATTCCATCAAGTAGGATTTGTCTCCACCACTTACCTAATATATTCTTTATCTACTTTTTCTTCAGCCCCGTCCTTCTTCTTTTACAAAATTTTCGCTCGCTTCATTTGGCTTCATGTGTGTGCCCTGTGCTTCTGGTCAGAACCGTCATTCGTGCCAGAAACATCAAATTGGCTATTGTAGTTCTTCACTCGGATGCTCGGGGTTAGTTCAACTTTTACTAGTTATCTTGCTCGTCCTCTCTGCCTAAAATAGATATCCCTCGAAGAGAGTTTAGAACAATTAGGTTCAGTCGCGATTGGATCTTAATTATACACATTAGGCGCTTCAAATTTACTTATTTTTGTTTGCTTAGCGAGTACGAACTCAATCCAGCATATTACTATATTCTTTGCTATTCATAGTTAAGCGTGTGTGCTAATATGTGCTGGCTATTTGACGCAGAAGAGATCAGTGAAGATCGAATGATTGCTCTACGAAAGCGTGCTGAAGTTGATTCCAGATATATTCTGATGTTTACTCCAAACGACTCTTCCGAACTCAAAAATTCTATCGGCAGGCATGCAAAGTTCATTTGTGTTTTCGGGGAAAGAACTTTTTGGATTGCTTCTATTTGAACAGCATTATCACTAAGCGCAACTTTGGTTCTTTTGTAGGCTGGCAAACACATTTGCTGAATTAGCCAGTACATACTACAGTGACGAAGGGAAAAGAATTAGGCTGCGAATAGAAAAGAAGAGCGTTAGCTCTGTTGAGTTAATCGTCCGTTACTGCTTCAAAGTAGGAATTCACTTTTACTTGGTTTCTTATATGTAACCACTCAACGAATATGTCATGGAACCGTTATTTTCTTGCTTGCTTTACGCTTCATGGAAATGAGAAGTTGAACCATATTTTATTAGTTTTGACCTGAAATATGTGATCTTACTCTCAAATGTCATGCATTATTGGTTCAGAATTCTAAAATGCATGCTGATAAAACGTATGAACTGATTCCTCTATGCATGTTTCTTTTTCTAAGCATATATGTGTTGTTTATATTTGTACCCCCCCCCCCCCCCCCAAAAAGTAAACGAGAAAAGAGTCTGATATGAAAAGGTAAGATTAAGAGGAAAGAGAAACAGAGGAGGGAATTGAGAGAGAGTAGGAACAGAGAAAAGAGAATTGAGAAACTGAGATGCGCTTGCATTTACGAGGCAGTCAACAACTGTGTGCAATAATGTCTAGGGATCTTATTTATAGTTTATTATCCTCACCTTCCCTACCGGCTAGTAACCTATTTTTATTTATTTTATTTATTTATGTCCCATAACAGAGTCTTTTTCCTTTACAATACTATGTGATGTTAGACGAATACTTGATGTTTCATCATTCTATGCAATTTATTTATGTGAACTTGTGCAAATGTGCGTTATTTATCTTCGTGTCTTGAATTGCTAGGTTGCTGTATATGCAGAGTTCCGAAATGACTGGGTCGAAGCATTGAGGTTTTATGAGGAGGCTTATCATACACTACGGGAGGTGTCTAAATTTAAATTTCTTGTGTTTGCATTTGCTAATGGATCTCAAATTGATTGTGAATCCTCAGATCCCAGTTTTGATCCATAGCTTTAAATCCTCTCCACTGCTCTCTTACTATTGGTTGAGGCAATTAATAAGAGGTGTCTTTTCCTTATTTGTTAATAGAAAAATTAGCTGATCATTCATGCAATGTCTTGGCTTATAAGGCATTTAAAAATAGGCTGGCTTCATAGTTTTTAAAGTAAAATGAGTAAAGCATTTTTAAATTCAAGACCATGCTGGTGTACATAATTGTTCACCTCATGCATATGAAGACGACTGCAAGAGGTTTAAATAATTAACTTGATTAATCTCCTACATTCTTACATGATAGGGATGACCCTAATTCATGCAATTTAACTATCCTTTGTGCTTGATTCTGTGTTTCCAAGCGTAAGGTGGCTTTTCTCAGCAGCAACTATGAATGAATCAGCTTACCTCATATTTTGCTCCCTGGGTCAGAAACTCTTAGGGAGATGTATTTTCATCCTCCCAAAAGCTTCGGTGGCTCCTGGTTTGGTCCATTTGCCTTGGAGCAGGCAATGCTTACTGAATATGCCTTCACTGTTTTGGATAGTTCATATGTCTGATTCCATCATTTGCTGAGCTAATTGGATGACATTTATCCATTTAAACTTGTGTATGTCTTAGTTGTTACATTGATTTATGTGAGGTTTTTATTATGTACATTTTCTGCCTACATTACCGTGTATACAGATTGTTGGGGTATCAACTAGATTGCCAGCAGTACAACGCTTAATCGAGATCAAAATGATTGCTGAACAATTGCATTTCAAGATATCAACCTTGTTACTGCATAGTGGTAAGGTGACAGAAGCAGTTACATGGTTTCGCCAGCACAAGAATGCATACAGAAAGCTAATTGGGGTTCCAGACGTAATATTTCTTCATTGGGAATGGATGAGTAGGCAGTATTTAGTATTTGGAGAGCTGTTAGAGACAAGTACAAAAAACCATCAAAGCATTTCGCCCGCTCTCCTAGGCTCTTCAGCGAAACCTTTGTCTGAGTGGGAGTGTTATCCGGCATATTACTACCAAGTGAGCAGTTCTTTACTTAACTTTTGTTTATACTGCGGATGTTGATTGGAGAAATTGACTGGATCACTTTTATTCAACATATAAACTAGAAATTATTGATTTCATAAAATAGTATGTTATTATATAGGTTTCAATTGTAGTATGGAATTTAATGTGTGATACTAAATAATCCACTTGTAAAATCTATGCCTGATGGCTGCATGAGAATGATGATACTAAATTACTTTAAGGTACTGTTTGGTATGAGGAAAGTGGAGGGGAGGGGAGGGGAAGGAAAATTTTAATGAGCTCTATTTAAAAAGTTAGAGAAGTGGGGTTTTGAAATTTTAATAAAGGAAAAAAGTAATATAAAAGAGTAATAAAAATTAATTAAAAGCTTTTAACCCCATTTTTTTAATTTTTTAAATCGAGCTTATTAAAATTTTACCTCTCTTCCGCTTCTCTCATTTTTCCTTATACTAAACAGACCCTAACAGTATTCAAAATGGACGGAAAATGGCTTTTTATTTGAAAGGAAATTTTAAGAGTGCTATGGAAACGCTGCTAACAATTTTCACACTTTGGTAATCATCTAACTTGATTAATGTGGATCCATTTAGGGTGCGCTTGGTGAGATTGAAAATGTGGAAAATCTGGATGCAAATGTGGCAAGATATCTAGACTATGAATAATTATGTGGTTACTGAAAAATTTTGAATTCTCCTCTCGAAATATCATTGATTTTTGATGACCTTGACACTAGAAATACAACAACAAAAGTTAGAGACATAAATAGTCTAATGAGTTCACTATGTTGTAGTCGAAAAACATAAATCAGTTTTTATTTTCCTAAAATCCATAAATATGTGTAACTAGAGATATGATAGCCTACTTCTGTTGGATTTAGAGATACCAGTCTTTTTCCTCAATGTTTTGCTGTTTGTTTTAGTCATGGCTTCTCATTTCTTCCTTAGCTGCTAGTGTCAGCTGAGAAAGAAGCTCCCTCTATACAGGAGAACGTGTGCGTGTTAGCTATGTGAATGGGTTTCTTTCCATAAATCTCTCTGTCTGTGTTTGGAAAAAAAGTGCTTTGAAAGTTCGTTCTCATGGTTTTTGGACCACTTTAGGTCACTGTGTAATCAATCACAACTCATCTTTCTGAAACAGTTAGCGGCCCAATACCTAAGGGAGAAGAGGTCAGCTTTGGAAATTGCAGCTTCAATGTCAGAAGCTTCTAGTGAGATTGACAGTACTTCTGAATCAGTGGTCCCTTCAGTTTATGTGGGTCAGTTTTCTAGGTTACTTGAGCAAGGGGATAATGCTGATATGCTGCCGTAAGTCTTGATTAAGTAGTTAACAAGTTCTTTCCTGATCTCTTTCTTTCGTGAATTTCTTTCTTCTTTTTTTTTTTTAAACAAAGTTTTTCATTTTTATTTGCAGTCTTTCTGATGAAGAGTACATGCGCTATGCTGTTTCAGAAGGAAAAAGGTTTCGGGATTCATTTGAGATTATTGCTCTTCTTAAAAAAGCTTGTGAATCTTACAGTAATCTTAAAGCTCAGAGGATGGGCTCCTATTGTGGGTTCCTCATGGCCAAAGAATATTTTGCTGAAGGTGATATTAGTAATGCAATGCAGATTTTTAATAGTATTGCAACCCTGTACAGAAAAGAAGGGTGGGTAACCTTATTATGGAATGTCTTGGGTTACTTACGAGAGTGCTCAATCAAAAATGGCAATGTTAAGGAATTTGTGGAGTATTCCCTTGAACTGGCTGCACTGCCAGTGTCATTTGGTACAGGCATCCAGAGGGACCCCGGTCCAGCTGGCCCTGCAAATCTCCTTCAAAGAGAAATTATACAGAAGGAGGTGTTTGAGCTTGTGAATGAAGGGTCACGGTTGCCATCAAATGAACGCTTCAATAGTCTGAAGATAACTGGTGATAAAGTGCTTCATCTTGATGTTGATCTTGTCAGTCCCCTTAGGTTGGTGCTGCTTGCTTCCATTGCTTTCCATGAGCAGACGATCAAGCCTGGGTCATCAACCTTGATCACAATATCACTTCTTTCCAAGTTGCCCCTTACTGTTGAGATAGATCAATTGGATATTCAGTTCAATCAATCTAATTGCAACTTTACCATTGCAAATGCTCAAAAACCTCAATCGATCAAATTTAGTGGTGTTCAACAGCGCCGAATGGAGATGTCGCCTTCCTTGTCATTAGCTTCGAACAAATGGCTAAGGCTGACACATGACATCAAACCTGGTAAATGAGATGCTACTCTTTAAACAGTTCACATTGTTCCAATTATCTGTCAAGTTTGTTTCTAATGCATATTTTTCATTTCATTTTCCCAAACAATTACTGTGTTGACGTATGCTCCATGTGTATTTCATATTCACATTAAAGCATGTGCTTCTAGGCTTCTAGCATTATTGTTTTAGCTCTGGCTGCTTTCTATTGAATTTGATCTGAGACAGTTCTGTGGTTGTTCCAGACCAAAGTGGAAAACTTGAATGCTTGTCTGTTATTGCGAAGATTGGGTCACACTTCACAATATGCTGTGTAGCTGAAAGCCCAGCTTCTCTGGATAGTTTGGCTCTCTGCACATCGGAGGAGAGTACAGAAACTCTTCCAATAAAAGATCCTATCCTCGCATTCTCTGGTCTAAAGTCATCCCAGGTTGAAGAACCAGACCCAGAGGTAGATCTATGTCTTGGTGCTTCTGGTCCTGCATTAGTGGGAGAGATTTTCGTAGTACCTGTGACTGTCATCTCCTTGGGACATGATGTCTACTCTGGTGAGTTGAAGATCAATCTTGTGGATGTGAGGGGAGGTGGCTTGTTTAGTCCAAGAGAATCTGAACCGTATTCTATGGAGACTCATCACGTTGAGCTGCTTGGCATAACTGGACAAGAAGGGGAGAATGAATTTCAGTTGGGCTCTGACCAGATAAAGAAAATACAACAATCATTTGGATTAATTTCTGTCCCCCACCTCAAAAGTGGAGACTCCTGGATGTGCAAATTAGAAATCAAGTGGCACAGGCCTAAACCTATCATGCTTTATGCATCTTTGAGCTATACGCCACATAGTGATGAATTACATTCGCAAAAGGTTCACGTCCAAAAGAATTTCCAAATTGAAGGAAACGCTGCTCTTGTTCTTAGCCATCGTTATTTGATGCCATTCAGAAGGGACCCCTTGTTACTCTCAAGGAACAAGCAAGGTTTAGAGTCTGATCCGTCAGAATCACTACCTGTGAACGAGAAAACTGTGCTCATTGTTGGTGCGAAGAATTGCACGGAGGTGCCAATACGGTTACAGTCCATTTCTATAGAAGCAGAAGATGATGCTCTTGAAAGCAAAGGCTCTGTTCCAGATGGAAATTCAGAACTTTCAGACTCCTCTCTTCTTGTTCCTGGGGAGGAGTTCAAGAAGGTATTCACAGTCACTTCCAACATGAATATCTCAAAGATTAGACCTGGAAATGTGTGTTTGAGATGGAGGAGAGACTTGGGTCTCAAGGAGCAATCTATGTCTATGCAGACCGTGACCTGGGCTGTGACTAAAGAAAAGCTGTCGGATATAATTGTGGAGTTACCGCCATTGGTTGTGAGTTTGGAGTGCCCTCCGTATGCCGTCCTGGGAGATCCCTTCACTTACCATGTTAAAATATTAAACCAGACGCAGTTACTGCAAGAAATCAAGTACTCACTGGGGGATGCACAAAATTTTGTGTTATCTGGGTCTCACAATGACACTATATATGTTCTACCCAAATCGGAGCACATTCTCAGTTATAAACTGGTGCCGCTTGCCTGCGGTAGTCTACAGCTACCTAAAATTTCATTGGCTTCAGTGAGATATTCAGGAGCATTTCAGCCTGAAAATTCTTCGAGTTCTGTTTTTGTATTTCCCTCTAAGCCTTACTTCAGTACTTGTGCCTCAACCAGCAAGGGGTTAGAACTAGAGTCAGCTAAAGATGGGTAAATTCCTGTAGATATAAGGACAATTTCTCTGCAAGGCAATGCCCTTCACCTTCAATGATTGTAGATTAATGCGCTAGAGCAATCTCATTTTAAACGAAATTAGTCAGGAAAAAAAACTGTCATTATTTCCAAGAGCGTTTGCTTCTTATGTGTGGGTTGGGCCTCGGAACAGTTTGAAGGCAGCCCATGAGGCGTGGTAGAAAGAAGATTCGAAGCATCTATCTGAGAAAGGTTTCCGAGATAGCCCTGGGCAGTCATCAATACGCTTATACCGACTCTAGCGCCAGTGGGGAATATTTGTAGGGCGTTGAAATGGGTTGTCTGGAGTAGATAAGAATGGGAATGGGAGGGATGATCTTGGACTTGCAGTCGTTGTAAAATTTCATACAAGTTACAATGTTGAGATGCGATATTCCAATTCTCTGCGGAATTCATCTGGCCGATGGAAACGAAGCGGTTTCCTTGGGCATGATCTCAAGCTATATTTGGGTCAAGGGTGTTGGCGGCTGGAAATTGCCGACTGGGAAACCGTTCCTTGTTGATCGTTCCATATTTGGTTGGATCAATATCACGAGGTTTCTGATTCTCTTTCCTTTGGATTTTGATTCCATTTTCTCGGTTTAAAGCATTTTCATCTAAATGCTTAAAAGGTCACACATTTTTATATAAATTTAAGGATATTAATCGTCACTTCTTAATAATCGTGAAACAATTACTTTGTTTTGGGAGAAAGTATTATTATTATAAAAATGTTATAATAATTTTCCTAATTTCATAATTCGTGTATCATATTTATTTTACCAAATTTGTAATTAAAATGACATTATTTTCCCTTTCCTCTTGTATCAAAACACAACTTAGAACTGGGTTTTATTCTCACACATACATGAGTACATGCATATGAAAACTCAAATATCAAATGCAAGGTAAAGAATCAACAAGCCGGCGTTGACGAGGGAAAGAAACACCCCCAAAAGAATCAACTTAAAATACAGCTGATGATTGGGAAAACAGAACTTCGTAGTCAACTCAATGCTCCCCATTCTTGGCTTCTCTAGTTTGAATTGGATCACTCTTTTGGTCTTCATTCTTTTTCACTTACTACTACTATATTTTTAGAAAAAATTCTAATTTAGTCAAGTTGAAATATCAAAATTTATATTTAAGCATATGTTTTTAATAAATTCCTAGTTAGGTTAAGAGACCTAATTAGAAATTTATGAATGTTGTAAGTTTACATCAATTGCCCTGAATTTTTTTTTTTTGCCAACAATTCCTTAGTCTTAAATCCCTCTCTCCCCCACATCATTCTTACTCTCTCACATCAACATCCTCAAGGCTTGGTATTTACAGGTAAGTTCATTGTTCAACTCCATTCTCCATAAGAACAGCACAAAGCTTCGGGTCAGTGTCAACTGTCAAGGACACGTATTTGTTATATTCCACCTTGGAGTCTCTAATTCCTTTTCTTTATACTCCACCCTCATGTCGTGAATTTTCTGCCTTAATTTCTGTTTTTTAAATACAACTTTTAAGAGTTTCCTTATATGTATCCTAAATTTTGTGGTTGATTGAATTTTGTTTGAATATTGGGATGAGTTCAGTTCTACCATGTGGTAAAGCTTACATTAGATAGTTACTTCGTCCCTCAAAAAAAAAATAATAAACCTTTGTGACTCCTTTCATCCTTCAATGTAAGGGATAATCCCTAATGACTCCTTTTCATTCTTATAAAGTAGGGATAGGCTTATTTTAGCTTGTATGCATGCTCAATTAAGGGAGTTTTCATGCTATGACTAAATTATTGTTTATATTTATGATGGTAGATGTTTGATGATTGGTTTTTGATAACAGTCCCACTACATCTTATGAGTACGTATTAGTATGTTTAATAAGTCAGAATCTTGATTACTGATGTTTTTATGTCACCTCTTGGTTTTTAATATTTTTAGGCGATAGTTCTGGTGTTAGTATAATAGGGAAGGCTCTATAGACTTAGAGTGCTATGATAGTTTGTATAACCTCACTCTTTTTATTTATGTGGTGATTGTTGTATATTGCTATACAATGCTCATTCACTCTGTTCTGTATTTGACTACTTCTGATGAACTGTTTATGTTTATCTAAACAGTGTGGTAATAGAAGGTTGGAGGCCTTGCGAGACTACTCCTAGCAAACCAGCGACTCTTAAATTAATGGAACTCCATGACCTTATTTGGAGGGGTTTATAAAGTTTGTGTTCTTAGAAATGTTTGTCTTATTTGGGCTTATAGTTGAATATTATATTTTTAGACTTTGCCGGTTTAATGCCTAATTGTGGTTTTATTTATTATGATATTTTATTCAATCAGAGTGTAAATCTCTTTTAATCATGATTGAGATTTTATGACTTGAATTTAATGTTTATTTTTTTTATCACGGCTAATCGGCTTTATTTAACACAAAAAAAAAAGGGTTTACGAAGGAACAATGGTTAAAGTAATACGAATTCTCTTCCTTTAACAGAATGATTTGGAGATTGATTTTCGGAAATTTTTTTTTTTAAACTTGTATACTTCTCGCTTCTTTCTCTTCTCTCTTTCCCATTCCCTTCCCAATCTCATAATCTACATCAACTGTTTCTTCTTATTTATAGTTAGTTTATAATTTAAAAGTGAGTTTACAAATATATATATATTTAAATTAATGTTCTTATTATTTATACACACAAATAGTGTCTTTCTTTTCATAATTTGTACTCACTTTTTCTTCTATGCCGCCTAAAACTTTCACTTTGTAAAATCTCATTCTGTTCTTGTTCTTAGAAATATTTCATGAACGAAATGTATTTGTTGATCATATAGAAGGTTAAACAAATGAACATATTTAGCCAAAAAGAGAAAAAATTTAAAAAGAATTATAGTAAGGTTTTAAAAAAATAATTATAAAATAAGTCTAAAAAATATCATTTTTTGTTCTGAAATTTATCATTAAAAGCTACTTAGATTATTATAATAATTTTTAATAATTATTTTTTTATTTGAGATCCCATTGTAATTCTTTCAAAAAAAATTGGAAAAATTCTAGAAAAAGCTCTTGGAATATAAAAAATTTCATATTAGATCTTAGAATTTTAAAAATGACAGAAAGGGTCAATGACCCAATCTGTCATTTTTAAAATCAAGAAGAATTAACAACTTTACCCTCATTTGTATTCACTACAATGATTTAAAGAATCACTATAAGAGTTTAGGCGCTACCTAGATTTGTGTAGAGAATAACTACTCACTTTTGTTATTAACTATAAGACACCTAACTATGAAAAAGTGAATAGTTATTCTCTACACAAATCTAGGTAACACCTAAACCCTTATAGTGATTCCTTAAATCATTGTAGTGAATAAAAATGAGGACAAAGTTGTTAATTCTTTTTTATTTTACAAATAACAGATTAGGTCATTGACCATTTCTGTCATTTTCAAAATTTCAGGATTTAATCTGAAATTTTCTATATTTTAAGGGTTTTTTCCAAAAAAATTACGCATGTTTGTTTCCGTTAAATGCATATTTATGTTGGTGGAGGCATCTTGGCACGTAGCAGAAGCGATTATTGTACAGGGTCCTCCTTGGGCGTAGAACTCCGGCCCCGAGCAACAATCACTCCCTTAACTCTATCTCCAGGCGTGCTTGCTGAACCGAGGGTCTGGCTTGCTTCTCACCCAAGTCTCCCACCCCACCTTCCTCTTCTTTTGCACCTCTCCCTTGCTTTCCCTCCCTTCCATATCCCTCCCTCCTTCTGCATATTGCTCTTCACGCAAACGCTGGCTTCTTGCTTTCTTTACCTTCTCTATCTCACTGCGTTGCTTGTGTTTGCTTCGTATTATTAGAGCATGTGTACCTAGGGTTTCTCTTTTTGATAAACCACTGACTTCAAGGTAGAAGCTTTATCTTTCTATTGCCGGGAATGTTGTTTCTGTTATTGATGCTTTGTGCTTCCAGTTGCTCCTGCACAATGATCGTTGCTTGTGTTTTAGTCTTTCTACGGAAAACCCCTGTTGAGCTGTCTCTAGTGTTGTTTCGTCTTTTCACTGCCATTGTTTTTCATCCATTTTGTATCAACCGAGCTCCTTTCATCCATTTTGTGTGTGTGTGAAGCTCTCATATCTGTAAAACAAACACACACGCACACGCACTGAATCTTTTATGTGAATATAGGGGGGCTGAGGAAACAAAATCTTTGCGGTCACCTGAACAGATTTAAAGATCACATTTGACGCTCCTTGTTTGGGTCAATCAAATGCTGTTCTAAGTTTGTTTTTCTAGTCCTGCTGCAATATGGATTACAGAAGCTAACCCTTTTTTGCCCTACAAAATGTATGTAGATGAGCAGCATTCTCCTTAAAAAAGATCGGAAAATTATATGCCACGCAAGACCGGACCCACCTGCAGAACTGTATGAGATTTATCTTTGTTGCTTATATCTTATTTTTTAGCCTGCAATATATACGAACTCCTATACCTTCCAATGCTATTATGGAGTTATTCACCTTCCTGATTAGTCTGAAATACGCACGAGAGCGAGTCTCGCTCACTAATGAAAGTAACAAATGAGATGAATAAGGTTCTTTCAAGGTAAATATTAAATTATGGCTTAATTAGAATTTGGGTTAATTAAATAAATTTCTAGATCATTAAAAGGTTGAAGTGAATTATAGTTTGTAAAAGCTACTTGTTTACCATCAACGTGTAATGAATGGGAATTTCATGTGATGAGTCGGATTTATTAATATCTCTAAGATGCCTTCTTAAATAAAATCCCTTTGGTTTTGGGATTTAATCGTGGACTATGAATTTGCTCACCATATCTTGTGCTATTGCTTTAACTTAGCCTCATTACAAGGATTGAGTTGGCATGGACGGTATGTTTTTCAATATGGTTCCCCACAGGACTGTTCCCTGAATTTTAGTCCTCACTTATGGGTATTTCATAACTAGGTCTCTCACAAACAACCATTTCCAACGTCCTTATGTTAATTTATTGCTACTGAAGATATAACTATTACTCTTAATATCATATAATGGTGAATAAGCAATAGCCTACAAAAAGTTGAAGTTTTTTAATTTCATATACAATGGATTGGCTTAAGGACATTATTTATAATGATATTGTTTGATGCACCAAGCTGAGAAATACACATATTTGACTGACCAAATCGGGAAGGCAATTCTATGTGGGACTAAATTAAAAATATTCCATTTATGAGGGATCAAATTAAGAAATATCGTTTATGAGGGATCTAAAGAGGGTTTTGATTGTCTATAAATATCTCTAATGTCAATAAAAATATTTTAAAAAAAAAAGAAAAGGTGCGTGTGCACATGATGTAAATCAATGGAGAATTTAATCATTGCCAAAGTAAACATATTTGTTGTATGTTATAGCGTGTGCACATGATGTAAATCAATGGAGAATTTAATCTTTGCCAAAGTAAATATATTTCTAGACTAATGTGGGGTAAAATTGAAACTAACTTCCATTCTCTCGTTGCATTTAATCCCCGTAGCACAGATCATTAATAATGAAATAACAAATTTCCTAGCGGGTATCAGATTTCTGAGCAATATATCTAGAAGAAGAAAAATCATTGAATATGCCCAAAGATTTAGAAATTTGTCAAATATAGCCCACCTACACTGCAATGTATTAACTGTTTTTATAGCTTATAGTGGAGCCTAATATTTCTTTTGCTGATTAAAAAAGGGAGAAGGACATCTCTGGTTAAAAAATCTTTTAGGCATGTCTGAAATAACCCGTTTTGTGAGATTTATAGAATTCTTCCTTAATTTTTACCCATGTTTAAAACTTCTGAAGATCAATCAAAAACATACTGTGATCTTCTCATTGATAAATATCAACAGGCCTTTAGAATGGAACATAAACCCTATACTTCCAAAGAAGAAACTAAATCTTTCTGGATTGCCCCAATTTTCATTACATCCTGCTCCAAAGAATGCTCGTGACCAGCATGAGTGGGGGAGATTTTTGAATTTTCTACGCATGAACGACATGGTAAATAAGTTTTCTTAAATCTGTTTCTCTTTGTTTTGTTTGCTTTTTTTTTTTTTTCCTGGTAGATGTCCAATTACATGCACTTGTTGAATTATATTGTATGGTGTGATTCTGAGCAATTGGATGAAATCTAATCTCTCTGTTTTTTTAATTCCACATTTAGATAGTCAAATGTACATCTGGGTAAGTTGTGGCTTTGTGTTTCAAAACAGATTTTTTTTGCTGATAATTATGTGATGATGTTTTGTTAACATTATTTTATTTGATGGAGGTGCATTTTCTTAATGGATATGTGACAAAATGGAAATACTGAAATAATTGAGAAGGCAACCCTAAGCACATGAGAAGTTTACAAATAGAAGCTCTATTGAGATGGGTGAAGACGATAGGCAGAGGAAAATCAGACCTTGAAGCAAGCTTAAAATGTAACCAGGTCTCGAATTAAACCTGAACTGTGGGCTTTTCAATGTAAGCACTGATCAGGTTACCAAGTGGGTGTGTTGGAAACCATTTTGAAGAAAATTCATATTCCAAAAAGTTTGTTGTTTATTGATCATGGTGGTTGTGAGATCCAGGTTGGCTGGTTCAATTGTAGGAGCAGAAACTGTTCCATAGTCTGGTTCAGGCTCATTAAACAATTTTTTATCACACCACCTGACATTTAACTGTAATCTGGCCAAAGCCAGCCAAGACGCTTCATATGATATTCTATACCTACAATTTATATTTAATACTGGATTACACTATATTTATCTATTCATGCTTCTCTAACAAATCAATTTCAGGGAAAAAAAAAAAAAGTTAAACTTTAGCTGATATTAATAACATAAATAATAATAAAGGAACAATTACAAATAATACTACATCTACAAAGATTCTGCATATTTGCATGCACTGATGGTAGAATTGTTTTTTCAATAGACTTTCATATTGCATATGAATACAAAATAAAGTTTTTATTCTAATTTCATTTCTAATATATTTAGAGTTGTTTCAATTGTCTTTTACTGTTTCATTTCTACATGCATGCATGTCTGCCTATATATGTGTGTTTGTGTGTGTGTGTGTGATAAGTGTTCTCATGACTGAACCATTAAACTGCCTCTTATTCCTGTTCATTGATAAATTCAGTTTTTAAAACATTGCTATTTTTGCTATCCATTGTTTGGTAGTGGAGTATTTGCTGACAGTGAAAACTAATGAAACTTGATAAATTTTCTACACGCTTCATATCTTTTTTTTTTTTTTTGGGGGGGGGGGGGGGGAGGTATTATTAGATTAAAGAGGAAGTATTGAATTTACAGATTTTTATAGTAGATAGGATAATCTGACTCCTTGGTTTGGATTCTATGTTTCTTTATTTGCCTTGTGCATTAAATAACCCTTTCATTACTTCTCTGATATCACTTGTCGTTTTGTCTATTTATTATAAGCAGCAGCTGATTTTGCAGTGGGTATAACTTATAGTTGAGTATCTGAAGTTTTTCTTCCATATTGCGCTATTTAATGTCTGTGTGTTTGGCAGATGTTGAGTTGACCAGAGATCTTTGATTAGCATTAAATTGAATGGGATTGCATCAATGTGTTAAAAATGAGGATAGCAAGTAATTCTGTTTTCTCATTTATTTATATTTTATTTCTTACTGGTGGTTTAGTTCCTCTCGAAGTGTCCTTTTTGTTATCTCTTTTCTGCATCAAGGATTTCACTTTTACAGGGAAAACTTTGTCAGCGCTAGTCGACATGTACGACTGACAAATGGGTTCAATGCATATTTTTCCTTGCGCTTTTGCATTTTCTTTTGAGCTTTAAACGTGATTCACTTTCAGAATCCCTAATAAAAAAGATATGGGGCGGTTATGGGGTAAGTGGTGTCCGCTCAGTTAGTCAGACACCTGCCTGGAAGGTGTGAAGTTGAATGTGGTATTCATGGAGGATAACAAGAGGACTTCTAGAAGAGGTTGATTGTGTTCGTGGAATATATGGGGGTGAGGGCAGAGGGAGAGAGAGGTAGAATTTGTGTAACCCTGTGGAAGGTTCTGGCTCCTTGAATTGCTGGGGTATTTTTGTTCTATTGGATGTTATTCTCTGTTTTTGGGTCTGATCTATGCTTAATTATATGGTTACTGGGTTCCCAACATTCACCAAGTCTCTACTTTCACAGGTTGCTACTTCAGTGGTTGAGCAATACAAGTTCTACATACTGCCTCCTGTCGAAGCCTCAACATCTAGCCCTGTCGGAGTTGCATATCAGAAAGGCAATTCGAGGGATTATGAATCAGGTCTTCTTCTGCACTGAATTGTTGGTGCGCTCATTCACCAGTGTCACACACAATGAATGAAGTCTAATAGCATTAGAAACTCTTGTATGGATGTGGAATAATAATAGTGCAAGCATAGCCTAATTGTTGCGAGTTTGTTTTGGGGGTGCATGTTTTGTTGGTTTCTGCAAGCATAGTGACAAAGGATGAAAATGATCTGTAGTGGATGCTTCTGCAGCAGGTTCTCATTTGGCTGAAGATTGTGCTTGTCATTCTACAGCTGAACAGTGCAGCAGATCTCAAAGTATCGTGAAGCAAGAAAGAGTCTTGGAGAAAAATTACGTATGTGTTGACCCAAGTTACCTGAAAACTCTTGGCCAAGTTCATTCTGGGTGGATTTTTGGTGGAATAGCTGAACTTGTTGATAATTCAAGAGACGCCAAGGCAACCAAGTATGTTTTGTTTTGATTTCTTGCACTCTGTCAATTAGTTGTGTATTTCTTGGTACTATTGTGGAAAATGAATGGGGATCACTAGTGTCTGTATTCAGCACTCTATTAATACTTTTGTTTTGATGATGGAGACTTCTCTTCTGATATCAGGGGATGGAATTAATTGCACCATTTCCTTGTCTTTACACTTTTTGGCAAGAAGTCAAAATATGCCTACGTGATGTTTGAATAGAATGTGCAGTATACTTCTCCTTATATCAGTATTAGGGCCCATCTGCTGAAGTAGAAGTGACATTTTTCCTGTTGAGATTTTGAATTTATATTCGGAATGGGAAAAATTATAGAACTGGTATAACATGATGCGTTATGTTCTGGAAAATTTTAATGTGAGATTGTTTTCTCATCAAGCTATGCTTTTTTTTTGGTGCAATGTATCAGGATGGACATTTTTATAGATATGATAAAGTTGAAGAAATCTGGCAAGGATGAACCTATGCTTTCAGTTATTGATGATGGCCAAGGTATGGAATACAAAGACATTTTGAAAATGGTTTCCTTTGGGCACAAGCAAAGTGATAGTGATGATCCAGATCACATTGGCAGATTTGGTGTTGGATTCAAGGTAGGTTTTTCTTACTATGAAGGGGGTGGGAGTGCGAAGATAGTTTCGTTGCATTTATTTGGCATTTTGGAATAGCTTTGTCAGTTTATAAAATATTATTATTTCAGTAGGATATTGCATTAACTCTTGTAATTAATTCTTCTCCCTTGTCAATAATTAATTTCGTGTATAAAAAGATTCGCAAAAGTTTTTTATTTTGATATGCCCATTTATTTGAGTGGTTATCAAATTTGTCTTACTGCTAATCTTTTTTGATGTAATAATTTATTAATTCTTGATGAGTTTTTCTTTACTTTGTTGAACTGGATTTAAGGACTATCCCAAAAATGAAACTCAAATTCATAGCCTTGTTCAATTTCATGTATTTTTGAATGAATGAATCAATATGTACACCCTCTATTACACCTATATCTATATTTTCTGAGGCTCTTGCTGTAGTGGATTCAAATTTGTTAAACTCTGTTTCTTCCAGACTGGAGCAATGAGGCTTGGCAATGATGCTCTTGTTTTAACTCAGACTGCTAATTCCAGATGTATAGCTTTCCTTTCACAGTCTTTGAATGAAGCGAAAGAGGTATTTCCATGATAAGTTATATGAGCTTACCGTTCTTTTTTCTTGGAAAATTTTCAAAGAGGTTAAATTGTGCTAACAAAATTAAAAAGAAAAAGAAAATCTTGTTTCTGACATGTTTCTAGATTAAAGAAAGCCGTAATCATAACTTTAATTTGTTGGATTGAATTAATTTTTGTGTTAAATAATTTTTACTTTGGTTCTTTTCTCTCTCTATCTCTACTTTTAGAATGTTGAGATCCCTGTAGTTTGCTATCGCCAAGAAGGACAGTGCATGGAAGTGGATACAAGTGTTCAGTCTGAAGCTGCGGCAAAGTGCAATTTGAAAGCCATTCAGGAATTTTCACCTTTTAATAAGTATCTTATTGGTGAAAAGGCGGCATTGTTTGCCGGTGGCACAGGAACACAAATTTACATATGGAACCTGGACAAATGGGGATCAAATTATTGTCTGCAATGGTATGATGGATTAAAAGGTAGCAGCTCTTTCCACCATGGTGACATTTTCATCCGATCTAGAAGGACCTGTTCTCGCCCTGGCCAAGTCAGTGTTAAGGTTGGGAATTGTTTTATTGTCTTTCTTTCTTTCTTTTTTGTCCTTTTAATGTATGGTTGGCTTCCAAGAGGTTGTTTATTAAAAATATCATGGATATAAAAGGGACTGGCCAGCTAAACTGGGAAACTGGCCTTAGGTTGAGCTTGTTGATCCTCCAAACTGTTTTGGCACAAAGCTGGTCAAAAGTTGGTCGAAAAAGTAAAATTTTACTTAAGCCGGCTTCTGATCTTTTTGTCTAAGTCAAAGTTTGTTATAAATGATACAAAACGCCCTAAACTTTGGCCCATATGTAAACAATCCTTTTGATCTTTGAAACTTGAGAAGGAACCCTCCTAAACTTTTACTTTTGTGCAAATAAGTCTCTTGCTGTCAATTATTTCATTATGTCACTAATAGAGCATAACATGTTGATTAAATGCCCCCTTAACCATTTTTCCTCCGGATAATTATCTCAAATTTTAAGTTATATGCAACTCCCCTAAACTTTGAATCGTTTGAAAATAAACCCACCGGCATTTTGTATTATTTTAGTGAACCTATGGAAACATTAACCAAAGGGGAACTATTCGCATAAATGTAGAAGTTTAGGGGTTTTATTGAATAGTTTTAAGAGTCAAAGAGGTTATCTGCGCAATACTCAAGGTTTAGAGAAGTTTTGTATAATTGAGCATTTGGTATTTGAGATTTATGTTGAAGCACACTACCAAAATTATTTTACATAGATTTGTTGTCATGTGCCAATTAGTTTAATTGGTTTGTGTGCCTTTAAATATTTATATATTGTCTAAATGTTATTTTACAATATTTGCATTGATTTAATTTTAAGATATTTTATGTATTTGTGTAAATAGAAAAAGTAATTCAGCCTTGGTTCAACTATAGTTGGATTATTAAATTTTGAACCGTTCCTAATTCTAGTTCAGTGATTGATTTGGTTTCCAAAGCATTGGAAAATATGTTGCTCATTTCATGTTACTGTGTTTTAGGTTCCATTGGATTATTCACTTCGATCTTATCTAGAAGTTATCTTCTTAGTCCCTCGGATGAAAATAAGTGTTCAACATTCACTGGTAATAACATTTTTGTTTTTCTTTTGATGAAATAAATTATTGCATGACCCAAGGAGAAAATGCTCTTTGAGCATGCTGAGTTTTATTCTAACAACTACCTTGAACTGTGCACAGGTTAGAAGTCGTCCTCTAGGAAATTTTCTTACTAAAACCGTCATTGAAACTGGTTGTGTCCTGGAAAAGCATGTTCACTTGATTCTGGGATTCAGTCAATTAGAATGGGAGCAGGCGAACTGTGGAATATTTTTGTATTGGCATGGCCGCTTAATTGAAGTAAGGAATTGGTCCATCCTGTAGGTTAAGCCATTTATGAGTTTTTGGTACCATGTTATCATTTGAACAAAAAGGATGTGACGAGTTTTTCTATTTACGACAATTAGAATAATTCAAAATTTTACTTAAAATGTCTGAGATTAGGGATATTGGTATAGCAGTACTACTTCCATGGTGAAGGCATCTGTAGCCATACCAGGTGCGGGTTCACACACTGATGTAAAAATGATAACATGCCAAATACCTACCAATCATCCCATTTGACGTTGATTTAATTTCTGTATATTCTCTTCATTGGTAATCACGTGTAAGTGTTGCGAGTTGTGGGTGTTGTCTGTCTAGGGTTTTTCATGTATTGACATCTTAAGTCTTTTGAATAGATTAGCTTTGTTGCTTCATTAAGAACTGAATCATGTATGCTTATTTTATGTTTTTTCCATGAACTAAACTCATTTAACTCTGCTTTTTATATAGGCTTACAAGAGAGTTGGTGGCATGATTCATAATGCAGATGTGGGCCGTGGTGTGATTGGCGTCATGGATGTGACTGATTTAATGGTATGAACTCTTGTAATTTTTAAGGATTTCAATTTCATTGCCCTCTAATGTTCATTGTTTGGAATGGTCCCTGACCTGTAAAAGCAAAGCAGTTTCAACATGTGCTTTGACGCTTTGTTCACAGAATGTGATTAGTTTTTGTGACTTCAATTATGTGTGCTTTCAATTTTCCAAATTATTGTCAATGTTGTTAGCCTAAATCGTAATGATTGAAGCTTCTTAGTTTTCAATAAATATGTTGTGGCTCATCACAACGACTGACCTATTGTTGTTATTGCATCTTTCATGGCAAAGAATGATGGGGATGGTCGTGTCTGGGTGCATAATAACAAGCAGGGATTCCAGGACTGTGAATCATATGCCCTCCTAGAGCAGTGGCTTGGTAGGAAAGTAGATGAATACTTGGACGATAATTTCGATTCACTTAAATTGGTAAATAACTTACTCCGTGAATCCTTTCATAAATATATCTTTGCTTGATGCTGGTTATTCTTTGTGCCCTAAATATTGTTTATAAGCTGATTTTTTTTTAATTTTATTTTGGTTGCAGTTTGTTTCATATTATTGAATTTGGTAGCACTATCTGTTAACTCAAAATCAAATTCTGGATGGCTAATGTCAAGGGCTGGCATTTGATTTGATTGTTCATCATAACTTTATTATTGGATTCCAGCGTTATTGTATGTTTAGATTGGGAACATGAGCCGCATCTAAATTAATTAATAAAATAATAGAATGCCTTGCAGATCTTATTCATTTCCGCACTAACTGCAAACCACGTAGGTTGAACATGTATACCTTTTTGGGGAAGTGAGCTAAATTTATTTGTCTTCTTTTACTTTTCCTCCAGGACAATGAAAATTGTGTCTACAAACCTGATTGCGAATGGGTGCAATGTGACAAGTGCAGAAAATGGAGAATATTGCCTCTTGACTTTGACATCACATTGTTACCTGCACAATGGTATCTTCGTAAAATATAGAATGCATCCATGTTGTTGGTCCTATTCCTGTTTACTTGCCTGTGATTTTTTTTTTTGGCCAAATGTTTACTTGCCTGTGATTAAAGACGAGTATTCTTTTTAGTTACTCAGGTTTATCCTGTCATTGCACATGTATGTTAGTGATAGGGTGATGATTCTCGTTTTTGCATGGTGGTTTGAATGCATATGCTTCTGTAACAGGATTTCTTAATGTTTCTCGTGTCACTTATGTTAATTTTTCCCACCTAAGCACCAAGAACACATCCATACAAGCCTAGTTTCTTTAGCATGTCGTGGAGGAGGGGATTTCTACTCTCTCAGTGGTGTTTATGTGGTGCACGTAGCATGATGTTTGGTTGACAGAAAAGGGATGGGATGGGAGATGCAAAGGAGGCCAAATATTGGAAGGAGTTAGCTTGTACACCTGAAAGGCATTCCTTTCCTTGTTCCTTGGGAATATATTTCTCATTTTCATTCCGTATACTCAGGAATGCATATTAAAAAGTCCTCCTTGACCCTACCTATTTACCTTGACCATGTCATAGGCAGGTTTTATTTAGGACTTTTTTATGTTTATTTATCTCTATTGCTCTCCTGTTTCAATCATATCTAACATGATTTGAGAAGTTATTCCCTTACAGTGATAAGATGTCTTACTTGGGTCCTGAGTGTAATTTTCCCTTACTCGTATATATCTTTTCATTTCATTCCCTCTTTCATAACCGCTTTCTGTTCCTTTAAAACTCTACCGACATGCCAAACATTCAGTAAATGTTTGGGTGTCAGATTATGTCAGTGTTATCCCTTTTAGTACTTAAGGATATTTAATTTAAAGCGTATTGACCTTTTGATTTAAACGAGATTCATTAAGGACAAAGCCCAGAACATATAGGATTGATAATAAAAATCCTACTACTCAAAATGTTGACTAAAAAGGGATCGAAAATTAAAGCACAATCATGGAGGATGAAATGTTGTTATTTGTTTTCTGCATTACCATTTACTGCTTTTGATACTGCATTTTGGAAAACCTTTTTTTTTTTTTTTTGGTTTAGCAATCTATATCATATTAAGTTCTTGTTCTACCAGGTTCTGTTATATGGAGCCCTTCAAAGGACTGTGTGCAGCTGCAGAACAAAAAATGGAGCATGGCGTTGTCAGTATTTCGACAAAGCGGTCTGGATATGGTAGCGTGCAGAAAGATTCTCATTGTAACGAGAAGGTGGATGCTATGAGTCTTTCTAAGGGTACAGGTTAGTTTATAAGCCAAGCCATTTCTACAAACTTGAGAGGCAATCTGCATTCTTCATGAAAGGCTATTTGATGTTAAAACCTAGGCTGTAATTGTGTGGGAATTAAGGAGAGCAAAAGTTACGTAATAAAATAAGGGGGTAAAGCCATCGTGTCATTCAGATTGTGGATAACATGGACTCTTGATCTCTATCTATATATGATTGTAACTCCATAGCCGTAGCCGTATGCAAACACATGCGCATATACCCTCTCATCTGAATATTCCTAGGTGACGTGATATGATCTATATTTGACAGGATAAACTCCTGCTCCTTACCTTTGTAAGTTGTGAATGCTTGTAGAGTTTGCTTGGTATACAATGAGTCATGTAAGTGGCGCTGGTTCGTTTTGATTTCTGATGACTGCATTCTGGTGGGCTTTCAGCAGATGAAAGGTGGGTTGACTGTGGAGATTTGAAACCGCGTGCTTTTTTCAAAAGATTGAGAAGGGGACCTCCTAATGCTGAGGTAAGTCTTCTTTAGCAAAGCCTTGTTTTGGTGGCTCTCAATGAAATTTATTAAGTCCTAATTCTTGTCTATAGGTTAAATCTCCGCATCCCAAACGTTTATCGAGAGCTGACTGACTTCCGTTGGAGCTCAGAGCTGACGGTTTTTGTGGTACTCTCCACAACGTGAATGCCCTGTTCGTATGTGAATCCTTTTTCATTTTTGAGCTAACTAGCATGACACGTCACACGTGAACACCCGTCATTTTTGTCCAATTAGAACTTCGCGCATTGTCATTAACTATCTGTGGTGCCAGATCGCAAACTTTATTATTGACCTTGTACATTTTTTTATTTTTTATTTTTTTTTTTGGTACAATAACCTTGTACATTTGTATAGCCTTAGCCTGGAATCGTCTACGGCATGGCGCTTTGAGCGAGGCCCATGGTCTGTAAAGTCAGGTCCTACTTTTTCTTCTTTTTGTCAAAAGAATTCGTAAATTACTTTTTGCAATTTGATTATTTGATTTGAAAATTGCCGTTGTTGCCTGAAAGGAGTAAAGAACGAGCAAATTCAAAATACCGTATTGCCCAGATCAGCACTCCGCTAGTACGAGATTTGTTTTGTTTATATGGAACTTCTATTACACGAAAGAAGGAGAGTGCCTGGAAAGCTTAAGCTGGTTGGGACCACTCTTAAAAGAGTACCCTGCACTGCATCTCTCAGCTGGTTGTGGCATTCGACCTCTTCTTCTCCCTTGTTCAGCCGCTGGTTCAGTCTCGTCTCCTCTCAAACGTGGTAGCATAGAGTGACTTGGGTTTCTTGGTAAATAACAAGAAGAAAAAAAAGGTTTGATTTGGGTTTGTAAAAGTAAAGAAATAGAAAAGATAAAGGAAATCATGATCATTTTAAAAAGATTATTCTGTGTTTCAGACTTCAGTTTAGTGGATTAAGTTTGAAGTTATTGCTTAGATTAAAATAGGGTTAATATAATTTTTGGTCCTTCAAGTTAGTTCTTATTTTGGTTTTGGTCTCTCAAATTTCAAACCATAGATTTTGGTCTCTAGTTTTTATTAGGTTATAAAGACTAATGTTTTAAATGAAAAGAAACTTGAGGGACTAAAACCAAATTGAAGGTAAACTTGAGAGATCAAAGTTTATATTAACCCATTAAAATATCAAGATAATATTAATATCATCATTAAGTTCTGTACTGTTAGATAAAGCAAATGAATGTTCCGTCTGACCTATTCCCCCAAATCCTGATATGGGCACGATGTGAATATTGGAGTAAGGGAGAAATAGAGGTGGCATTGGACTTGGGTTTCAGCTGGTGGAGGTGGATAAATTCATTAGCCCGCATGTTAAGCGAGAAAGAGGTACATCAAGGAAGGCCCTGTCTTTTGCACGCTCACACCTTCCACTAGGGCTGAGCAAACTACCCGTAACCCGACCGCCCCACCCGCAACCCGTAGAAATTGAGCCTGTTTGAGCCTGCCAAAAAAAAAAATAAACGGGCGGGCTTAAACGGGCGGGTTTAGGAATTAAATGGGTGGGCTACGGGCAAAGGCACGGGCTGCCCGTACCCGCCCGTTTAGACTTTTTTTTTCTCTTTAAAAAAAAAACTGGCTCTAACTTGTGAGGTTGAGAGGCGCCTCTTTCCTCTTTCTTGCGAACTCTCCCACTCTCCCCACTTTTATTCTGCTATGCCTCTGCCTCAGACTGAATCTCAGAAGCTTAGAGCCCTCAATAGTCAGCCCCTCACGCTGCCATTCACCTTTCGATCTCTCAGTCTCTCACGCACATGGTGTAGGTGATTAGATGCACAAGCAACGCGTTGCTCACTCAGTCTTGGCACTGACGTTCCACGGCGACTCTCGCCTTTTTGCCTTTGGGTCTTGCACGCTCAGTCTTGTTGGCATCTGAGCAATGAGCTCTCCTCTCTCATCACCTCCATGGTACTGTCCGTTGGGAGTCCTATCACTCTCCCTCGCCTCTTAGCCTCATCGACGGCGTCTCTCTCACCTCTTAGTCTCATCTCATCTGTCTATATTTCATTGCATTTCAGCTTCAAATCTTCCATTTATTTTACTCTTGTTAGCTCTTGCCTTTTGGGTCTGACATTTATGGGTAAGATTTGAGATCACTTTCGTTAGTTTAATGCTTGTATTTGCTTATATTTATATGTGATTGCTGCCTTGATGGTGAACACCAAACATTGGTTTCTATTTTAGTGAAAATTGGTTCTGTTTTAGAGAAAGTATTTTGATTTTTATGTCTTTTAAGCTGCAAAAGGTTCAGTAGGAATGGGAATATAAGATGAGATTTTCATGTCTTTACATTTGAGCAGGTTTCAGATTTTTATTTCTTAAACGGGTTCCCCATAACCCGCATAAACCCGCCCAGTTAAACCAACCCAATTAACAACGGGCTTAAAATAGGTATCGACGGGTACGGGCTAGCCCGTACCCGTTTAAATTTAAACGGGCGGGCTACGGGTTAGGGGCCGGGCAGCCCAACCCGCCCGTTGCTCTGCCCTACCTTCCACAGTTCGGAGACATTTTGGTCTCAGTAGTTTGGAATGATTATTAGACTTCAAAAGTAACTTATAACACTAGACAAGCACAAACTAATAGCCCATTAGCATGCTAATCGTGGTAGATGAGACTTGGTGTTTGTTTGGTTAAGCGATTGGAGTTTAAACAAGCCAATTTAAATCTAAACAAGTGATTATGAAGTATATTTATCCTATTTGGATAATTTATATAAAATCCCAATAAATCGTAATTTTATTTTTGTACCATACTTTTAGGATAAACACATTTAGCTCATGCGTATGAAAAATCCCCATCAATTTTTATCAACCGAATGTTTTTCAATTTATTCTCCCACACTCTTTCTAAAATCTTTCCCCAAATGATTATATTTAATAATATTTATTAAATTCATGTCTTTGTAGTAATTATACATCCACAAGTTATTTTAATAAATAAAAACCAAATAGAATCATAATTCTTAAAGTCACTTAAAAAAAATATCCTAACAAAAATCGTAATTAACTAGCATTACTTATAACTAGCGTCATTTATTAAATTTACAATTATCTAAAATCACAATTATTACATGTACTTAGTACGGTGGGAACTGGAAAGCGTGCGGATGTACTGACTATCAAATCCGGGAGAAGAAAAAATATTTGATGAACATGGTTTTTAGCATCATTTATTCAAAGAATGTAATTTTTAATGGAAAAATTATTTGATGCCCGTTTAAGTATGGCAACTAAACAAATTACTTAACGCAGCATAGCTTGTAGAATCTCCACTCGAATTTAGAGACGGACACCAACCCACCCCGCCGGTGGGGGGATTTGAATAATGAATAACCCCATTTGCTCATGAATACTTTCAAGACAAAAACGAACTTTAAAGCCATATATATACACACGATTCACAACGATTATTTTCACTCCAAACTCGAGGTAACTAAACTTTGATACACAAAATAGTTGAATACATCAACTTGCTCGTTTGAATAGTACCGGGGGAAACTATGATACATATTACATGAATGCATTAGGCCTGAAAAATTGCAACACGCAAAACGGTCAAAATCCATCTTACCAATGCGACCAAGATCTTGAGATAGTCGCAAATTGGCCGGCTAACCCTACGTAGAAAGGATAAAATAAGGCTATGTATCATCATCATCACAATGACTCCGGACTAGTGGATGGCCTGATTCTCGAGGGCATTCGCACATTCCCATATTTCAAAGAATTCTTAGGCGTGATGGACATTCTACTCAAGACCGATTCAATATCAAGACCTCTTTCTGCGTAGCTCCCCATCATCATTGCATCATCATTTTCACTCTCACTGCCACTGCCTTCGTCACTAATATCATCGCTATCATATGTCGTTCTCACCATTGACCAGTAGATGAAATATTTGTGTATGTATCTGCAGATAGTCGACAAAAAGAGAATTGGGGGAAGATGAAGAATGCAAAAACAAAGTCAGCAGACAATTTAAACAGGGAAGAACGCATAGTACAAGTTCAAACAAATTTCTCACTACTAGAAAACTAAGATCTCTTACCCATCACTTTTCTTCAGCAAACACGGATCAAATGGGAAGAACATGTCTAACCTATCCATGCCACCAAAAGCCCTAGAAAGATCAGATTCGAGCACATCATTGAAAACAAATGACTCTGATGTAGTGAAAAGACGAGCGGCCTTTGCTTGCCGAAGAAATTCCTCTACAACAGTAGGCAAACATACCTGCTCAAGAGAATTATATCAAGCTTATATCTTACAATAAACAAGCTGCACAGGGCTTTAAAAAGGCAAACCAAACAAAATCATCATCTCAGCTAAAGGCAGGTGAATATCAAGATAGAGTTTAAAAAAAAAAAGAAAAAAAAACAACTCAGTTATGTATGATATGCACTCCACAAAACATGACAAAAATATGTGATGAATTTCTCACTGTCAAGGGGCTCAATTTATGTTTCAGGATAGGCTCTATGGGCATATTGAGAAGTTGAAGTTTAAGCCGCGGGACATCCATCAACGATCTCATGCGAAAGCATAGCACATACATGATAGCCTGCATAAAGGAAAACAAAATGAACAATAAAAAACAGAGTCTCAAGTAATAGCTAAAAATTTAGTATGCTTCAACCTTAGCGAACATTTATATTCATTTTAATATTTGAATTAGTAGCGAATATTTCACATTAGATCAATACATTATCAAATGATTGAATGCAAAAATATAAATATAAATGAACTTGAGAAATTACACATCTGCAGCCCCATCTTCCCCCACTGCCACACAATAGAAGAAATTGAGACTCAAGAATCACCTGGCAACCCGAGTAATACACTTGATGCGCCATTGGGTTCATATCAACATCATGTAGCATGGTATACTCATAACACCAACTTACGAGCCTGAAAAATCAAAAAAATAATAATCACAATAACATAGAATAGATATATCAATTTGATCATGTATGATTAATTCAATAATATTCCCAAACCTCTGCAAGATGCTGGTAACCAATGCAGCTGAAAGGAACTTTGCACGAGATAGATAACTAGCAAGATATGCAACGGCACTCATTCTGAAACAAATATAGGAATAAGATATCAACATCATAAATTATGCTTGAATGCTGCACCTTGTTGCAGCTTACAGGGAAGTTCAGTTTCGTTAACAAAATCAAGAAGTCATCCACAGTGGCGTACAGGGCCTGTTTTCAAAGACGCTAAACTTAGGATACTACGGAAAGCATTTTATGACGCTAACCCTATTATGAGGTAAAGCAAGATAATGTAAGCAAGGAGGGAGAGCTCATAGCACGGTGACTAATAATCTTGAATTGACAATTCATTAAATGCAATAATAGTTTAAATATTCAATTTTTCCTATTTCAAAGAGAAAGGCCCAGCAGAGAGCCGTACATGAGAGCCATTGGGCATTTACTAATTCTTCACATTGTGTGAAGGAAATGTGGGTCTGAACATTAAACTCCAAAAGCACAAAACAAGAAATAAATGCTACCTAGTTATAGGGGGATTAACTTCACAAATAAACATATCTGCAAGCACCATAGCAAATTTCAGTCCGCATTCTCCAGGATCCAGAGCACAGGCATAGAACATCACAAACTGCAGAATTAATAACACATTTTTCAAAGTTGGTACAAGCAAAATTTTGAAATATAACAGCACAGCACAAGCAAATTAGAAAGAGGAAATTAAGAAATAAAAGTGCATGCAGTACCTGGGTAAATTTTGACTTGTATGCATTTAATACAGTTTTCTGAAACGACGTCAAAAGAACATCGAAGACCTACAGAACGAGTTTGGCCAACACATAACGATCAATCAATTATACAACATGTATGCATAAATTAGTTAAAAACAAAAAATTCAATAACACCTAGGAGAAATACCTGAGCCAAACGGCCGCTGCTTTGACAGGATTCAAGATGCTCAAAAGTCAGCACCATCAGACTGTCTAACTTTTCTGCCACTAAGTTCCCTTGTAGACATTTACGACGCAAGGACCCTTTTGACAGCTGTTAAAAAAAAAAAACAATAACCATGAAATGACAAGCATTCATTATTAGTACATCCTCAGAGACAGGACATATTATGTAAGACCAAAATATAGAACAGAAATTTATTTCCCTCCAACAAAATACAAATAACATTTAAAACAATTGACAAGGCTAAAGGCACATAACATCCCGCATTAATATATCAAAATAACACAAAAATATTGAGGTTTGAATCATCATCATTTGTAAGTCTTGGTGACTAAAAGTTCTCAAACACATACCAAAATGTATATTAGGACTTAAAAGAAATGGATAGAGTGAATTTGGATAGCCTAATAAAGTTTGATTAGGATAGAAAACTGGGTAGTTTAATAAAGTTTGAACAGTTGGATGGTTAGCGTCAAGGAAAGTTCAAAATCCCACAGGTCAAATTTTGAACCAAAGGGGTTTTTGTGGGTGAAATGGTCAATTGGATGGTTCTTTCACGCATAACAAATTGCCGGAACATATTTATGTGATGTAATATTTATATTTGGTTAACAGAGAATTGTGGTTTAGACATATATAAAAAAGACCATTGGAGGTGCCAATGAAGAGGGTAGAACAAGCTGTATGGAGTTATCTAAAAAAGGAGAGAGGAAATCCAAAAAAGAAAAAAACACTCAATAAAGTTATTAATTGGGACCTTTTGGTTAAAAATTAATCCTGATAGAGCATAATAACATCATGTGATCCATGTAGTTGACCTCGCCTAATGGGTTAAGTAAGCCTTATTATCGTTGTCTTCGGTATGTTTATAATTTCTTAAACATCCGAGTAACACTACATTTGATGTTAGACATAAAACAAAGAAAAGTAGTTCTCACTTCTAACGTGCTAAGATGCAATATTAAAGAAGTCCAACTCTCATTACACCATGAAAGGCAATGGAATTGGTTTGTGACACTTGCCTTGCAATGCCTTCGGCACCTTCAACTTCTATCAAGTTGAGCAACATTGGAGCCCTAGGGTATCTGGATGACGAACGGGGAAGGTTAGCATAGAGCCTTGATCCAAGATATTTAATACAGCCTTGCTTCATTCGGGTTACACGGTACACCCTATTAGCCTAATAGCCTCTCTCACCAATGGCATTTTAAATGACCTGTGCCTTATGCACTTTACTCACCTTTGCCAACCTCTGGATGAAGTTACTTTATTTTGCAACATATAATATTTAACACACAAATTCAACACAAGCTGAGATGAACACAGAAGCAAGAAATTTCCCTGGCCAAAACTAAACTTCAATTATCAAGTTGGATTGGTTCTTTGTTGAGCAGAGACAAACCCAGCTTGGCTATAATAATCAATGCATCTTCAAAATCTCAACACAGCATTGTCTCATAAATGAGATGCTTAACATCAAATTGCGTGCATCTTACCATTTCATCATGCTCATGGTCATCTACATGTTCAGCAACATCTTCCAACTCCATATCGAATATGTCTTTAGCTTCATCTTGTAAATTACCATCCCATCCAATCTCCACCTAAACAAAATTAGATAAATATGAAAAGTTAGTGACCAAATTACTCCACTTTTCTTTGACCAAACAATCAAGGGAGGCGCCATCGGCTTACATCCAACTCTATCATCCTATCCACCAGTGCAGGAAGCATTGTTACACCAACAATCTCACCAATTGCACCACTCTCCAGCCTTAACATATTCTCCACATATATGACAATTTCCTACAATCAACATAGAACTTATTTGCTATGAACAATCATAACTGTGACATTTACTTTCATGCAAAACACCTCTTAAGAATAAAAACCACACAAGCATGATTGTGATACTGAAAAATATTGAAGGAAATATCAATAAAAAAAAACGTTGAAACAAACTATATTTGCATGTCTACAACAACCTAAAAAATATTCAGCATGTCTTGGAGAGTATAATTTAACAATTGTTTTCCTCTACTGCAAGTAGCAGTTTGGTTAATATCAATTTACATCCAGAATCGAATTCAAATTCTTCAGATGAATATGAATAATGGAGACCACAACAAGTAGAGTGCAAACTAAAATCAAGCTTGCTGATAAACCAACGCATGAAACATAGTATATTAATTTAAGCAGATTAATATCTAGCTCAAACCAATTGTTTGAACATTTTGTGTTGAAAGTACTGAAAAATTGTGAATTTCACACCAAAGTCACCAAGTCAGTGATATGAATGAATGGATAAATTGAACATTACAAAAATATGCATATGTCATATGTCATATTAAATATTATTTTTTGCTGGAATCTCACAATTCAATACGTTTTACTAGTCAAGGTTCAACAAGAGAGCTTTCCAATCCGTCATGGTATCATGATTTGAGAAATCATCAAAGCCTAAATTAGACTCACATGTTCCTTACTGAAAACATTTGGCATTCTCTGGACAACTATTGGAGATAGGCGCATTGGGGCAAGAGGCACCAAATCAGCTATATCTTTCAATGCTGCATGCACACGAGACAAAACCTCATATTTTCTAGTAATACCACGTGGCTGTTTCAGCATTTCTATGAAGTAAAAAGGTGGCACAAAATTCCTCACTAGCATATCCAAACATAAATCAACATATTTTCCATTGGAGGCAGCCTGCAATGAAAGAAATATGGGAAGCTTCGGTAAAAGGTTTACAAAAATGCTACTACAGAAGAAATTATAAGACAGGTCTGCGGAATCATTCACCAATGATATGATCAGTTCAAGTAATGCATCCATAACATCAGTTCCATAGTTCCACATACTCAGCCTAGACACCTGGATAAACCGTTTCATTAGTATAAATCATGACCAAAGTGAACATTTATGCAGGAATAAGTTCAAATACGATCACAGACCATGAAGAGCCAAAAAAATAAATGAGATCGATAAAAGCTTACAGCGAAAATAAGAGCCTCATGGTGGACAATATCTATATAGGATACGGCTCCAGAGAGTGCTTTTAAAGTTGTCTAAAAACATACAAATAAGTTGGTCAGAAGAGCCCACGAAGAAACCCATTAAAAGATGAGAAAACCATCATAACATGAGCTGCAAGTCAGAACCTACCACGAGTAGAGCAACCTGATCAGCAGTAGGACGCTGCTTAGGGTGTAAATGTCCAATAAGCTCGTTATAATTATCCCTATTACCCTGCACAAACAGAAGGCAACTGTTTTTATTAACTAGCCATTATTATTTCAAACATAAAAGCAATCAATATCTATAATAGCTCTATTTATCGAGAGAAAATAAATAAACCAGACGCTTATACTCTTAGGTCCTCTATATTGATTATGTAGCCAAAAATTGACCAAGAACTGAGTATTTACAGTAGATAGGAATTTCAGCTTTGACGAACCATACCAGTTGGACTGAAATAAGGGCATCTCTGACATGGTAAATTAACTCCAAATCACTGAAATCATCATTCTCCATCTCATGAAGCTCCACCTTGTCACTTGCCAGTTCCCTTCCCATGGCCTTTATCCCAGGCGCCACTGAGTCTGCTTCACAGGTCTGGCGGCGAAGAACGATTTCAATTACACCTACAAGTTGAAAACCCCAGAGTTCAGCACAACAATATTCCCCTCCCCAACATATTTTTCCTATTGAGGTAAATGGCTACGTAACAAAATGCTTCAGGAAGGTAACCATGACCATCACTGGACGTTAGTCAAGAAACATAAAGAACGAATTGAATCATTGAGCCAATTTTTCAGGCCAAGATTCATCAAGCCATTATAAATTTTGTGAGTAAAATAATATTCATTTAAACGAACTAAAATCCTTAACTCAGTAAGCCATTACAAATTTTTGAGAGCAACATATTACTCGTTTAAACAAATCAAAATCCTAGCTAATAAATAAGAATTGACAACAGGGGCGGACACCGATATAATATCCGACCCCTCCCCATCCCTTTCAACTCTATAACCCGACAAAAAATGGAGTTTTAACTTCCCCCAATCAGCCCCGAACAAGGGAGGGGGAAAAACTGTGTATTGATGTATGTATATATGCGAATGCCTTAGCTTCTTAAAATCAAGCAGCATTACCACAGTGGCCATCGTCAGACGTCAAAAATTCATAAGATGCGAGATACAATCGGGCAAACTTACAGGAAAATGCAGTGGCCGATGATCCTGCGTACAGTAGTCGTCACGGAAAAAGTCCCAAACAATGATATACCAAGCGAGACTTGCAGACGAGAGACGAAACTGCGCAGCGACGATGACAATGGGCTGCCACCTCTGCTGCCAGCACCTCGTCGGAAGAGGAGTGACGGCTACGAAGAAGGGGCAACACTGAGGGTTTCCCCAAAACCAGTGGAAGTCGTTTTATACCTACGCGGAATTTCCCTTTTTTTTTTAACACTTATTCGGGGGTACCCATTCCTAGTCCAAACAAGGCCAGCATGGCCTGGCGTGAAAACTCTCTCATAGATGCATGATTTCTTTTAAAGTGTTTGGGTAATTCTATAATTATTTTAGAAACACTTTTCTGTAAATCGAAATTTTCTTTACATATTTATTTTATATATCTTAAAAGTATTTTTAAAATTATGGTTTTATTCTTACCCAAACACCCTTTTAAATATGAAGTTATTTTAAATTTTGATTTCTCAAATTTCAAATCAATAATTTTAGTCTTTAAAATATAATCTATCTAAAAATATTAGTTTTTATAGGTGTAACATTGTTAAAATCTATCAAAGTGTCATAAATAATATTAAAGTGACGATATGAACTTACCAAATGGCATCTAACCAGATCTCATGTTGGTAACAGGAAAGAAAAAAAACAACAGATCCTTGAAATGCAGTTGCTTAGGCCCCTATTTTTTTCTTTATCATTATTCATTTAGGAATTAATAACTATACTACATTCTGTTATGCACACAAGATTCAGTTATGTGTTATTTGAGTGAGTTCACATCACCACTCTTAAAACCATTAATAACACTTTAATAGATTTTAATACCATTGCACCTTCAGAGAAAAATGTTTCAAAATGGACTAAATTTCCAGGACTAAAACTACGGATTTGAAACTTAAATGACTAAAACCAAAATGAGTCCAAATTTCACGAATAAAAAATTATCTTAACCTAAAAAAAATTTATATTTGCTGGCAAAAGACAAAAAAAAAAAGGTTATATCTGAATGAATTTTGAATTATGCTTCATGTGTTTCAATATCAGTTAATTAATAATTAATTATATTTTAAGTAGGGTGTGAGTTCATGGCAAGTTTCTTTGAGTTTTTGTTCTTGAAAAAAATCACTTATTCTTTCAGAAAAAATTATAGGTAAAAAAATATACTAAGTGGCTTAATTTTATATGAGATTTCAGTTCATTTCACTAAATTTATAAAATGTATTTTTCAACTTTTTAATGCTAATACCGTTAATCTTATTTAACAAAAATTGCCAACTCAATACATTTAAATAGTACTACCTCTAAACCTTAATATAAGTCTTATTAATTGATTTGGGAAGATTAATAAAATTAAATAAATTATTTTAAAATATTTATATTTATTGTTTTATTTAAACCCACTTGCCTAGCTTATAAACTAATTTATAATCAATTAAATAGTTTGTTTAGCTTTTAAATTTTTTTAAATTAGTTAATTGTGTTTTGTATTGAAAACAAGCTGTAGTAACTTAGTGATTAAACATGAATTCTGATCATTTAATATAGATATAATCAAACAAAGACAAGTATTGTTGCCAATTTTTTTATGCTCATGGATAATATTCAGATATAAAATTAATTATCTCAAAGGATTATATAAATTTCTGAGCCTTTAATTTAGTCACTTAGGTTTTTAGTAGGTTTTGAGTTAAAGTATTGTTTAGATTCACATTTTTGTAATCTAACTTTTGAGGCTGGATAAGCTTTTGGAATGAAACTCTTTTTTTTCTTTTTTTTTTTTGCTTTTCACGGGACGATGCAGTGAAAGGAGCAGCTAGGAGCATTGGTTACGTTTTAGCCTATTTCTGCGTGTCTTTTGTATGTATTTATAGCTATAAAAAGATAAGGATAGAGGTGCTGTGCCCATTTACTAGTTTAATTTTTATATATTTTTATTAATTAAATATATCTAATTAAGTATTTTCTCTGGCTTAAAAAATAAGATAAATTTTATCCATTTACGTTCATCAAGAAATTAGTTAAAATTCGTGTAAAATAATAAATATGTAAGGCATGTATTTTTTTAAATATATCCTTAATAATGAAAAGAATAAGTAAAATATGTAACAAATGAATTAAAGAGAAAAGAGAATATATAGGGGCAAAGTTGGGAAAAAACTGATTAAATGTTTAGACAAAAATAAATATTATCTTAAAAAAACCAACCCCTCCAACAAATTTTGTTTTATATTTTGACTAGTAATTTCAATTTCTTCCTAATAAATTAATTTTTTTATTTATAATAATTTTACTTATAATGTTTCTTTTGCAATTGTCACATTATATACATGTAATATCAGATATGTGTTACTTAATAAAATTCATATCTTTTTCAGTCATTTTACATCTAAACTTACCTTTTTATTAATCATCTGAATAAGTTTCAGTTTCTTAAACTGACTTTTTATCTAAAAGCCAGTCCAAATATAAATCATATTAAACTATCTAACTTTTACCTAATATGACTTTTACAAAAGTCAAATTGAGGAGGAAAAAAAACTTCTCCAACCACTAATCCAAATACACTCTTAATAAGGAAGTTGTATTTTGCGGTGTTACTCCTCCGGTCTTTAATATAGCACCCAATTCATGAGTTGGTTTTGGTCCTAAATATAAGATCTATTTCTCATATTTATCAATTTTCTCTAAAGTACCCCTATGAATACTCTCTCAACCATAATCAAGTAGAAGAGGAAGAGGGGGTATTAAAAAAAATGATTATGGTGTTTTAGGAAAAATGTGTAACTTTTCTTATAATTAACTAACTTACCTAACTTTCTTAATATAATCAAATTAGTTAAATGGGTCTTATATTAAGGACCGGAGGAGTATTAAATAAGTAAACTGTGGATTATTAGGACTGCAATTATTTTCACACCCCCCCCCCAAAAGAACTACAGTTATTTAAGTACCCTACCTCGACCAAAATACACGACATCTTTAATCGGAGATTAGGAGATGTTAAATCATTTTCCATGCCACCTTGCGAAAAGTGACATACTTAGTGGACTTTATTTTCTTAGTTGAGTAGGGGATTTGACAATAGGAGAATTAAACCAAACGTCCTATAATGTACAAAGACAGACTTCCCCGTCGTCATGCCACTTGAAGAGGTGAGAAAAAGAAGGAACAAATAAAAACAAGCCCAGCACATGCATACCTCATTGAAATTTAATCCAAATCAGTATAAAATTCACCATAAACCGAATCAAACCTGTCTCATTCCAATCTCAATAATGAACAAATCGACTACTGTTAGAGTATTATGTTTAGTTCTAAATATAAGCCTTAATCAACTCCGCCTTCTAAATCTATAATATTTTATCTAAAATATTCATATTGATTGTAATGAGCTCTCATAATTATAATGCACATGATTAAAAATAGTACTCCTCCGGTCCTTAATATAAGACCCATTTAACTAATTTGATTAGATTAAGGAAGTTAGGTAAGTTAGTTAATTATAAGAAATATGACACGTTTTTCCTAAAATACCATAATCATATTTCTCAATACCCCATCTTTTTCTTCTACTTGATTATGGTTGAAAGAGTATCTATAGGGGTAATTTAAAGATAATTGATAAATATGAGAAATGGGTCTTATATTTAGGACCAAAATCAACTCACCAATTGGGTCCTATATTAAGGACCGGAGGAGTATTTTTTAAAAAATTCAATATATATTTGTTGTAATTAATAAATTTAACTAACTTTTTTCAGTCCTTTCAAATTAATTATCTAAGGGTTGGAACGGACAAAGGTGAATGGATACGCTAATGAGGCTTATTGACATGGCTGAATATATTTTTTTTTTGGGTACAACATGGCTGAATAAATATTGAGGCCCGAGGGTCCAAAAAGCGCAGGCCTCATAAGGCATGAATGAAAAGCAGCCCATGGAAAGCGAGCCATGAATCAGGGGCCCAAATTCTCAAGCCTGTTTTGTTCACCAACTGAAACATTTTGCGCATTGACTACTGCCTCCGTCCCAAATCCAAGGCATTGATGAAATCATGTATTGGAGAAAAAAATAAAAATAGGCTTTTATGTCGAGGAGCGAGCACAGCCTTGTCAGCTGGTCAAAAAAAGAGAACAGCCTTCTCAGAGGGAACAGGTGCATAGCATTCCACGTGGCACGTGAGTGCGAGGCCTCTCGACGTGCAGTGCGCGCTGATCCCTTGCTCTCACCCATCAAAAGCGGTTATCGCGTGATCCTCACCGTCCATGCACAGTCACGCACCCCCACTCCCCCGCCAGCTGTATCCCGTTGGCCCTCAACTACCACGTGTCCCCCATCCCTTTCCATTTTCTTCTTCTTAAAAAAAATCACACACCCCTTTTCTATCATTTTAATTTTTGGCGCCCACGGATTTTCTATGGCGACCTTTTGGGGTGAACTCGACTTACGGTCTTATGGACTCGGGGTTCATTGGGATCGCAGCTTTCTACGCCGCCCGACCGTTAGCCAATAAAAATATAAAATACCAGGCGCTCCTCCGCAACTAACAGCACACGATCTGATACACCGCCGGCGAAGGGGGACTCCGGAGGTACTTCTGGAGAGCATCAAGAGCATTTTTTTTTTTTTTTTACCAGCGGAGAGTATCAAGACCATACACCTAGGCACTGTTTGGTTCAGAGATCAACAAGGGGTTCAGACCAAAGGCCCAAAAAAAAAAAAGGATTGTTACATCTCGGTTGGCCCCACTCCTCCCCTCCCTCCAAAATTGAGAGTTTCTGGAGGAAAAATTTTGTCCAATATTAACTAATATTTTCACACTTGATTTTTTTAATTACCACTTTTTTAAAAGAATAATTAATTGAAATTTTTAAATTTAAAAAGTTTAAATTAATCATTAGTCCGGGTTCTCAAATCTTTGCTTATACTCAAAATTGGCAGCTCTCCCCCCTTTTCCCAGGATATGTTTTTCCTTATTTTTTTTCCCTCATCAATTGAGTTGTTGAGCAATATGGTAAGGAGATGATTGTTTACGTTAATATTATCACTAGTCATTACGGTTTAATTTAATTGAATTTTGGCTGTGGTTTTGGTCTTATAGTTCCGCAAGAATTTGATCTGAATTTGAATATAAGAACCAAAACA